TTTGGATGTGAGGTCTATCTCGCAGCATGCTCGGAGCTCCTCATGCGTAACCGCACCGCAATGGCGCAGATCATCGAGACCGACTTCTCCGACAAGCCATGCACGTTTACCGATTTCGTCGACGACGACGGCCACGGCATCGGTCCTTGGGCCTTGACCTGTACGATGAAGAAAGTCGGCCGGAACAGGCTGCTGTTTGACTGGAGCGGGAGCTCCCCCCAGAGCGAGCACAGCATCAACTTCTATCTCTCCGAAACCATGTTCAAGATGTTCATCGGCTACTACATGATCGCCGCGGCAGCACCCGGCACTGTGATCAACGACGGCTTCCACGACCTCATCGACATCTATATCCCCGAGGGCAGCGTCCTGAGACCAGTCCGACCAGCGCCGATATCCTGTCGTACGCATCTGCTAGGCAGAACAATGGACGTCATGCAGGCGCTCATCGGGCAGAGGAACACAATCTATGCCGCCGCCGCGGGCTTCAGCGACTCCCCCCACTTCTTCTACTCGGGATACAAGCCCGACGGCGAGTGGTATCAGCTGTATCAAATTGGCTTTGGCGGCGTGCCCGCCCGCAACGCCGGCGACGGCCTCGACTGCCACTGTCTGTTCCCGGCAATCAAATCGATCCCCACAGAGATCATCGAACTGAACTACCCGCTCCGCATCGAAGCGAACGAGAGCGTGCCGGACAGCGGTGGGCCGGGGTTCTACCGCGGGGGCAATGCCCAGCGCACACTCTACCGCTTCCTGTGTCGCGGGGAGTTCAGTCTGCACGACGACCGGTGGTTCACGAAGCCGTGGGGGATCCGGGGCGGCAAGCCCGGTTCTCGGTCCCGGAAGGTTCTGTATAGGTACTCCAAGTCGAAGGAAAAGCCGCCGGTAGAAGTCCTGCCTTCAAAGTGCGACCATATCCGCGTTGATCCTGATGACCTCCTCGAGTGGGTGACATGGGGAGGTGGCGGACTCGGCGATCCAATGAGTCGGCCCGCGGAGAAAGTGTCACTGGAAGTGCGTCGCCGGCTGGTGACCATCCAGGGAGCCTACGAGAACTACGGTGTGGTTGTGGATCCAGAGAACCTGAGCGTGCGCGAGGCCGAGACCGAAGCTCTGAGGAAGAGGGTGATGGCTGCTCGGGATGCTGTGGGCAAGGCCCAGCAGTATGATCGAGGTGGCACCCTTGAGGAATTGACCGCGTCTTGCCTGAAGGAGACTGGGCTTCCTGCCCCGAGTCCGCAATGGGAGTTGGATCCTTATGGGCCGCATATGTTGCTTCCGTACGTCAAGGAGTGGTATGCGCGGATGAGAAAGGCTAAGGGGTGGGCATTGCAGTCGTAGATCGGCTTCATTGCCAATGATACAAGAATACTAGCTCATATTACTCGATGAGAGTGATCATAGTAGTGAGGCTTAAACGAATATAAAATGTTCAGGATGGTCTAGTCAGCATTATTGAGTTCGTAGTGTCATGTTGAAAGCAGTGGGATCCCCCTTGATTAAATTTACTTGATCTAGAGACTTTTGAGAAAGACTCTAGATGGCAAAACGACAGGTGCTAAGCTATAGCTAGATCAATTACTCTTTCTTCGGCCGCCAATTCTCGTGCCACTCGGGACATGGATAAGCATACCGGCCGAGGGCCATCATGGGAAAGTAATGGCAGTAGAATGAGTATCCCATGTAGAAATACTTCGGGAATCCAGTGCCGGTATATGCTTTCTCGTGCCATGTAGCTCCCTGAGAAGCAGTCTTCGTTTGCGTCCGCAAAAGATACTCCACTCCCCGTTGGATCACCTCCGTGGACGGTGGTAAGTATGGCAGAAGAGCCATAATGGCCCAGGCTGTCTGTGACGCCGTTGATGGGCCAGACCCAGCTCGCGAAGGGTCTTTATAAGAATTGACGGTCTCTCCCCAGCCACCGTCTTGGTTTTGAACAGTCTCCAGCCATCGGATTGCTTGGTTGACTGCATCTTTCACACTCCTGACTCCTGACAACGTGTCGCTCTTCGAACCGAAGTACGCCAATGCGCAGAGGACTGCACTGGTTCCGTAAATGTAGTTGCAGCCCCATCGCCCGTACCAGCCTCCAGATGATACATGCGTGTCTGACAAATAGCATATCGCTCTTCGAGAGGCCGACACGATGCGATCAGTGAGGACGTCTGCTTTAGTCGGGGACTGCTGCCGTGCACTGACTGCAAGAAAAATGCCAAAAGCCTCCAGGACGTGGCCGGTCACATCCGGAGTGGAGGGATCGCAAAATGCCTCCATATCACTGAACGGAATCTTGTTCAGAAAAAGTTTATTATTATCCCGATCAAAGGCACCCCAGCCCCCGTCCGTATTCTGCATTCCCAGAAGCCAATTTAGCGCATCCAAAACGGAGGCAGAGCAGACCAGCCGCTCGTCTTGCCGAATTATTGCCAGAACTGCGGATGCTGTATCGTCCACATCAGGGTACCAGGTGTTGAAATACCCGAAACTGAACCCGCCCGCCTTTAGTCCAGGGTTGTTTACCTTCCAGTCTCCATAGTTGCCTAATCTCTGATGTTGCTGTAGCCAGCCCAACGACCTTGTGAGCCAGGGGCTGGAGGCCATGCCTGCGTCGCCGAGGGCAACAAGCATTAAGCTGGTGTCCCAGAACGCGGAGACAGTGGTTTGGATTCGTTTTCCCTGTTGGTCACGGTATGCGAAGCGTTCAATGGCCTCCAGCCCCCGGTGGATTGGGTCTGAATGCAGCGGATAGCCTTCAAGTCTCAGGGCAAGCATAGCTCCGTGCAGCGGCGGCATAATGTCTCCGATGTCTCCCATATCCTCCTGATGCTCCAGAATCCAGTCGACGCACTTCCGAAGAGCAAAGCGGCGAAGGGGATTGAAGGATCGCAACCCGTCCAGGCGGTGCAGGATCGAGTCAGCCAAGGTGAAGATCAACGCAAACGGGTCGGATCTCCACGCCGTCGGTTTGTCGTGATTGTATGGTACCATTTTATTCCTCGGGTCGCACCACAGCTCGTCCAAGTAATCGCTGCAGGTTGCCTTTCCACCTGGAAGAGCATAAATTGGGCGATGGTGTGAGATAATCAGAAGGGGCACCACAGTGGCCCGCGCCCAAGCTGACCAGTGATATATACTGACCGGTACCCTTGAAGGCAGCAGAATCAACTCGGGCGGTAATTCTGGTACAGCAGCCCAAGGAAATAAGCCGAACATGGCGAGGTATATGCGGGTAAAGATGCGGACCCTTGCAACACCACCAGCTGCAATAGCAAAGTCTCGTGCACTGCGCATTGCCGCATCATCCTCCGAGAGTCCCAGGATCTTCAAGGCCAGATACGCCTCTACTGTCACTGAGATATCCCCCGCCTGGTCTGGAGCGGTACTCCAACCCCCGTCTGCACCCTGTGTGCAACGAAACCAGGAGATGAATGCTTCTCGGTCCGCGTCGAGGTTAATGTCTAGCGCCTGGCAGAGCAGGACATGCTCTGCGCTGGTCGTTGCGTTTGTTTTCACTTCGCCGCACCAGTGTCCGTCCGAGTGCATCTCTTCTCTGCTGTGCTGGCCTGAGAGCTTGAGCGCTTGCTTGACTCTGGGGAGCAAGGGATCATCGGGAGCCAGGCTCCGAAATCGTAGCCCTTCTGTTGTGATGGCCTCTGTCTGCAACATCGCGGAAGATTAATTGGTATAGAGGGATATAATTGACCAAGTTGACGGCAGTCCGAGTTCTATGCTGAGACGGGATGGTTTACTACATATGCTACTTGCGCGGTAACAGCTGACTCATAGCGACTTCTTGCGGTGCTCCATAACTGTGGACCTAACGAATCCGGCAAGGGAGCGGAAAGTTAATAGCCTTAAGCTCTGTTAGTATCGCGCACTTGGACCTGGTGGTTACAGATGGTACTATGGCTTTTCTGGATGCTGGAGAACTTGTCTACTCGTCATCCGTCTCAGTCAGGGTCCACGCATAGAGTATACTTGCAAGATCCATGCTGAATTGCTTCAATTGTAGCGGTAATGATGAGAGACGCAAACTCTCTTTACGTGGAGGTTGCTACCAGTGCGCTCAAAGGTTGCAAGTAGTTCAGCCACCAAGTCCTACATTTACAGAGGTGAAGATATAGGGCTGGCGGATCTCTTTCTATACATCGTCATCCATTCTCTTGACTGGCCGGGTGGAAGTATCCGGGTAAGTCATCCGCGGAACCAACAGATGGGTCACATCCTTCTAGGGCAGTGGGACAGTGGGACGTATGACAGCGGTCTAGACCTTACCCAAAAATATGATAAAGAGCCAAAAATCCCTTCGAGTCCAGTATCAATGGGTTTTAGCATGGGTCCGGGCATCTGACAGCTGCCGATGTAACCATGTCGCATTCCACAAGCCTGAGGATCTTCAGGGTGTAATCAACATAGGTATCTAGTTAGTGCTTAATAACTCAGTAACGACTGGATATTTAATTAGTTTAAATATACAGGCCAGATCGCAGAAAGTCATAGTACTACTAGTGAGCTGCCGGATCGGGACGAGTTCCAGCGGGCCGCGAGAAACGGATGATCCAGTAATAGGTTTAGATCGCTCAGAACGGATAAATGCAAGTCTCTTTTAGGTCATCTAGCCAGTGAGATATCATTTCCTCTAGTTGGACGGTTTCACTACTGCAATTATATGTTTTCCTGAGATATCCATGTATATACAGTCACTACTGAACCAGTCCAGCCTCAATCTCCCACCGAGAACACTCACAAATCTGAATAACTGCGGCATCTGGCGTTGTTCTCCCAAGCTGGACTCGTCAATGCAGATGAATCCCAAGTCCTAGGATTCTAGTCTCAGAATGGCCCCCTCTGGTAATGAACGTCATTATTGCGCATGCAAATCGACTGAGACAAGGTCCACTTATACCGTGTACAAAGTTGCTACACAAAGTTGGTTCGGATTGTCGCTTTCAAAGTCTATTCGTTATGTTATTATTCGAAGCTTTCCATGAGATCTCATGGGAATATTCGTCCGAGTAACCCTTACTGGCCTCATCGGACTCCAGAGAATGGATCCCCCTTTCAAGGTCATAATTGTCGGGGGATCAATTGCCGGCCTTACTCTCGCGCACTGCCTGCACAGGGCCGAGATCCCCTGCATTGTCCTCGAAAAGCGACCTAAAATTGCCCCCCTGGAAGGAGCATCTGTTGCCATCCTGCCAAACGGGGCGCGAATCCTGGAACAACTGGGGCTCTACGACGCGGTCGAGAAGCTGGTCAAGCCAAAGCACGTCTTGAATATGTATTTCCCAGACGGGTTCCAATTTAGCGATGCGTATCCCAGGACTATGAATGAGCTGTAGGTTGCCAATCTCGCCTTGCCTTGTGTCGTCGTCCTGTCTGATCAGCCCCTGGTCTCCACAGCTTCGGGTTCCCAATGGCGTGTCTGGACCGTCAACAATTACTCCAAGTTCTGTATCGGTTGTTTCCCAAGAGATCCGACATCTACGTGGGCAAAAGTGTCATACGGGTTGACCAACAAGACAGCCGTGTGCTGGTGTACACTGCAGATGGAAGCACCTACGAGGGTGACCTGGTCGTAGGTGCCGACGGAGTCCACAGCCGTGTTCGAACTCAGATGTGGCGCGCAGCAAAAGTGCGACGGCCTGGTCTGTTCAGTGAAAGCGAGATAAGAGGTAAGGATTCCTCCAACTGTGTATATTTATCCGGATCGGCGACTCAGACTGACTGACTGTGATCATGGCTGATAGGAATGAGTATCGAGTATGCCTGTATTTTCGGTGCCTCCTCTACGGTTCCAGGACTGGACGAGCGACACCTACATTCAAGGGTAGACAACGGGACAGCATTCATCCTCGTCCCGGGAGTCAATGGACGATTGTCCTGGTTCATCATTGTCAAATTAGACCAAAAATACCAATACGGTAGCGCACCGCGGTTCTCTGTCAAAGACGCCGCAGCCTGGGGTGAGCGATTGACGGACAAATACATATGGAAGGACATCAAGTTCGAGCAGGTGTGGCAGAATCGCGAGACCGTCGCCATGACGGCACTGGAGGAAAATATATTTCAAAATTGGAGTTGCGGCCGCATTGTCTGTATTGGCGATAGCATGCACAAGGTATGTTGCTGACGGAAGTGGGTTCGACTACCCTCGGGTCTGACAATCTGCTGCTTTAGATGACGCCGAATCTCGGACAAGGGGCCAACTGTGCTATTGAAGACGCTGCTGCCCTGACCAACAAGCTACACGATGCTCTGAGGGTTAAACATCCAGGACACAAGCTATGTGATGACGAGATTGAGCAGGTCCTGTCCGAATTCAGCAACATCCAAGTTAAACGCATATCCAAAATCTACAACGTGTCGTGGATCACCGCGCGCTTGCAGACACGAGCAAATCTGGTGTACAGGGTACTCTTGCGGTATTTCGTTCCATACGCTGGAGACAAACCCGCGAAGAGAGTACTGAGGATTTTAGAGGGAGCGACAGTGTTGGACTTCATCCCATTACCCACCCGCTCAGGTCCCGGCTGGACACTGCAAAAACGGGAAGAAACGCTCTTTCCGAGATGGACTGGAGTTGCGCTTGCATTTTTGGTACTGATATCAGTGGCGTCAATCAACCTGAAATCTGTTGGATATTACATATACTGGATGTCGGTTCTTGGCGGCTTCCTCATGGACAGAATCCGATGACACAGCAACGCTACCTGCCTCGACGGCACTATCTCTCTGTTTGCCAATAGTCCCTCCTAGTCCTAGTCTAATTCAAGGCCAAGAAATGTTGAGGAGGACCTAGTGGAGCGCTGTCCCGGAGGCTCAGGCCGGAAAGGTCGAGTTACATTGCTGGCAAACCACGTTATGGTTATATGTAACCTTACTTTTTCCCGCCAACCAGAACGTCCACATTTTGACAGTCGAAAAGTGAAGGACTGGTAGATAGACCTTAACCTTATTGAATAGAATATAGGTTGATTCTGTATACTGCTTCCGGTTGAGTCTTCCAGTGTGTCCCATGCCAATCACGTTCACAAGCTGAGTTAACTCATTCGAGGAACAATTTGGTGCAGTCAATTCAGTAGTACTAACAGTGGCAGATATCTCCTCGTAGCGACTGATACACCGCGTCGTCACTCGCTCACAGTTCCTTTGGGCACGCGATTCTATATTGGGCCTGCCGTCCTGCGGTCCCTTGCCCATGGCGGTGATTACCGTGGTCGATTCAGGCTGCCTTGACGATGGAGAAAAAGTGCGTACAGAGAGCATGGAAGGCCAGTATCATATGCACAATCTGCAATATAAAGAAATGTCGGTCGTCCTGCCTTCGTCGTCCGCACGTACAGAGTCTCGGCGGAAGGGCTCACTCGGGACCATGGTCGTTTGATCGATGGTAAGATAGTACTTCTTTCCGGTGCGGACTATCCGTATGCTGCGCTGTGTGACGCCGATGGCTTTGAGGCACTGCAAAAACCCTTCTCTGTCCTCTTTCCTATTTATTCCCGATCATACGGCCAGTATCCCGGTAGTCGCTTGCCGTTCTGTCTCGGTGGAAGACAGAAAGGATAAGAGGCAGCGAACGGTGAACAGCAACTATTAAAGACATTGAAGCATTCATGATTTTTTTTCATTCTTACTAACAGCGGTGTTTAAAGCCTTCTATTGCCTTCATCCACTAGCAGTATTCCTTCTCGGCTGCCCTCTTTGCTGTCACCAAGAAATGCTCAAGTATGGCCAGTTGCATTACCTTTTGTGCCGTGAATCTTGCTCTCCCTGTTTATTTCCAACACCATTGCAATCCTTGTCTTTTTCGAAGGAAGCCAACATCGACGGAGAACATATTGCACCTCGACATCTGTGTGCGAGTAGAACGATCGCAGCGGAGCCAGTGGCAGACTTTCGCGCATGGTCAAACCATATACGGCAAGAGCTGCGATGCATGAGAAAGCTCTAGGGCCTCACTCTGTTGTTGACTTGTATGGAGGGACTCACTACTGCCTACTGTTACCAATTGATTCTGATTGGAACATCCCTGCCAGGATGCTGCATGCCAAGGAGAATGGTGAAGCACAAAGCTGTGACACATTCGAGTTTGTTTAGTAATTCGGACAAGGATGTTAAGAGACCGACTTTCCGTCTGCCTAATATATTTAACTGATCCATCCCTCCTTTTGCCTCCCTCACAGCGAAGAACTACTCGCTGTCTCTCTAGCACAACATGGGCTCTGCAACAGAAATTCCAAACACGGAAAAAGATCAAGAGATCCCCGACTGGAACCTCACTGAGGTAGACCGCATGCTCCTTCGTCAGACCGACGAGGAATATGAGTCACACTCCTGGGACGAGCTCAAATGGATAATCCGTATGTACAGCCACCCTTTCGCGGAATATGACGCTGAATCGCGACGCAGAGGAAAATAGACTCGAACTCTTCAAGCGCCTCCCCTCTCACCTCAGACGCTACATCCAATGGTCTAAGGGTATTAAAAAGCAGTACGGCGGCATCCTCAACTACATCTGTCAGGAGCGACTCCGCTGGGACCAGCAAGAGTCCAAACAAGTCGTTTTTAAGAATCCGATCCCCTTTGCAAGTCCATCCGACTATTGCATCCGCTTCAACGACTGGCCCTACGGAGTCGCACCGGGCATCTGGCACCTGGTCGTCTGGCTGAAGACACCGTTTCCTGTGCAGGAGGATGGAAATCTGACCACAGAATCGCGTGCACGCATTGAGACGTTCGTGTCGGCTACTTTTGTGCAACGGTTGGCGAGAGAAGCCCGTGTGGATGCGCCTGAGGACCGCGTTTTGTGGTTTAAGAATTGGGCTGCGTTGCAGAGCGTGTCGGCCCTGGAGCATTTCCATGTTATGGTGAGGGACGCAAGCGAGGAGGCTTTGAGGGAGTGGATTGGAGCAGATCATATGCTGATGATTTGTGATGTGTCTGAGTAGTTTACCAGTTCCGTATCATCAGGTCTATATAAAATCCACAGTCTAGGCAGATTAGATTGAATTAGGAGAGGAGACCCCTTTCGCTACCGCCTTGTTAACGTTTGCTTCTGCTCAACTATCTGTAATAATGCTTTTTCTCTCCAGCCTTTGCTAGTCGCTCATAGTGCGTGGTTCAATGCCATCCCTTTCCCTCCATATGTGTTCACCATGTACCTTAGACACTGGTTATAATACTGCGTCAAGCGCTGTGAGAACGATCCTTGTTTCGGGGAAGCAACACCCAGATAATAATCAAGAGGACCAACAATGAGAGAATGAAAGGTTGCAGGCTTTGCACACCGCGCGCCCCGGATATAGCACCAGCAGCAAAGGGCAGTCTACGCCCAATGGGAATACACAGGTTAGCGTAATACTCAAGTAGGATTTCATAAGCATCGTCACCAAGGAGGCAAACTTACATTGCAGCACCGCCGCCTGCCAATGATGACGCGAGTCCAATGCCCGGGGTATGCAGATGCTTCGGAAGCAGCTTGGCCGCCACTACAATTGCTGCGGGAAAGAGAGGGCCGGTAAAGAAGCCAAGCAGCGAGACAGCAACGGCAGAGACGACAAACTTTGGGACCAGCCAAAAGACAAGCTCCAGGGCAATTGAAATAGCAAGGTAAATAGTGATCGCAGTCCGCTCTCCTTCATTCTAGTCAGCATTGAATCGCTAGGGCTGCGTAGAGAGGATACATGCCCAACCAGTCGTTCACAAAGCCCAGAACCAGACGCCCGATAGTGACGCCAGCCCAGAAGCCAGTTGGAACCAGACCAGATTCGAATGGCTCTCCGTTACGGGCCTGAACCATGAAATCGACGACCCAGCCACCCACGGACACTGTCAGATTTAGCGATCAGGTTATTTGCTCAAGGAAAGGTTAGACAACGCACCTTCGACACCCATGTACACAAACAGCCAGATGGCTATCAGCCAGGTAATGGGACTTTTCATCGCCTCCGTGGTTCTGCTCCCACCGCTGCTATCGGGGCTCCTGCGGTTTTTGGCTCTGTAGCTAACTGCATTTTCTTTCCAGAACGTAGCCACGCTGGTCAGCAGTTCTAGAACGGAGCCCCCAAGCAGAGTGTAGTAGAAATAGTTCCAGCGCAGGCCCGACTTGATCATCTGCGTCGCGATTGTTGGGCTCAGTGTTGCCCTACATCGGCCGTCAGTATTGCTGTAACGGTCATCGTACATGATCCACGTACCCGACACCATAAGACGCCCCGAGGAGCCCCATCATTGTGTTTGCATTAGCCATATCGGCGATCCAGGAGTTCCATGCAGCGTCGATGAGGCCATTGCCCAAGCCAACAATCACGTAGACGGCCAACATTGCCGGCCAGGGCGGGTGGATGGCCATGATCACGAACGGAACGATGTGGCATAGCGGACCGATGATCGCAATCCCTCGTTGTCCAAATGTCATATGAATCTTGTTGACGACAAGCGTGGCAATCGTGTATCCGGCAAACGGGGTCACGAAGATTAAAGAGACCACGGTCGTAGACAGTTTATAGTCTTCGCGAAGCTACTCGGCGTTAGTTTCTCGGTGATGAGGACTGCTGTAGTTCTATGCATACATATGGGACGAGTGCCTGGGAGAAAAATCATTAGTCTGTACCATGTGTCTGTACAAGGAGAGCTCACTCCGTAGACGCCGTCGCTCGCTCCTACAACGGCGAAACTGGCGAATGTAGCTAAAAGGCGCCATTTGTTGATGGGAGGGTCATTCCATTTTTGCTTTGCTTGAACAATCGCATCGTCAGCAATCGGACCAAATGTGTGGACTGAGCTCTGTGACTCTTGTTGTCCTTGTGAAGCAAGCTCAACTGTTGTCGTCGACATATTTGCTACCCCAGAAGAGAGAAACAGAAGGAGACAGGAGACAAGAAGAATACGAGATATTAGTGCTGCCATGAGTCAATAAATATTGCCATGTGCATCTTTCCCCACTTGATGAGTCAAGAACTTGCTCTTTCTTCTTGGAGGCTGACCCACTGAGACCGAATCATAGCAAATCTATGGACAGCCAAGTCTCTAGCCTCTAGACTATGGTCGTAGATAGAAAGCTGATTCACTGCCTTCTTTCTGACATCCAATCCACAGTCCCTCTTAACGCCTTCTTCGAGGTTGACAGCTGCATCTACCCAAGTTTCTGGAGTGCGAAAATTGTAGGATTAATAAAGACAGTGATTGAACATGCTGAGGCACAGCTGGCTTAGAGGTATTGTCAAGGCTTCATTGTGCATTCAGCATGGAGTTATCCCATCCGACCTCCTGTTCGACCAGCTTGAGCCATTTTCTGCCAGTCTAAAGCTTCCAGTCAAGGCTATGCCATGGCCAGCTCTGAAGCCGGGGTCCCACGCTGCGTGTCTGTCAACTCATTTGGCTTTGGGGGCACTAATGCGCATGCGATTCTTGAGAGCTATGAGGAAGGGATAACTGCCGCAGACAAGCCCGTTGAACTGTCGCCTAAATCTCCAATCCCTGTCATGCTGCCATTTGTCTTCTCTGCATCTTCTGTGCGAGCGCTTGCTGCCATTCTAGAACAGTACAGTCAATATCTCGAGGACAATCCCAATGTCGACCTGGTGGATACGGCATGGACGTTACTACAGCGACCTTCATTCTTGACGCACCGTATCGCCATATTGGCAACTACAATAGATCTCCTAATTACTAGAATCCGCGAAGAGCTGGCCCTCCTCAAGACCAAAAATCCGTCGTCCATCGTAAGCTCCCTGCTACCTACCGATGGGACGAAGCGCATCTTGGGGGTTTCTACAGGCCAAGGCGCACAGTGGCCGCAGATGGGTTTGGACCTTATTACTCACTGCCCAGAGGCCACGATCTGGTTGGACGTAGCGGGAAGATCACTCACTGAGCTCCCTGTTGCGCTCCGACCAAGCTCCGACCAAGCTTTTCCCTTCAAGAAGAGCTGGCTGCACTCAGACTCACTCCAAGCTGCATGAGGCCGCGTTGTCACAGCACGGCGCTTAAATCATCCTTGTCAATTTTTCTTCTGCTTTAGGTATCTCCGCTACTGTAGTCGTTCAGTAATTTATCTGGTGAAACTGTACGCTACCGGGGTTTTGTCATCGTCTCACGCCATCCGAGTCGCCTACCTGCGCGGCCATGTTGCGAGACTGGCAGGTGAGGGAGCAATGCTGGCGGCTGGGATCTCTCGGGAGGAGGCCATCGTTCTCTGCCAACAACCAGAACTTGATGGCAAAATCAGCGTGGCAGCAGTAAAGTCATCTTCCAGTGTCACACTCTCTGGTGACCGTGATGCCAAATCCCAGTGGAACAGATACTCCTGGAAGAAGAAGTTTGCTCGTCTTCTCCGGGCCCAAACTGCATACCATTCCCATCACATGTCTTCCTGCGCAGAAGCTTACCTGCCAGCTTTAGACGGCAGTAGAGATTTAAATTCGCTCCCACACGTCGTCACGGTGGTATCCCAGCATCTATTGAAAGACAGGAGATTACGGCGGAGCAGCATGGTTACAGTACGAGCATAGACTACTGCAAGGACAACATGGTCAAGCCTGTCTTGTTTTCCCCAGCCTTGCAGGAAGCATTACGCTCCAGCAGTGACGATGTGAACCCTGATCTAGCTCGGAGGTCCACTACGTCGGATTACTGAACCGTAGAATCATTGGCCAAAGCAATCGGCGCCTTGGGACCGGATTCAACCCTAAGTCCTGATCATACACTTGATCAGCAAAATCAAACCATGGGTCTAATAGCAACACTATTTATTGATTAAGATTGTACCTTCGCGCCACCGCCAGTGATACCAAGATAGATGACGTATACCGGTACTCGGGAGGAAAAAGTCAAGGAATGGCAACGCAGAGCGAGCAGTGACTGTAATGGATTCAAGACGTACAAATTAATACAATTCCTAATATCCTTAGCTGGAAGGCTACCCTTTACAGGCATCCTGTGAGTTTAGGCTGGACAATAGATCATCGCAGTTAAAAGTGAGGTGATATGCTCATTCCACACGGTCTGATATCCGCGTGCCCTCAATGATTCTGCGAACCTTAAACAGAATATGGGTGCTCATTTGTGCATAGGCTAGCGGCACCGGGGAATAGACCTGAAAACTGTGGGAACAGGCTGTTTGCAGTAAGATCTTATTATGCCATTCTATCCACGTAACACTCTGAAGGGTGCTGGATTATGACGCAACACCTGTATCAGTTGCACCACCCTCCGCTTTATGATACATGATATAAAATCCTCGGGTTTACTGTTTGCTTGGGATAAGCATTGAGTTTCATCGTTTCTCTCCAAGCACTGATTAAAGATGAATGTGCATGAGTTATATGTGTACCTGTGTGGAAGGGGTGGAATTACCGTTGGCATTTCCCTGGTATTGACTCCAATCTCCTCATTTCTGGCTGTTGATGGGTGTAAGTTCTGACAAGGGACAGGTGGTCTGCTATGTAATTACCCACGCCGTCTATAATGTGTTCTTTCATCCCTTAAGTCGCTTCCCTGGCCCACTATTACACAGGGCGTCGCGACTGCCATATTTCTATGGGTTGATCAAAGGGACGCTTACCATAGATGCACTCGAAATGCATCAACGCTACGGAGATATTGTACGAGTCGCCCCTGATGAGCTCTTTTTCGCTCACCCAGATGCCTGGTCGGACATCCACAAGAAAACCGGGAAGGCGATGGATAAAGCACGATGGTTCTACCGGCCTCTAGAGGTGACTCCACGATCCATTGTGGACGAAAGCCACGAGCGGCACAGCCGGCTGCGGCGACAAATGGCGGCTGGATTCTCAGAGAAATCTATGCGAGACCAGGAGCCGATCATCCGGGGTTATGTGGACCTCCTGCTGCAAAGACTGCGGGAAAAGAGCAATGACGGTCAGCCCGTTGTCATCTCAGACTGGTTCAACTACACTACGTTTGATATAATTGGTGACCTGGCCTTTGGGGAACCTTTTGAATGCCTGAAGTCTTCTAAGTATCATGGGTGGATCAGAAGTGTTTTTGAATCCTCTCGCCCCCTAGCTGTGGTGCAAGCTCTCTCGTTCTTTCCATGGTTGAAACGAATTGTCCTAGACATGGTCCCTAAGGATCTGCAAGAAACTTTCAAGAGACAACAACGGCATACAGAAGCCAAAATGCGGCGGCGCATGGCTGTCACTGGAAACCGGGTGGATCTGATGGAAGGATTGCTCAAGAAGAAAGACGAATTTGTTAGTAGTTTGGCCCTTTGATCTAGGGACACATTAGCACTAACAACCGTTCACTGTCGAATTTACAGAACCTGAGCATTGACGAGCTTATTACCAATGCTCAAGTCCTCATCCTCGCAGGTTCAGAGACGACTGCATCCCTCCTCAGCGGAGTTATCTATTTACTGCTCCAGAATTCGGTGGCCTATCAGCAGCTAGTTGATGAGGTGCGCTCAACTTTCAGCAGCGAGAAAGAAATCAACTTTGTCAGTGCCAGCCAACTCTCATACATGCTGGCTTGCCTGAATGAAGCTTTGCGCATGTATCCACCAGTGGCGAACGGTCTGCCGCGTGTCGTTCCTAAGGGAGGAGCCCAGATTCTGGGGCAGTATATTCCAGAACAGGTCAGAGGACATTGATATATTAACGAGTAATGAGCAATATCATTAACTACATCTACAGACATATGTGGCTATCCCCCAGTGGGCGCTCTACCACCGCAAGGAATACTTCGCTGAGCCTATGGATTTCCACCCTGAGCGCTTTCTTGGTGATTCTAGGTTTGCGAATGATCGACGAGATGCGCTGCAACCATTCAGTGTTGGCCCACGAAACTGCCTTGGACGGAAGTAAGTCAAGTTAGATGATATATCGGGGAAGCTTATTGACTCCATATTTAGCCTTGCATACGCCGAAATGCGTTTAATCCTCGCCCTTATCATTTTTAACTTTGACATGAAGATTGATCCTGACTGTCGTGACTGGATCCAGCAGAAAAATTTTACCCTCTGGCAGAAGCCTCCACTTAAAGTCTACCTGAAGCCAGTTGCAAGGAAGTCAGAGCCGTAATTAGGTATAATGAGTCTATATTTGACCATTTTCAGTAGTAATCTACATTTCTAATATCGGACTTCTTCTTTTGGAGTATTATCCTCATCTAACACAGCCAGTCTTTCTGGTGATGTAAATTAGCATGGTCATCTCCACAATTTTGAGGATATTACTATATATACCTGGACTGCTCCCTAATCCAGCCCTCACTGAACTCAGAGGGTTTTCCTACCCTGGAACTTTGTAGGATTCGGTGAAAACCACCAGTTATTAGTAACCACTAATTTTAAGGATTTCTCTAGAATTTTTGACATCACTAGATAGCCTAGTATTTAGGCACAAAAGTTATCTTGAGGAACTGATTGATTGCGGCAGAATACTACTCTAGCGGAACCAAGGGATCATCCAGTCCCAAGTTCCGCACAGGACGGACCAAATCAAGTACGTACTTGGACAGCATTGTGGACAGTCGCCGACACGTTGTAACAACATAATCAATGATGTAACACTGAAGAGGATCCTACAGTTGTATCCACGCCTTCGCAATATGTGAACCTTGCCATCCCACTAAAAATGTGTCCCCGGACACAAATTCAGGCATGATACAAGTAATTTTCTGGGTTGACACGCAATAAGCTAGTCATCATATCTACACCCTGAGTCCCTTCCAGCCGATGAATTCATTTCTTTTGTTAGGGTCCAACAACGTCAACCGAGCTTTATTAAATAAGAGTACCACCGCATATACAGTCTACTCAAGACTTCAACTACCCAGACCCGTGCATTTCTAGTCTGAAGAAGCCTACAGTGACAGTTCCTCCTGACACTACCGCTGCTAAGAATGGCCCACGTCGAGGGGCTGCAGGCGACTCTGGGGTATCTCGAGAACCCTACTGCACTTACTGTAACGAGCGTCGGCATGTGTCTATGCTGGCTTGTTAGTTACGCTGCAATGATCCGCAAGTCGTTCCAGGACCGTTCCTACTGCATGCCATTGATGCCACTTTGCTGCGATCTCGCCCATGAGTTCGTCTTCTCTGTGATTTGCCCCCCGACGGAGGACCCCATTCTGCAGTATTTCTTTGCAAGCTGGTTGGCTGGCAGTGTCATGATGGTTTTCACAACTATAAAGTTCATGCCTAATGAGTGGAAACACGCGCCGCTAGTCCAGCAGAATATTCTCTGGATATTCGCTATTAGTATTCTTGGTTGGATAACGGTACATTTGGCGTTAGTCGCCCAATTTGGACCAGATGATGCATCAGCATGGGCTGGTTGTCTCTGCCAATTACTCCTTGGTGCTGGTTCCCTGTGCCAACTGATTGTCCGAGGAAGCAGCCGGGGGGCATCCTTTTTCATTTGGTATGTCGGGGAACGCAAGTGATCTTTCAACTAGGTTCTTAACTAATTAATCCCTTTACTGGTTGACAGGCTCAGTCGCTTTGTGGGCACTATTCATGCTGTACTATATTATACTTTGCGGTTTCGCCATGGGCATGTTATATGGCACAGTCCGTTAGCATGGTGGGGTGGAGTGATCTTCTTTCTGCTTGACAGTGCCTATGGAATCCTTCTCTGGCATATCCAACAGTCTGAGGGGAATGACCAGCGGCGGAGAAAGACTGGATCAGAGATAAGACCAAATGAAGGGGGGGGGAAGCTGGACAGCTGGTGAGCGTTAAGGGTGTTCCCCTGGTAACCGGACCATCTGGCAATCCTGTGTGGAGCCTTCAGCATCTCCTGTTGTCGTCCGCAAAACGACCTGGGAAATAAGAAGAGTGAGAAAAAAAACCATTAAGTCTGGCTGAAAGTGTTGGATCGGCCATTGAATATTTCCGAGCGGAAACTCATGTACAACCGTGATAACAGTGGTGTCGCATTGCTTCAGCTGCTGAGACTTTCAACTGGATTGCGACGGCAAGCCTGAAAATGTGGTTCCTGCACAGCCAATCTTCATGGGTTGCAGCTAAAAGCATAATACAGCTTCTAGGTAACATTCTTGTTTATAGGGTAGAAGGTTAGGAGCTCTGACGCGCCCGAGTTGAACGCACGGCACGAAATCCTGTCGGCAGGCTATCTACCATTCTGTTTGTTCAGCTAGAAGGTGCCACTGTCAAGCTCGTCCCGTCTGATTCCAGCGGCCTGTATGAGCTCCAGATGAACTATGACCACGCAAATGTCCCAAAGACGCTCGCTTCTTCCCAAGAGTATATCTGCCTGGATATCGATGTTCCAGGGTACTGTTACAATGGCCACGCATTTGATTGAATCAGGAAAATTTACCTCGCTGCCGGTGGTCAGTATCAAGGAATTCTCTGCTACGCTGCCCGAAGTAAAACCAGGCCTCATCGTTGACTGGACTGGGTCCATGACTCTAACAACCAACTGTCTGTCCAGGTCGATCCACTTTTGCCGCCAAGGTCCATGGTAGTGGTCCTGGACGAGCTAAAAAGAATAAAAAAACTAAAAGAAAAGGATGACAAGGGTGGGATTCGAACCCACGCCCCTTTCGAGACACGGAAACTGATTAACAGTTTATAGGTCCAGTTCCTGAACCGTGCTCCTTAGACCACTCGGACACCTTGCCTTATCTATTTTAGTGTGAGATTATTGTGTTATAATCGGTATGAGTTATCGTTAGATAGTACAGGCTCATCTCATGAAATAGGCTATCAGATAGAATAGTGATTTTCAGCATTTCGGCCAGTTTCAAAAGCAAGGTTCCCCAGCATATTCATACCCCCTCAGTGATTGCGCATACCTGCCAATGGCCATCATGGCGAAATAATGCGAGCTATAGGAGGAGCTGATATATGTGCAGGCCGGAGAACAAGCCGTCATTGACTGATCCTCCGTCCATGTTGCCCCTCCAACAAGCGCCTTGGTCTGCGTTCGTAGCAAATACTCCACGCCATCTCTGAGTATGCTATTCATGGGTGACAGGTAAGGGAGTAGCGCCAGGAGCGTCAAAGCCGTCTGTGACGCTGTGGACGTCCCACCTTTCTCTCTCCAGCAAATGTCACCCCAGCCTCCATCTTGATTGCGGAGGCTCTCAAGCCAGTGGATAGCTTGGGACACGTCGTCATTGATACTGTCATCTCTCTCAGTCCATCTGTTGCGCTCTTTGACCCCGATGAAATAGGCCAATGCGCGGAGGACAGCGCTTGTCGCGTAGATGTGATACCTGGTGCAGCACCCAAACCAGGCACCGCAGGGTTGTTGGGTGACAGACAGGTAGTGTATTGCCCTTCGAGAAGCTGACGCGACATGATCGATCAATGTCCCTTGCGCAACCAGTTTCGTATTCCGTCGACTCACAGTCAGAAGCAAGCCGAAGGTCTCGAGGACATGCCCTGTCGCGTCTGGCGTTGACTGACGCACATGCTTGTCCGGTGAAGTGAGATAATTACTGCAGCTTAGAGATGTCCACCCACCATCTGCATTCTGTCGCTTCAGAAGCCATTGGAGAGCGTTGGCGACAAGGTGTGAGCGGAGCATGAGAGGATCCTGTCGAATTACCGCGTGAATCGCTGATGCCATATCATCCACACGACAGACACGGGTTTCGAAAGTCTTGGATGCGTCATTATTGACATCTGGAAGCAAACAACGCTGCAGCCATTGTACAGACTTCCTGAACCATGGGGCATCCACTGCGATGCCAGCGTCTTCGAGCCCCGTAATCATCCGACTGCTGTCGCGTAAGGTTGTATTCACACTCAAGATCCGCTTTCCATCCTCGTCCTCATACACAAAGTGTCCGATATCGTCCAGAGCCGTGCGCAGAGGACGAGATTGGACCGAGTAACCCTCCAGCTTCAACGCAAGTATCGCCATGTGCAGCGGCCGCGACAGGTGCCCGACGCCTCCCGTTTCCCGCACGGTCTGAAGGATAAACGCAACACTCCGATCAAGCGCATAGCGTCGGAGGGGAAGGATGTATTTTAGCAAGTTCAAGAAATGTACAACCAAGTCTGTGGAGGTTGAGGCCGGTGCAGTGTCCCCGCAAGTCCGAGGCGGAAAAGCACAAAAGGCTTTCTCTTGCGGTTTTGGTGGGTTGCACCGCAGTTCATTCAAGTATGAGTTGGCTGCACAGTCCTGAATGGGTAATGGGAAGATTGGACGATGGTGGCAGAGGATGAGGAGAGGGATCAGCACTGTATGATCCATAGCCGGCCAGCAGCATATACTGCTTAGGATATGTTGAGGCAGCAACATCAACTCCGGAGGCTGACTTCGAACCGCATTCCAGGGATATAAGCCAAACATTGCAAGATGAATGCGGGTAATAAAGCAGACCTTCGCTATGCTTCCTTCCGCAATGATAAATGATTGAGATCTGCGCATTTGATGCACATTCCGTGGGGCACCTAAGATTCTCAAAGCAAGATAGGCCTCAACCGTAACCGAAAGATCGCCACGGTCCCCTGGGTTGATGCCCCATGAGCCATCTGAGTTCTGGACAGAATAGAACCATGAGATGAACGCATCTCGGTCTGTATCCAAGTTGCTGCCAAGAGCCTGGTGCATGAGGATATGCTCTGCGGTTGTTGCAATGCTGTTGATCCTGGTTTGTCCGCGCCAGTTACCGCCCGGTCTCCTCTGGACTCTGCTATATTGGGTGGCCAATCGAAGCACCTGATTCGTCTCTGACAGCAGGCGATGTTGCTCTGGAGGACAGCCAGCCAGAGCAGTGAGCTGCGACCCCAACTCCACTGTACGAGACATTGTTATGCGGATATGTGTTTGAAAGGCCGGCGAGCAGCACCCAGCAAGCAAATGTATATCTAAACCCTCATGCGAATACTAGACTTAAACTTTCGCAGGCCTGCCTGCCGCCTCACTGATAACTGCATACTGGATACCAAAGGCCTGACTACGCTTACACTTTGGTCTTCTCTGAGACATTGTGTCTCTAGCTTGGGTTTACAGTTCTATGATCCGTATATCAGCGCAGTGGAATTAAGTCCCGTTCGGTTGCAGTCTCCTCTCACCAAAAGAGCTCTGACGTCTATAGGCTGGGATCTAAGATCAGCCGCTGGTTGCGGATATGACAGGTGTTTTGATGGTGGCTGAGGCCGCTTTGGGCTGGATCAAGGGGGTTATCCTGGAAAAATGTTCCCCTTCCGTGGAATGGGACTGTCATGGACGCCACCCCATTAACTTATTTTGTAGGTTAACTTCTTCCTGTAAATAAAGTTTCTACCGGGTCCAGATGTAGGGTTTCGGGTGGGCCCATGAGGTTGATCATGCTTGATTAATCGATGTCATATCACTTCACCCAGACGGCGAACGTCGTAGTAGTACCGGAAATCGACCACGTCTTGTTTCTAGAAGGGCCCATGTAGGATGTTTCCTTGACGGACAGTCGGCTACGCAAGCTGAATCAGTCTATGGCCAATTGACGTTCTAGAGATGCAGCTTGTTCGACAGCAAGGACGCAACTGGCGACTGGTAGGAGACTCCATCATGCCCTGCAGCTCTACCAGTACCTTGGTCTAGATTCTTAGCCGGACCATGCAAGGGACTTTGTGTGACATGCCATCCAACGGTAGAATTCCTCTAAACGTCCTGTGCTCATATATGAGAGTACTGTTGTGTTGATGCGTTTTAGCCAACACAATCAGCAACAGAAAGACTCGCTTCCCGATGAACCGCCACCGCTCAAGTTGGATTCTTCCAAACTCCCATACAAGAACTGGGAAGTCTGCTGTAAGAGGATAGAAACTCGCATTAGTGATACTCTGACAGGAATACCAGACTGTGCCACGGATCATTGACGGGCACCGCAATAAACTCAGCTTGGCAGTCCATGACATCTTCCTATCCACGCTCAAGACAGTACGCCACAGTGCGGGATCGCTTTACTCTTTCCTTGCCTTGCATGCCTGCGCTCTGAACCATTTCTCACTTCATAGAACGGGGGCTCAGAATGCCATCTCTGGAATCTATGACCTCACAGTGATTACCTGCTGAGGTAGTCCTTTCCTTTCTGTAGTACGCTTTGACCTCGAGGAAATGCGCTCTGACCGTGTGCATCTACCGTCAACGTAACCTCTCCGTGGCTTCCGAATCTGTTCAAGGCTTAATCTGACGAGATAGGGTTGAAGACGTCAAGAATGAGAGTCCCATGACTGAGCGACTGCAAATGACAACAGAGCAAGGCAAACTGGCTCTGTCCCACTTCCCAATAAATTGACAGAAATAACGCAGGACATTCCCTTTTCGCGCTTGGCAAGCCCCTTGTGTTGCAGTCGTTCTGCAGAAGCGGACACTCCATAATTTCTCCAAAACGTCGATCATGGAAGCTGTACTGGGCCTCCTAGCTGTCCTCTATCTTCTACCACGCACCCTTGCAGTCTACATCGTCAGTTCATATACAGTCTGCATCATATGCGAGCGCTTAGGCTTTATACCGGTCTCTTTGCTACAGTACGAGGCAGGTGATTAGGTGAGAATCCTCGTCGAGTGAGTTGAAAGTGAAGACTATGCTCACTCCTAGCTAGCTCTATTTGATGGTTCTATCAAACAACGTTCTATCCTTGTTGCGGGACTATGAGCTGGATGTCAATTTGAATGTGTATGAGCTTTATGAATTACGCAGCTTGTTTGGCTTTTTGCACTGTGTCTAGCATACCGAGAATGTAATACTATATCTCATGCGCCATTCGGTGCCTGTCATCGATATGCGTTAAGACCTTGTTAAAAGTAGGAGAGACTGTAGGCAGTAAGCTAATTACATTCTTGTCGAAGTGCACGGCATCTGTAAATGCGACGGCGCATCGATATGTTCCAAGACCAATGACCACATCAGTATTGTCGCCCTCAACCCAGCTCAAGCAAGATACGGGAGCAATTCAGAAAGCCACCACAGTCAAGCCTTATAACACTGTAGCTGGCTCTTGGTTGGCCTCCTTTCAAAGGACTCGGACAGCAGCACTCGGCGGTACAAGTATATTTCACCCACAAATTATATTCTCGGGTCCTTTTGTCGAGATGTTCGATATCATAGTTTGAAACAATATAGGCGATGATCATTTTGAGCAGATGAAGACCAACATGTCGACCCGCCTGACGAGTACGGTAGGTCAGTGAGAAATCATTCAAATCATCTTCCAAAGGGAAAGAAAAGCTCACCATGCATGATGTCCGGAGCCGAAAGGTAGATTTCTCGAATTCGGTGTTACCCTAGTGATCTTCTGCGTGGGCATACCCATGTCTTGGGTATATCTTTCCCTGCGTGAACTCATGCCATTTCCCATAGGCTGCTCCTTGAAGAAACGGAATGGCTGGTATGACTGTCCTTTATGGCAGAACTTCTCGTACCTATGGACATCCAAGGTGGACGCGGCAATCCACATACCCCGTGCCAGGTGTGGCCCGTGGGCAAGGTGATTCCAGATGGATGCATGACTTCCCCGTTGGATGCATACAGAAACACCAGAGCCAGACGTAATGTTTCCCGGACAGCACTATCTATGTAATGGAGCTTCTTGAAGGACATTGGGGCTGCCCATTCTTTCTCTGAACTGAGGACTGTTGCAGCTTCTTGCCGAAGCCGCTGATACAATCCTATTTCTGGCGGTGAGCTTGCAATATCCAAGATCGCAGCAAAGGAGGTAGGGACGGCAGTCAGATATGGGAACCTGCTCTCTTTCCTCCTGCTCAATTTGGTCCAGTCACTCCATAACGAGGGGTGGCAGACAACACTCTCCTTTGAGCAAAGTGCAAGGGGACTGAGGAAAGTGCCAAGCAGCGACTGTAAGAACTAGAACACCTAACATGGCAGCCCCTTGGAGATTAGTCAATTTGGCAAGAGAACCTAAGTAGCACGCATCGTGGCTCAGCGGCAAGCCCCATGAGATCCGGCTACTGATCCCAAGCATAACTCTTTGCATCGCTTTAACAAGCCGGACTGTTTGCCAGTTATAACAACCCTTGACCAACTTCTGGTCGATATTTCGACGGAGTTCTTCAGCGAGTTCAGACGGAATGCGGTCTATATCCTGAGTGAGAAACTGGCTGATTACATGAATGGCAATCTTCTCGTCCAGCGCAAAGGCTCTATTGCAAAAGAGATTCTTAAAGTAAAAACTATGGTCCAGGACTTCAAACACAGGTAAAACACTGTCAGGTTGCTGAAGAATTTATTCAAAGTCCTTCGCTGGCAAGATGCCTTGAGGGCGTAGGTTGGCATTGGCATGGATAAATAGCCGACCATGTCGATTAAACCATTCTCGTTGGCACTATTAGATAAAAGCACCATTCAATCGAGTCACAGCATGTGTAAATGAATGTTTTTACCTTGTCATATCCTTCTGAGAGAATCGGTCGTTCCTGAAACCAAGCCTCGAAAGCAGACTCTTAAGCCCATCGAAATCTTCTTCCTTCCCCCACGCGGGGAATCCCCCAGGGGGGGAAATGAAGGGGGAACCTTCCATTGCCCAACAACGACAGCGATAAACATGGGGAATAAAGCGCAGAGAATGAGAGCGATGGATAAATTTAGAGAGATAAAAACTACAGGCAGCTGGATCATTCTGTGAAATTGCTGCTCTACGGATACTGGACACAGAAACGGTTTATGATGAATACCTTAAGGTCTGGTGGCCGGATCTGGAAGATACGCAGTCGACATATAAAGGGAAGCATTACGCCATGAAACTATGATTAATCATAGTCAAGGCTAAGCCATAAGAAGAGATTGTAACCTACCAAGGTTATGACAACTACGAAAATAACCTTAAAACGCGGTCCATAGTCAGCGTATCCACGGGACTGGAGTCCAGACAGGGTTACATTCCGGATATTCCAGGCCGGATAGGCTCAATTACAGTGGGAGAATAATAAAGTCAATTTCTAAGTGCAGAGCAGTCTCAGTAAAATTCGACAATTCTGCAGTTATAGACCACCCAGGTTGTAAGAATCGTTCGTGTCGATGGCCACTACGCCATGTCTTTGATGTCTTGCAGACGGAACCCATTAAGCCAACATATCAGTCGTATTCATAGACACGTGTCCTTGATTCATTCTTGTGCGCAGTGTGCAACAATCCATGCAAAAGCAGCAGGGTACTCCAGCCATGTGGTGTACAAATGGAACCCGGTGCAAGCTGCACAGCGGAATATGTCTTACTTGTTCATACTCCGGGCTTGGAAGACCGATTGGATAGCGAGGTCCTGATCTCATGGCTCCTGTCTCACAGCACGAAGATGGGTGGAGTCTGGCAAACGCCTACCACAGGAACATCTCCATGGAACCCAAGGCACATCTGGCGTTAAAGCTACTCGACCTTACATTATACAAGTTGCCGTTTGGGCATTGGGTGTAGTGGCTATCGTCGTATTCCAACTGTGCCCAGTATAGATATCGCATTGGCGAATATCTTTCAGCGATATAATGAAGGTGAGAACTTGTTGCATGTCGTCGCACTGCTGGGCTACACCCACAAGGCCAGCGTTGCTGGTTCCTCTGGCAAGGAACGATATATCACGTCATCCAAGTATTTAATGGAGCTCGGCTTTGATCCGTTTCAAGAGGATCACACGCAACGGTCTGCTGTGGTGGGTTCATTTCTGTCTGTCTGGGGTCGTGGGTTAATGCTAACAGGTATAGGACGTCGCGGCCGCAAAGGGTAAAAGTGACATTCTTGCTCTTATTCAGAAGAAAACAGACGGAGAGACGGCGCGAGGTTTGCAGGCTTGGTTAACTCTAGATTTCAGATCAAATCAGCATGATTTTTAAGGTTCCTGCAATGAATCAAGCTAGGACATGATATTATAGAACAGCACTACCTATTTGTCTGCCCTCGGTCCAGATCATTCTCTTTAACAGAGAAGTTGAAATCGGCTGTTACTTCAGTCGAGATGTACGATGTGGTCCTCTGAGCTTCAAGGGAATATGATATCCTCTGTTCTACTACGCGGATGGCCTCATGTCATTTTTCCCTTCCAGCGGTCATAAAATCTCCCCAAGTGACCGCGCAATACAGGCATGCCAAATGGCAGACTCTAAATGGAACTTTGTATACAGATGATCTACTTGAAACCCACTAAGGGAGCGTCCTCTCGCCACCATTTCGTCTTCTCAGCCGCTATTTCATGTATCTTAGTGTAGGTGATCTTCTGTCCGTGGCGTGTAGTGGCTACTATGCCCAAGGTGGTGCAGATCCCCACTGTCCTCTCAGGTTCCTCTGCAAGGCTTTGAGTCAGTGCTTCATCTTGTTTCACTTTAATCCACATAAGGTATTGCGTACGTACTCTACAGTATACATGATACAGCCCTACCGATTCTAGTAGGGGCCTGTAAGCAATAGTAATCATCGAATTACCGCGGATGAAAGTCCCTCAGGACCCCGACTGCTTCAACCCCCAATCCAACAATCAGGGGACACCGTCGCTGCATTTCCCTGAATTGTCCGCCAGGGATCCACCAATACACAAGGTCCTCCGGCATAAGATTAGCAGCTCAGTGCCCTTTTCTCAGACTGGTCCGACCTAAGCACAGACCAGGATGACGCGTACCACTCACTAGCCACGATACTGCTAGAGTCGAGACTCGCTCACCAACGGCCGCCCGAGTCCAACGTGAATCACTGGCGCCCAGCTCGAGTCAGTGACGCTGCCAAATGCGTTTTGGCTTTGCTTGGCATCAGTTATCAATCAGAAGCTGGTGGCGCGTTTGTTGTTTCACTTGCTCCAGCCGTCCCTCCACTGCACTCGTCAGTCGTCACCTGGCAGCTTGTAGTGGGCACTGGCGCCGCAGGACGATCCCTGGGTCTAGACGCAGGTTCATTGTGTCCTGCCTTTGTAGGGCAGATTCTGCAGGTCGAAGCAAGTGTTCGTCCCTCTTTCTCTTCGTCCCGAATGTTGACGAATTGTTAGTCTCCACCGGACGATCCCTCTGAAGCTGACGCGTACCAGCTTGCTGGCTGCAATCTTGAAGCTGGAGGAAGGATGGGACAGAGAAGGTCATCTAGCTGATCTAACTTAGGATGGACTAATAGCCCAATTCAGGATTATTTATTTGTGCAGGAGGAGTTTGGAAATCCCTAGTCAACACAGGCAGTCTAGCGTGCCAGCATGCCTATATAAATGCCGTCAAATCCACTCTCAGAATCCCTTTTTCTCCTCATAGTCCCGGTGACTCCAGAATCTAGCACAGAGCTTTCCATTCTTTTCAAAATTCACACTCTTTGACTTCAAGGCCTGGTTGCCATCTTCAATTCTTCAACTTCGAATCAGATCTTCTGCGTCACATAATCCGTTCATTTCGTCCGCTTCACAATGAAGCCTCAGACTGCTGCTTTCCTTCTCAGCCTTCTCGGCTCTACCCTGGCTGCCCCCATCCAGCACGCCGACAAAGGGTCCGATGTAAAGCCCACTCCTACCGGACAGGGCGCTCCTGGCGGATTCCTCACTGGCTTCCCCTCCGGTATCCCCTCTGGCATGCCATCCGGTTTCCCTGGTGGTCCCATGCCATCCGGCCCTGTTCCCACTGGCGCTGCTCCCTCCGGCTTCCCTTCATTCGGCACTGGTCCCGCTCCCTCTGGCGCTCCCCAGGGCGAGGAAGGCAGTACCTCCTTCGGCGGCCAAGGTGTTCACGCCCGCTCTCCACAGGATTTCGAGGGTTCGGGCGCTGCTCCGTCTGGTGCTACTCCCTCTGGTGCCATGCCCACCGGCGCTGCTCCCTCGGGCGCTCCCGGTGGCTTTGGCGGTTTCGGTCAGGGTGGTCAGGGCGGCCCAGGAGGCCCAGGCGAGGAAGGCTCTGGTCCTTCTCCTACCGGCGCTGTCCCTTCCGGAGCCATTCCCTCTGGAGCCGCTCCTTCCGGCGTAGTTGGAGGCTTTGGCGGTTTCGGACAGGGATCTCAGAACTCTGGCAACGCCCAGTTCCAATCTTCTGGCACCTCGCCTTTCGGTGCTTCCCATTCTGGATCGGCTAGCGGTCGTCAGGGTGGCCGTCACGGTGGTGGCCACCGTGGTCAACACGGCAAAGGCTCTGGCGCGATTCCTTCCGGTGCTGCTCCTTCTGGTGCCGCTCCCTCTGGCGCTGCGGGAGGTTTTGGTGGTTTTGGACAGGGCGGCGAGGGTTCTGGCCCCTCTCCTACTGGCGCTGTTCCTTCGGGTGCTGTCCCCTCTGGTGCTGCCGGATTCGGTGGTCAGGGTCAGGGTCAGGAGCAGGGTCAGGGCCAGGGTTCATTCCCCACCGGCGTCGCTCCATCTGGCGTTCCCTCTGCCCAGCCTACTGCTTGAAGCGTCGACAATCTTCTGAGGAGATGATGGGGTGCTACGTTGGGGTCTTTGGTCAAGCAATGGACTCTGATCACAGCCTGTATGTAATATGCTCTGAGGGACTGGTACATGTTTGAGAGATGTGGGACAGATTTGATGTATTATATAAGAATTCAGGAACTTATCTTCCATGATAATGAGCCCAGAAGTCAAGGTAGTTCATCGCCCGGATGCAGTCAATGGGACAGAGTCCTCAGATATCGATCTGATTCGCCGATCAGAGAGCATCTTCCGGCATCAGACTTGCGACAGTAAGATAACCGTAACTGCGCCGTTTGGCCAAGTTTTGTGCTTACTTCTTGCAGCTCTTTACCAAGATCCTCATCGATCAAAGAAGGATACCAAATAGATCATGGACGTCACTTGGATCTCGTCAGCCCATATGAGCGATTTATCCATCCGCGTGAACCCTGTCCCTTCTAGCATCTAGGCTTGACCTGCGTGAGGTGCATGATCCTGCCCTCCATAAGGCAAAGGACTGACCTGTCGCATCATCTCAGTTACTCATCGTCAAAGAGCGATGGAAACCATTAACCAGCTCAGGTGATAATGACATGCTCCAGCAGTAATTCACCGCAGAAGATGCCCCCCGCTGGGCAATAGAATTGGGATTGGTTCATCATGCTTGGTTGCTTTTGGTGCTCGAACTTAACTCGCAATTATCGGGTGTTTCTCCACATCCTCCAAGTAGGACATGACGCGTTCCACGAGTATCCTCCTCGGCTCGGTCTGATCCTCATCGCTCAGCGCATGCGAGGCGTTCGGAATGATCATACTGTTGCTGTCCCAGCAGTCGCCAGCTGCCATGGACCATCGCTTCAACAAATGCTCCTTGTCAACCCACGGTGGCACCGACTGATCTCTTCCGGAATACAAGACCAGCAGTTTTGAACCCAGCAGACCCCGTGACCGCAGCTGGCCAAAGGTCTTCTGCATCTGGTCATCGGTGAGGTCGGAGCTGAACATATCGTCTTCTTCCGGTTTCTCTGGACTGTCTGGGCTGGCCAGGCTCAGAAACCGTCGACTGCTCACCGGCGTTGAGCTTGGATACCCGATCCGAGTTGTTGCCGACAGGGGGAGGATGGTGTCGAGGGTGTCATCATCTTCATAAGGGGTAGATCTGGCACGCGCAATAGTTCTCTGGTATATCTCGCGCATTCTTCCCGGCCCGTCCCTGTCCGTTCCATCTCGGATGACCCAATTAATCGCTTCTCGGTCCGAGACAGGGGCTTGCATGATGGCTCCGTCGACAGGAGGCCGCTTGGAAGGTTCTACTGCCACATCCTTGTCCAGCACCGGATGTCGCGGTCGCGGATTCGCACAACTCAAGTAATGCATGACATCTTGACTGCCCGTCGAATGACCCATGATCACGATCTTCCCCGCGCCGAATAACCCCTGCTTGTAATCCCGAACATACTGCACACAGCGCGCAATCTCGTCGATGTCTTTGCCCAAATGACCCACTCCCCATCCGCTATAAGAAGAAGAGAGAATGGGCGAGAAAACGGACCAGGTTGTATATTCCAGCGCTGTAATAAGGTCGGTCAGGTATTCGACAGTGCCGAGTCCGTCTCCCAGGCCGCCGATGAACACGAGGGTGTTTGGTTTCCTAACGAGGCCGTTGGTATACTCGAAAGCGACCAATCCTTCACACTGTTCAATTGATGAGATGTTAGCGCAAAGACAAAAAGCTTCTTCGATGGAGCCTGCGCGTCTTACATACATAGGGATGCAGAATACCAGCATGGCCCTTGGTTCGTGGTTGCCGCAAGGGAAGCTGCATTTTGCGGTCGCGAATCAGCAGAACTGGCAGAAACGTACAGGTTTTATTTGCTGTATGCTTTGCTAAACCAGGAGAGATGACACAGTGAGTGATGAAGAAAACAGGAGTTGTTTTGCTTCTAGACAGAGAAAGGGAGAAAGGGAAGATTCGTTGGAGACAAGAGCTTCACCAGCCCTACCGGGAAAACCTCGGCCCGCAGCAGATGATATGGACTGAATTAGGACGGATCAGTCAAATGATCATGTCTATAGTGATCCTCAACTGTGTACCATGTGCTTATAAAAAGAAGCCAGATGTGCCTTTCTCTTTATATCCTACTGATGCCTGATCTACAATTCCCCCTCTCATACGGTTCTGTCAGGATCAGATAAGATTAGATACAGTGGGAGCTAGCATCAGTAAACTTGGCCCTAACCCAATCGGGCATTCCGTCCTGGCCACAGAAATTGTAGAGATGATTTTGCCTATCGCTGAGCGTAAGCACTACACATCGCCTATAAGACACTTACGAATGTGCAGATCTGGCTGGTGTTTTCGGTGTCGATATATGGTAAACGCAAGGGCCTATGGGCTACGATCGACTTGAATACTCTACTGAAGTTACCAAGATAATAAATAGACTACTACAATTACTTGTGGTATAGTACAAACTATCAACATCTTGCTGCTTCATCTGACTGTGACAACACTACCATGTCAATCCCTTCAATTTTAACGGAAGGTGAAGCAATCGTTGCCCCGACTCTGTAGGTTTCGGCAATCGCCCTGCTCGAATGTTCATCTGCAGTGACTGGTGAAGCAGCCTCGGCTCAGCCAGCTTCGAGTCACGTTCCTTCCGGAGCGTGACAAACTCTTCTTCGGTAACACCGTCTCTAAGATGTTTATTTTGCTGCCTATGATCGTGGACACTCAGCGAGGGAACTGGTTCCCTGCGCTCCTGGGGAGGATAGTCATGGCCCGTCCAGATCTTGACGTGATCTGGCAGGCCCAAGACCTTCCGCCCTGAACGATAGAGGTTGTTTGCACTGCCGCCGGGGAAATCGCAGCGTGCGGTGCCAATATCCGAATGGAAGATCAGGTCACCGCAGAAAATATTGTCTAGCCCGTCAAATTAGCAATGCGACAAAGTCAATGGGTGTGACTCGGCATACCTCCAATGCGGTATCCCAAATGGTCTGGTGTGTGTCCAGGAAGATGGATGGCCTGGGCCGTCAAATTGCCAATCTTAAATGTCTCATCGTCCTCAAATAGTTTGTCAAAGACATCTTCATATTCCTGCGCAGGAATGCCGTATCTCTGACCAAACAACTTCTGCACCTGTCCAATGCGCTTGCCGATCCCGATGGGCGGCCGGTGGCCTTGCTCCTCGGCCAAGCGCTTCTGCAGATATGACGCTGCGGTGAGATGATCTGCATGTGCATGGGTTTCAAGAATTCTGTCGACTTTGTATCCCTTCTCCCTGACCAAGGACAAGAGCGCGTCAGCGGACTCCGTGGTGATGCCCTGGGTGGCGGGGTCATAGTCCAGGACCGGATCAATGATGACGGCTGTCGATGTCGTTGGATCGGCCACCACATATTGCCAGGTGCCTGTCTTGCTTTCAAACACATTGTGAATGGTCGGTTCTCCTGGTTCCATGGTTGCAGTGCTGTATGTTGCTCGAGGAACGGTACCATTCAGGAAACTTTCGTTAGGATAGGTGCGTATATTCTGAGCACGTTGTTTTGACAGCGGCCTTGTATAAACTGATAACGATCTCAGAGGCGCTTTTCCAATCGTGCAGGGCGACTTCTGTGTAGCTCTGTGATGGAGAGGACGCAGTGGCACTCGGACTGCAGTGGGAGGCGCGCAGAACAGACCCGCTGTTACTTGCCAATTTTTGCAGATTTGAGGTTGCATGGACGTCATGTTTAAATGCATTTGTGCTCAATGGCAGTGTCCAAGACACATGCGATCTGAAGCTGTTTATACTTCTCCCGGTCTCCATGCAGCCAATGTATGCATCGGGGATCGATCTGTATCCACTCGGCGATCCAGGCACATGACTTTTGATCGGCGACTGGCATCTTCCTTATGACATCACTCTTTATGCAGCTGACATAATATATGCCAAGCATAAGTTAACGTGGTCGCCGATGCAGGGCGGGTGGGCCCACTGGCTTATCTAGGATCCTTATCGCACCATTAATAATTGCTCCTGATTGCGACATCCGGGGGCCCTTTTTATCGTCGTATTTTTGTATCGTCGTGCCCGTCCAACTCTTGCTTTCCTTTTGCTCACTTGCACTCCAGTTTTCTTACATCTTCCAGTCTCATATTATGTCAGTCATGTTTCGCAGCCGCGTAACAGTGGCAGCTTCTGCTGCTGTTTCTCACTCAGTACTTGCTGCACAGAATGCCTCAACGGTAACGCGGGGTTTCGCAACAGCTGCAGTGGGCACTTCGCGCAATCACAGAGTAGTCGTGGTGGGTGGTGGCAGCGCTGGTCTCACGGTCAGTCATCAGCTGCTTCGCACCGGAAGGTTCTCTCAAGACGACATTGCGGTGGTCGACCCCGCTATCTGGCATCACTATCAGCCCGGATGGACTCTTGTTGGCGGTGGTCTTAAGAACAAGGAGGATCTACGACAACCCCTCAACGGCCTGCTCGATCCCAAGCTCAGGTTCTACAACGACAGTGTGCACACATTTTCTCCCGAAAACAACTTCATCACGCTCGCCAATGGAGACAAGGTCAACTATGAGCACTTGGTCGTTGTGCCCGGCATCAAGGTCGACTTCAGCAGCATCAAGGGTTTGCCTGAGGCTCTCGCAGATTCGAACTCGCTCGTTTCGTCCATCTACGGCTATGACACTTGCGACAAGGCCTACAGCACCATCGAGAAACTGCAGAAAGGTACCGCCATTTTCACCCAGCCGGCTGGCGTGATCAAGTGCGCAGGCGCTCCCCAGAAGGTCATGTGGCTCGCGCTGGACTATTGGAAACGTGCCGGTCTCTACAACCCCAGCAATCCCTCGAGCGGAGCAATCCAGATCAGTTTCGCTACCGCTCTGCCCGGAATGTTCGGTGTGCCCAAGTACAGCGCCAAGCTGGAGGAGCTGCGCAAGGAGAGAAAGGTGGAAGGACTGTTCCAGCACGATCTCGTCTCCATCGATGGCGACAAGGCGACTTTCAAGCGTCTGGACGGACAGGAGCAGGTGACCAGACGGTTCGATTTCCTACATGTCGTGCCCAAGATGGGAGCGCATGCGTTTCTGAAGAACAGCCCTCTCGCCAATGAGGCCGGTTTCGTCGACGTCGACGACAACACCACGCGCCACAAGAAGTACGGCAATGTCTGGTCGGCTGGTGATGCCTCCAGTCTCCCCACATCCAAAACGGCGGCCGCGATCACGGCACAGGCACCCGTGCTCGTCAGCAACCTGCTGAGAACCATGGAGGGCAAGGAGCTCGACTCCTCCTACGACGGTTACACCTCGTGTCCACTGCTGACCGAGTACGGCAAGGTCCTGCTGGCAGAGTTCAAGTACGCAGGAGAACCCAAGGAGACGTTTGGTAGAATGCTGGGCATCGACCAGGCAACTCCTCGCCGTGCATTCTACCACCTGAAGAAAGACTTCTTCCCCTGGGTCTACTACAACTACATGGTGAAGGGCACCTGGGGCGGTCCCAAGGGCTGGATCCAATAGAGTAGAGTTTTTGCATGTATGATACTAGGTTATGGACAATAGAATAATTGATTTGGAGCGAAGCAATAACAAGTCTATGAACGGTACCTTACCTTTTTCTCCAATCCGCAGGCTATCTTCATAGATTCCAAATTCTAATTGGCTGGATCTATTCAATATTACGTGTATTTGACCCCACAGTCTCCAACTTTTGTACCTCTCCAGATTCTTTCCTCCTCCTTCATTCTTTCTTTCAGCAACTCTACGGTCTGGAGAATCGTATCTCAAGGTCTCTCTCTATGTCTGTTTCTTTCGATTATTTCATAATTCGTACCGCTTGCAAGCTGCACTCGCAACATGGCTTACCTTCTTTCCCACTGAAACAGCCATGACTCTATCGGCCGAGAACGTCCGAGACTCGGCCGGGTAACGTTTCTCGTCCGATATTTGCTCTTGGGATAGTCCAAAGAATATTCTACAGAGCTCAGGATCGTCTTCATCATGGTGGTCCCCGTGGCAATCCCCTGAATGTCTCAGACAGCATCAGGCCATAATTTGATTGCCTCAGCTGAGAGCCGCTTGGCCGGGAAAACTATCATATTCCGGTTCTTCGGAGGCTTCCTGATTATGACGACCATCTCAACGTGGAACTTCGGTGGTTAACCGAGTCGCCGACTGAATTTCCTGTCCTGTTTGCTCGTAGGCGTTTGTCGGTTTGTAAGAGGCTTTCGAGCACCTTAATGGAGACTCACGCTTCCCAACATGATACGGACGTCCCCGCATCTGGCAGATTGATGAAGTGGCTCTGCAGGAGCTTTGCTTGAATTGATGGCTGTTGAGCAGGTCCCTCTCTTTTATCGGACATTTTACTTGAAATGATGAGATCTTGCCCGGTTGCTCAAGTCGTCCGAGGTATTAATGGTTCGTGAACACGGTATGTGCATTTTGATCAGGCTAATCTCCCATCATATTGTCAAAAAAAGGGTGAAAGCCTGAGCTGAAGGACTACTCGTCTTGCGAAACGGACGGATCTTGGGCTGGTTTGACCGAAAGCATCCAGGCGCAAGGACTTGTAATGGCCTAATGCGCTGTGCTAAGAGCCAAACACAATATAACACAACGTACGTCTGACGTTGACCTAAAGGCAGTCATTACTCCATTGTCCATTGCTCTCAGTATCATAGACGTATATGCAATCAAGGCTGCCTTCTACCGAGGATTCTATCATGACACATCATTTATTTGTCACACAAGAGATCACTCCTTTTCATCATGGGTCCATCCAAGAATTCTCTGTGCCTTGTCAACGGCAAAGAAGCTCTGGTTCTTGGACATATCGCCCCGAATCTCAGCTCCGGGATAATACTTCTTGGCCAACTCTTCCGAGGGTGTGTCTTGGGTGGTAGTCGGCGCCACGATGTTAAAGACCTGGCATCCCTCAAAGTTATCGCTCTGTTCCACAGCGAGCAGACACGCCCTCGCTGTCGCCTGAGGGTTCACCCAGCCCCACAACTGCTTGACCGCAGCATTCTCCCAATCTTCCTGGTGCTCCTTCTGCACGTCCTTGAGGGGAGCGACCTCGTGTATACGCAAACACGCGATCTTCATGCCAGGGAACCATGTCGCGAACGAGCGTGCCTGGAGCTCGGCCTCATGCTTGGCCAGTGCATAGGCATCCGTTGGCCGCTGCGGGGCGTCTTCATCGACGGGGAAGTAGTCGAATTTGAGTGGCTGGTTTGCATACGCCAGCCCCACGGCGTTGACTGACGAAGCATAGCAGAATCGCTTGATGCCCAGTTCCGCCGCGGCGCGGAAGCAGTTGAATGCAGAGTTGACGTTATTGTTGTGGACGGTGTGATCTGGTTTATCGACCGGGTCGGGGATGGATGCCAGATGGATGACGGCATCGCAGTTCTTGAATGCTTTGACGCAAGCGTCATAGTCGTTTGCAACGTCCGCCGTTGCCATCTCCGAACGGGGCGTGCCGTCGTAGTCGGTGTCGGTGCGGTTGATCTGCACCGTGGAGTGGCCGGCATCAGCGCAGAGTTTGACCACGGATCGGCCGACAGAGCCACGAGCGCCAGTAATTGCGATCCTCATGTTTCCTTCAATTGTTGTAAGTGAGTATTTTCTAACGATCTGTGTCTTGGTAATGCCTGATTTGAAGTTCGGAATCTTCGGTTGGTGGCTTGTGAGGATTGAGATGCTCCGCGTTGAGCGACAACAAGAATGTATACGGAGGGGTAAATTTGGCCGTAATTGAAAGGCTACGGTTCTGGATATGCAGTCCATTTTGATCTCTGGCTTGGTGGTTGTCAAGATATATGAAGCCTTCACTTGACCTTGATTTGTATAGAAGATAGAATGACATCAGGATGATGATGTCAAAGTGGGCAGTCCAACCTAATCGAAGCAAGATACGCATCAGACAATTCTGGACTTGTGGGGCCTAGATTCTTGGATTAAGCAGAATATCTTGATTCTAGACTCATTTTTAGTTATAAGGGAATTCAGCTTTAATATCTTCAAGCAGTTGTTGGATCTGGGCATCAGCACTCTTGTCAAAGACCGTATCACGTGTTCTGTATACTCTCGCGAATAGGAGACAACTTTGATACTCGCCAATCTGCAGTATTACATTGATGAACAGGAGTTTGGAATTACCAGTGTTTATCTTTCAGCTGTCAGAATTAGCCTAGACATGATTTCACATGGGGAGGTTGACATTTCATCGCAATAGTATGAAGGTTTACTCCATAATATATATTTAACCCTGTTTCTATCCTAGTAGTAGTCATTAAAGGTCCGACCGAGAACAAATCCAATCAGAAAATCAATGATATTACAAATTAAGGCAATCCCTATAAGTACCAATATTTCCATATTAAATTGAATGGATTGCAGCGCCGTGATGCCTGTCCGAGTTCATATCAAGGTGTAGACTCGAGACTGACTACTTTTTGTCTATAAGATGAAAACTCTCCACTGCATGGAACAAGTAAGGCCGGTTGGTGTAGTTGGTTATCACGTATCGTTAACACCGATAAGGTCGCCGGATCGAGCCCGGCACTGGTCACTTGTTCTTTTTTGTCCTTTACTCTCCAATTCACTTTTGTTTCCTGATTTTCCAATGCAGTCTACTCAACGCATCTACAATCAAGCGATAGACAAAGATACAAGTATTGGAAGCAACACCGTTCAGTTTCTATAAAGTACTGCTGCTTGTCCGCTATCTAGATTATAATCCATCACCTCTCCGACTCGCATCTAACAGGCCGCGGAATACATGACAAAATTAACTAACAATTAAAGATCATCCTGAACCCAATAGGCACAAGCCCCTGCTTTCCGCCCAGAGTATTATAAAAATTGACACTGCCACTTTGCGTCTGCCAGTTGCTCAGCTCCACGAGGAAGCTCATGGGATCCGAGCACGTATTCGAGGCAATGATAGTCTTCGACTCCGCAGTCGTCGGCTGCGTCGGGAAGATGTACGTGCCGACCATCGCCCTCCTCTTCGGGGGCCTGTTGTACGTAGGCATCGAGTTCCAGTCCCAGGGGTCAGTAGTCCAGACATCGACCTGGGTCGCGCCCTCGGCGATCTGGTTGGGTTGAGACAGGGCCGGGATGTCGATTTCTAGCATGCAGCCTGTTGCGTTTTGGGGGATGTAGTTGAATGTTATGGCGGAGATTTGCGTGTTATAGGGGGGATACCCGGCGCGGCTGACGGTAAACTGCTGGCCTGGAGAGGCATTGTCGGGTGTTGAGACTCTTAGCACGTCGATGACGGATGGGCCCAGAGTGCCACAAGCTCGAGGGACGAGGTCCTCGGTGGGGGTGGGAGACGCTGTTGCTGCGGCTAGAAGGAGGCTGAAAAGAACAGCAGACTTGAACATTGTGGTTGATGGGTAGTAATTTGGTAGGAGAGTCAGGTCTTGATTTCAGAAGTTGGCTTGTTAGTTGGACCAGTGGACAGGATGAAGACGACTATTTATGTCTATGGGATGACCGCAGCTGCTCAGCCGGTGTAGTGCACCTCGAGGCATTCAAATTCGAGTCGACAACAAGGGTTTGTGGCGTCCAAAGCACTGGTCATAGTGTGACACAGCATACATCGAAGCTGATGGCTTCTGCGAGAACCATTCAAATCAAGACGAAGTTCTGTAATAAGTACGAGTCTACCACAGGAACTCAGTCATGATGTCGAGAACGAGCCATAGAGTTCGACTTGTCTCAGAAGATTGATCGAGGAGCTCCAACCGGATTGCCTAATCACGCAGTCAGACTGCCATGTCTTACAGGACGTCTTGGCAAGATCTGTGAGAGCCTTGCGTCAGACAGAAAAATATTGATTATGGGACGGCAATTTCGGCATTTGTTAGGTTCTTGGTCTGGAATTAATCGTCGTCAAGAGTTGACCGAAAGCGTGGCTTCGATCACCTGATTCAATCCCAGGCTCAGCTTGCAAACCGGCATTGGCATACTTCGAAATGTCTTACTGAGTGTCTTGTTGGACGTCAAAGGATTCAAAAGATTGGTGCAGCGCTCGTATAGAAGCGAATGGATGACCAATGGCGATGACCACTGGGGCCTAATACGAGCTTGTCCTCGAAAGGATTTTAGCGGTGTGGATCTGGATGAGGAGACACATTTGGACCTTTCCAATTTCGCAGAGTAAGTAATATCATACTGTATGTAGGTGTCTGCGATTAGGCCAATGTATTGATTCATGCCTAAGGGAAGGCGGCATAAACATAGGACCATGTTCGGAGAGGAAGTCTGTCGAAGGGAAAGCAAGAACATGGATTGAAGAACTGGTTCTTCGAGAGCAGTGAGAGAGGATATTTCTGATCCAGTCCTTACAGCATTTTGCTGCACAGTATGCATGAACCATGCATCTGACAGCCACAATTTCTATAAATAGCACTCAATTCAATATATTGTAAGCTATGGATCCAAGCTCTTACTAATTGTCTAATGATAGGTCAGCTGGTCACACTGCAGTCTATGCTTGACGCTTATTGCATGAATGGTCCAGTCGTCTTGATGAAAGAAAAGGCCTTGTCGGAGTCAACCGCCTTTACTCAACGGCCATCAGTGCAGATCTGCCCTTGAGGCTATTCAAGGATAACAACCTCTCATAGATTGTTAATCTGGTAGTACAACTTCACTCTTTGAAACCATCTGTTAGATCAAGGCACCGGCGAGGGACTGGTTTGCCGTAATGATGAAGATGGAAACACAACTTGACGTGATGCACACTGCAAGGGGGTTCCTCTTGATCAATCACAGACTCGGTTGGAAGAAGGGAGACACCGATACTTCTTTTCTCATAGACACTATTTCTAGCAATCGGTATACAACTTGGCTTTGTGTGAGTGGAGTGGAAAGAGTTCCCAGATTCTTCTCATCTTTATGCCTTTGGAATCCTCTCTTCAAGGTATTATGCTAAGATCGCGACAGAGGTAAGATGGTACCGTCAGGATTAATCCCGGATCATGATCCTAAATAGTACAGCTGCATGGGTTGACATTATCTAGTGCTACAACTCAAAGCCTTGCAATCTTTAGCACTCAAAGTACAAGAAAATTGATGCTATTAGACATGGTCATCCACCGATATAAGATCAAGAAACCGCTCGGCGAGGGCTCTCTAACTCCATAGAAGCCACCGTGTCCCCCTCAAGCACGACTTCCTTGTAAATTTTGAACCCATTTCGCTGCAAAACCTTCACACTCCCTTTATTAGCCAAATTAACCACCGCGAACAATTTCTCCTCATGTCCCAAGCCATCGACCCGAGGCAGCTTCCACCATGCGTCGATCACCCCTCGTAAGGCTTCGCTGGCGTATCCCCTCCCCCAGTACGAGGGATGCATGGCGTATCCCACCGTGGGAGCGGGCGATAAAGAGTTAACACCAAGGGATCCAATGATGCGATCAGGTTCGTCTTTTGGAATAATGACAAAGAAGAATAACCGCCCAACAGCACCGGCTGCGTCTGGATCTGTGAACACCTTTCTCGTCATGTGGGCTTTGGTTTCTTCGATAGTGGCATCTGCCACTCTTGGCCACCTGGGGCAAGTTAGTGTGAGGTTGTCATTGCAGAATACAGGGTTTCTCACAGCCAATCAACGACATCTTGTCGGCTTCTGATACTGAATATTCCCGCGGCGTCTTCGTCGTTGTCGATCCTTAGGGGCCGCAGGAGAAGGCGTTCGGTATATATGGATGGTACCTCCTCGGGAATAATTACTGCAACGGCTTGCTCGGGGTAATGCATCGAAAATGAGCGGGTAGTCGTTTGAATAAGAGGGTAGGGATATGTTTTTTGAGATTGAGATTGTGTTCTTGATATATACATGGGTTGTTGATGATGAGTCATTGGCATTCTAATGTGAGATTATAGATCGGCCTTAGCATCTAGCGGCAGCACATGGCCCGGCAATAGCCATCGTGCACGGAATAGACATCTTATACAAGTGAAAGTAACTTGTGTAAAATTGTTTTCGCTTTCAGAAGGACAGCTATCTTCCTTTCTACTCGGAAACATTGAAATAAGCAAATGCGTCTGTTCAAATCGACTAACCGCAAGGCTCTGTGGACCCAACCGCGGCCAAGATAAGCTTAATATATGGAACAGTGCCAGCTGCAACGGGCCATCTTATTCTTGCATATCCTAAATGCAGATATCCGTAGCCTGATCTGGCCAGTTTGTAACGGCCTGGCGCATTGTATAGGGAGCACTGACGTGCGCAGGGTTTGAGCGCAAATGTATATGTGCGCCACGACAGTTAAGGTCATCTGCATTGCAGAAGCGCACTTGGACACATTTTCATGGATTGGAGCAAGCGACTGGATTCAGGATCACTAAGATTTAGGTTGTTCGGAGAGTAACCTGGCTTAGGAATGTATTCCATCATACTACACCCACTGGAATGGTGCTTCATCAAATGAATCTCGAGCTCTTGAATTCCATTGTTCGCTGTCTTCAAATGCCATTTTCTATAACCGAAAATTATACTAGGAACTTTCACTGTCTAATTGGGTTATTCTCATAAATCATTATACCTCACCGTTACCCCGCCTCAACCCTGTATTCCACGCTCTGTGTCTGAGCTTCCCTTCGCCCATTCCTGCTTCATCAGCTGCTGACAGAATTTACTCCTCTCTCTCACCCACTCCCCCTTGTACAAGAGCACAAACGGAATGGGCACACACGCCAGACTCAGAAATCCAACCAGCGAGGTCGCCCAACTCACCCCCAACGTCTCGTACATCGGCTTAGCAGCCAGCGGCAACAGCGCCCCAAGAACACTGCGCAGGATGACCGAGCTGGCGAGCGCGCTGGCAGAGTATATCTTGTAAGCATCGGTCACGTACGTCAACAGGGAGACGAAGATAGTCTGGTAGCCGAAACCGAACACTACGCCAGAGGCGATGGGAACTGCCCAGTGGAACTCTGATCGGGAGGTCCAGGCAAGCCAGAACGAGCTGGCTGTGAGGAGGACGGCGCCGAGACAGGAGATAGGGAGTCTGTGGAGTTCTGCACCGAAGCGCCATGGCTTGTTGCGTTTCTTGGCTTTGTCGTAGGTCATATCCCAGTAGAGGGCGACGAGACTGGTGGAGGCTGCACCGATGCCGACTATCTCTATTAGCGTGGTTCCGAGGACATGGGTGATGTACCTACCAGGTAGAAAAGCAAGAGAGGTTGTCTTCACATCGAAGCCGTAAACACCTGCCAAGTCAGCATGCGTAGTATGACTAGGAGAAAATGAGACAAACCCTCAAAAATTATTGGATAAGCTTGAAAATAGAAGAAGACAAGACCGTAAGCCAGCGCGATATATATCGAAGTGAAGGTGATAATGGGTTCGAAGAGCAGCATAGCCAAAGGTCGCTTGACAATCTGAACAACATTGACAGTGTTCTTTGAAACTGTATCCTCCATTCCAGTTGCATTGCGTCTCGTCAAAACCGGCCCGAAGGTCTCGGGCATAAAGAGAAGGCAGATCCAAGCACAGCCCGCTAGGATGGAAGCAATCCAGAACGTCCATCTCCAGCCATAAGAGGGCGATGCAAAACCCGATATAATCGGACCAAGAATGGGTCCGAAACTAGCTGACTAGATGCACAGTCAGCCGATACGCATCTATTAAGCTGGACGAACCATCAAAGACATACCGCCATATAGAATGCCATCACTCTACCTCTTTCTCTGAGATCAAAGAACATGTCTGCATATACGCCACCCACAACAGTCTGAGGCGCAGAGCCCATGGTTCCACAGATGAAACGAAAGAAGAGTAGCGATCCCCAATTTGGACTCAACGCACATGCTACGGTCGACAGAGTAAACACGGTAATAGTAGGCAGCAGCACCAGCCGCCGTCCGACGGTCTCGCTCAGGGGACTAAACGCAAGTGGCCCGACGATATACCCGATGAGAAACACTGATGTTGGTAAATTACTTTGTGTGGCATCCTCCACGTGGAACTCCCGCATGATGTAGGGGACCGCATTGCTCGGCAACGAGGTCCCGATGCCCGAATTGATTACACTGAGAAAGGTTGCGACGACGATGGCCAACTTTTTATGTACCGGCCAGTCATTCGGAGATGTGAATTTGCTTTGTCTCGAGCATGCTTGTCGAGATTCGGGTGTCCCTTGTATCTGTCAGCATTGGGAGGTTGAACGGCGTGTAATACACATGTCATACTTATAGAACACTCGGTCTGAGCCGGACTAGAAATTGATTTCTCTTCTGGCATAATGTATAGCCTCTGCGGTGTGCATTCCAGCTGTTTATGCTAGACTTCGGCAAACCACAATTGCTCCCGACTTGGCGCCATTCGGAGTATTTATTTGTGAAGAGTAGATCACCCTCTGGACAGCCTTACCGCAAAACTGAGTCATAGAAACGGATGGACGTGTCCAGGCATTGCAGATGTAATTGTTTTCTCATGCCTGGACCAAGATATAGAAACCAATTCGCCAATCACAGCACCCGCTCAGTCCTAAGCTCCAGTACTAAATCCGGCGCCGGACCGGCCCCGGTGGAGATGCAGAAACTTGCTCCGGCGCCGATCAGGAGCCGGTCCACATCGGCCGGCCCCGTGGTCTGGAGGAGTATTTGATGCCTGATCGAACATAAAGACTGCCTGTGACTGGATGGAATTGAGGGAATTGGAGAATGGCACCTGAGTTCTGACTTGTTTGTTAGGCAGGTTGCTGATCTAGGCCTGTCGATCACAGCTGATATGGCATCTTTTCACACTCATCACATTCGACAACCGTCTCGGTCACAGATCGATGCAAATGTACTCGTTACTGTCTAGGATATGGAGGGCATTGAAGGCAAAAAGTCAAACACATCCGACTGCCCCTCCTCGAAAAGATCAAACGAGTCTGCAATAGAGGTCGACAGGGTCCAATTGGGTATATTCATCTCCCCCAGAAGGCGCGGTAGTGCAGGATCCGGTCGAGCTTCCCCGGTTCGTCCCTCCTCTGACAGAGAGTCTCCGTGAGTCTGTGCATCCCTCTGCAGCGGCTGGTCCTGCGCCTGGTCATGCGACATATCAAACAGACCAGAGTCAGACCTCGAATTGTCTGTACCCTGCCTTGGTTGCATCGAGGACCCTACAGTATTTGACGTTGCAGTGCCTTGATTGGTCGCGGAGCTTCTTTCTGCAAAAAGCGCACTGGCATAGTTGGAGAATATGGACACGGTGCGATGGATATCTGGATAAGGCGGCAGCTTCAGAATCTCGCTGATTTGCTGCGCTCGCTGCAAGACCAAGCTCTGATCGATCAAAGCCGGATGCCACCGTGCCACTCGAACAGCGAATGTTGCTATCCCGGTTAGTACCTGCCAATGGGCAGAGGAATGGAAACCTACTGATAAAGGCTATAGTGAGCGCCGGATAGGTCGGAGCCCAAGTGAGCTGGCACCGGTAAGCACTCTCATTGACCAACCATGCCATCTGGCCCATAATGATCTCGACCAGTGACTTCCAAAGTCCTAGCACAGCGTCTGACTCTGGATCTGGCAGAACTTCCGACGACGGCCGTTTCTGGATGCGAGCGATGGTGGCGCAGAGGACATAGACCCGAGCATAGTTCAGCATGTATTTCAAGCTAGACCGCTGAAAAGCGCCTGCGTGGAAGCCGTTTTCTACTCAGTCAGCGTTCTTCCTGTTCGAAACGAGCAACATATTTCTTACGATCGTGTATTCCGTCCCAAGTCTTCCACCACTCTTCTAATCTGGCCATGATCGCGGGCAATTCGGTGGACAACAACTGCCCCGCGGTGGTACTGTCTATAGTTCGTCGTGCTCGAGCTGTACTATATTAGCTGCAATGACCGACGGATGGAAAAAAATATATCACTACCTCGTAGTTGATGGATTTCAATGACACAGACTGTACGCATATCGCTGGGCAGTGAGAGGGGATAATCGAGGTACTTGCGGAGCTTAGCTACGTCCAGCTCATTGACTCGCGATTTTCTGCCCGTCCCGGCAGCTATATCAAGCTCGGTAGTGTACGTGATTAGCCACGTTCGTGTTTGCCACACCAGAATCCGATCCTCCATTGTGGCTGACAGGTAACTCCGGGGAGTATTTGTCTGCGCCAAAAGAGTATCCAGAGATTTCTCAAGTCCCGAATCCAGTGCCGTCCGAAGAATGAGAGCCGTTGAGAACCAAGATTTCTCGGAATAGGCTGCCAGCAGAATCATTCCCTGGACAGTCTCAAGCTTGGTCGGTCGTTCAAAGAAGCTGTCTTCGGCTAGTTTTTGCGCTTCATCTTGTAGGACCCGCTGCAAATGGTTGTTGCTGCGAAGCTCTGGAACAGCTCGACTAGCGAGGTAGATTATGACGGTGAAGCAGAACAATGACCGAGATCGGATGGAATCATATGTGTCTCTCACAGGGTCGAAGAGAGGCAGGAAATTCTTGCTTCCATTCATGAATCTGGTCGTTGTTGAGCATGATGCTCTCGCTGAGGTGAACGTACGTACCTCTCATAGATGCCACGAGCTTGCTCCTCGGTAATGATTCCTCTCGCAATCACGTCTTTCGTGGGGTCGTCATTCTCGGATTCGCCGATGAATATTTGCTCATTTGGAGCTCCTAGATTGACCGACATGGAATGCATTGCTGACTGAGGAGCCATCATATCCTGCGACGTAAAATGCTGAATCTCAAGGCTGGATTGGCCAGTCGACCCTCGGTTGTTGAAGCTCCCCACTGACGAGAGGCTGGAACTTGTTGGAGAAAGGGGGTTAAATCTGGATAGAGTCAGTAGGTTTATGAGCGATGTGTTTGGTGTGGACAGAATACCGAGTCTGCTCTTTGTTCTGATTTCTTCGCTCATTTTGCCCTCTGCTGATTGTATCCACTATACAGTCATGACCAGTGGCCTGACACCGGGAGCAAGGGATCTGATGGCGCGCATCGCAGCGCATCTTTAGCTTTCGACACCGCCGACATGACTTGAAGAGACGGGTGGGAGTTCCCCTGGGTGATTCCATGATGAGACCGGTTGTCCAATCGCAACCACAGAGGCAAATGCTAGTAGACTAGGGCATTTATACGGAGAAACATCAATTATCGCGATCTTCGGCGGTTGTGAAGTATATCGAACAAAAGTCACCTGCTGTCTGGAGCTGACAATTAAATATGTGGGGAGCGTTGTCAGCGTCGGAGGAAGACCGGACATCGGAAATCTTCTGGTTTCGGCCTATAAGAAGGGTTCATAGTAAATCGTACTACTACCAATAGATTTGCAAAGTCCAAGGTAAGAAAATACAATCCCGAAACTCAGGAGAAGAAAAAGACATGTTGTCGTTTAAATTTGTGGATGGAAGTCTTGGAAGAGCAAAAGATGGAAACAAAAGTCCGGTCACGTGAGTACCATCTCCGAGCCATCAGCAAATCCTCCTCGGGTCCGTCTAATTTTCATCCTTCATACCAAATGCAGGGATCAATTATCATCAATTTAGAGCACATCCACCCTGTCTCTTCATAAATCCTGCAGGATCGTATGCCTGGGCGACCTGTTGCAGTCGAGCTTTGTTCTGCGCCCCGTAGCTGGAATAGACCTCCTGATCATCGGCCGCGTCATTCATAAACAGAGGATTCAATCTACTGTCGTTACTCAATTGTTCATCAGGAGCTTCTTTCCGTTGCAACTTACGAGATGAATCCTATATCACCCGATTCATAATTCGTCGGCGTCTCATCCCTAAAAGTGCTGGTGAAATCCGACATGGCTTGATTTGCTATCTCGCGAAGATTCGCCGGACACGCGTCGTTGCAGACAGGATTGATCCACATCAGATTATTCTCCACTCAGATTCGATCGCCGTTTGCTGGGTCTAACCCAAGAGCATTCCCTCCCCCATCTGCAGAGGCCTGTGTGATGCGAACTGACAGAGGCTGGGGGGTGAAGACCCGCATCTGAATGCCAATATCCCTGCTTGAGATGTTTCTGATCTGATTCTGATACAGCTGGAAATGAGCTTCGAGCAGCTGGCTAGTCTTCTCGGGCTCCATGCTGGGAAAAGTGTTCACCCGAGCACTCGCGCTGAATCCATTTGGCCTAGCCCCCCCGTTTGGTTGGTTATATTGACATAGGTCGTTGTCGCTGTGGTGTCTAGGATTGGCTCGACATCCTCCAGCCCGGAGAATGCGTTTGCGGGAGGCGTTGAACCATTATAGAAGAAGACTATCGTCGGATTTGAGCCTGGCGACCCAAAGCTAAAGGTTGGAATAACTGCGGCTTTGGCATCTGGGTAATCCCGGATAAAGGTAGACAGGGCCTTGAATACTTGTCGCTTGTCGGCGGAGTATGATCGGATACCTCCGCAGACCTGTCCATTGTCGCCGAGGTCATCGGCTTGCAACGTGAACTTGGTGACGATGCCGAACCGGTTGCCGCCTCCTCGCAATGCCCACCAGAGATCCGAATGAGAAATGCGATTCGCATCGACGATGGTCCCGTTGCCCAACACTACTTGGAAGTTGAGCACATTATCGCACGGCAATCCCTATTCGGTCAGGGCGGCTGTTGATCACACTCTGGGGAGGCTACTCACATATTGCGACGAATGTACGACAGCCCTCCTCCGAGGGTGAGCCCTGCAACTCCAATATTGGCCACGCGCCCTCCAACCACCACTTGATTTGTTTTGGCAGTTACCTCGTATACGTCGCCCAATCGAGCACCTGGGCCGACTTTGAAGCTCTCCCCATCGGCCGAGCGAGTCACCGAAGAGAGGTTTTCGTTGAAGGAGATCAGTACACCACCATTGGTACTAGACACGCCGACGTTGAAATTAGGGTTCCCGGACTTCAGCGCAAACTGAGTTTCGGGTACTTATTCAACTGCTGGACCGCATACGAGACCTCGTCGGCAGTGGAGGGAAGAAGACGCACGCAGGACGATTCCGGGCGTTCACTGCGTTCCAATACCCTTGAAGAGCGGAAGTGTATTTGTCTCTATTTGAGCTAGTCTCTGCGCCATAGGAGCTGAGAGGATCCCAGACGGTCAGACTGGGATAGGTTGCGTATAGATGCTGACGAACCGCGACTGCATCGGCTGAGGCTCCACCCAAAGCGGAAGATGCCAATAAGGCTGTGGCAATTGACGCTTTTGCCTTCATGATGAGTCAATCAATCGCACATACTCTTGTGACAGTTAGAGACTGGCACATGGCTTGTTTACCTCCTTCAGGTCTCTGTAGAAGGACGGGAATATGTTAAGCCGATCCTCCACGTCCTTATGTACCTAAAACTCCAGTGTTGATGGACCATCTACGGTGATGCTGAACCTCAGAAGCACAGACTGAGTCACGAGTGAAATGAAAATAAAAGTGCAGACTTAAATCTCGTCAATAGTTAATTGAGAGCAAGTAGAATCACTGATGACCTCGCAGCGACAGATTTTGACAAGTGACTACTAAGCCTGGTGATTGTCGAATAGTACGATAGTATAGGGCTGCCATATCTAACAATAATCATTGCGAGTTGATATAACAGCAGCCCTGCTGGCGCAATGGTAGCGCGTCAGACTTCTAATCTGAAGGTTGTGGGTTCGACCCCCACGTAGGGCTTTTCTTTTTCTTTTTCTTTCTCTTTCTCTTTCTCTTTCTCCTTTTCCGCCCTCCCACCACCTTAACTCTACACGTTCTTTTGACAATGATAATAATGCACCATCGGATGAGTCTACACAAATTTTTCCTAAGTAATGGAGCAATATCTTTTTTTTTTTACTACTTATATTCTTTTGACACCCAAAGCTTGGTGATGACTCCAACCTGAAGGGGTCAATATTCTCTCCAATATTCACATCAAGAACAGCCCCTGCAATCATGATATAACCCATGTTGTCAAGTAACAAGGAATGATTGCGCCGCAATTGCAATTCTCATTATTATTGGATACATTCTAATATTCGAAGGGCGGTCGCAGATGCTTCATAGGGGTACCTCTGTCGGAGAGAGATTATAACAGTTTGGAGCCAGTCGGAAGTTGGAAAGACTTCTGGGATCTAGATTGATAACCCCGTCGTTATTATTTTCCTATCACGTTGTCTGAAACAACCAAGAGACCTACTAACCGCGAAGGAACCGAGGACACTTGGTCGTGACTCGAGAGCAAGTCTGTATTATTATCTACTACGGAATATACGCTCCATTGTGGATTAGCACGCGCGGCGCACGACCGTCGCTTATATATATCCTTGCAATGATCCCTGCAAGCGCCATGCAGGCCATATTAACAACAGATTACAGTACCCAGATGGCCTGTTCTATTAACAAAATTACATCCAGCCGAGGCCGGCCTTGTAGTCTAGGCGGAAATGGCATTATCACTACCTTGTCATTCATCTAATCCGAATCGTGTTCCGCATGAACGTGAATGTCCACTGTCTTGAGCACCCCGTCCCTGCGTGATTCCATCGTCAACTGTTTCGTGCTGGCGCTGGTCCCTCCGCTATCATCACTGGGGATTCGGCTCAGCCGGCCCTCTCGGGAATCTGTACGCACGTTGGTGGTCACGACGGAGTCGCCGTTTCCAAACGCAAACCCTGTATAGATGCTGCGGCGTTTTTCGGCGCTGAGCGGCGTCTGCTTGCCGTAGCTGCTTCCTTTCCGTCGTGTGGAGAGCTCGACATTGTCTGGTAGTCGGGTCGTGATGAGGCCGGAGTGCAGCCCGGCGAAGATGTGGTATAGAGTCGGTATGCAGGCGGCGATGAGGTTCGTGTACATGTTTGCTCTGGAGGAGTTAAGCTAGACGCGCGACCACTTGGTGACTCGGGGAATGGCTTACTGGGCAAAGATTGACGGTATCACGGTCGACCCTGCTTGAGTTAGACCTGCTTCTGGGCGATGGAGCCGGAGTCAGCTTACATGTAGTATCTGATGAGATTAAGGATTGTGGGAGTGTCGCCAGTTGCCCGATTGTGAGCAAGACGGCACTGTGTCTCCATTAGCGTGGAATAACTCGTACGATGTCGGGCGACCAACAGTGCTCTTGTGCAAAATGCGCACAGAATCTTTACTCTTTTCCCTTGAGACATCTGGACCTTGTGCATCATGAAGAAGGGAAGGGTGAGGACAGCCACATCGGTCAGGATGTTCATGATTGCGACGAGGTACATCAAGGCGCCCTGGCATGATTAGCCTAGGTCTTCGCTATGTGCTGCCCATTGAAAATCAGTAGATACCTTTGCCGTGCAACGATCCGGTCTATACAACCACGCATCTGGCAGGGGACATTGAAAAGCGATTGCACACAGCGCAAAGACTGTCCAGACGCCGATTGCTCCTATCGTGGCAAGACATGCCTTTTGCAAACCTCTTTGCGGGGTCAACATATGCACCAAGAGCGTCGTCGATAGTTTGGATAAGGCGACCGGGATAATATGAAGCAGCTGAGCAGCGTAGTTGTACTGTTCACAGACCAATGATTAGATAGATCGAGAGCACTGGCAGACCTGGCGCTTTTGAAATACCTTGCTGTACTTTTCGAAAGAGTCCGCGGCCAGGGAGCCCTGCTTCTTCCCCAAGCCGTATTTGACCGCATATTGGAGTATGATTGTCTGGATGATGGCAACAACCTGGAGGATTCGCAATCAGTGTCGTCCTTTACTTAAAGTCTTACCAGGCATACCGTTCCGACGTAGATTGGAAAACTGGTCGTCGTTCGCCGTCGCTTGAGATAGATCGACGAGCTTATTTTGGCCGCGATAAAGAAGGCCAGCACAATCAGCAAGGAGACATTGACGAGAAGAAGGTATGCACCATGATCACTGTCCGTGATTGATGCAAAAGGAGGAGCCCGAGACACGCCTTCCATTGTCAAACCCAGGCGAGCAGACCCTCATTGCTACACTACACAGCTGTGGGTGATGAGAAGCGCTCTTTATGATTCATTATTCCATGGTGGCATCAATTTTTCCGAAGGATTTAGGGTCTTCTTGATCGAGTCACGATCTAGCAAGGGTACCCTGTTGCGCCAAACGCAAGCCATAGGTGATTGGGATCAATGATTGCTAAGTCCCTTGGCGCACGAGCAGACGAGACATTGCCTCCTCCTTGAGTTCGCTAATAATCGGTGTTGTTTGCTCGTGTGTGCATGCATATCTTGGATATCAGGAAATCCCCCGTGCAACTCGGAAGGAATCTTGCCATCGCGGGTTGTTCGTGCATCCTTGGACGCATCGGAGTGCTCCTAAAGTGGCCCTAAAAGTGACCGGACCAACGCTAAAGTCGCTCGATTGAATCTCCAGACCATTCATTCCCAACTAATCGAACAAGGATCGGATGGTCTACCCCATCTAGATTGTCCCGGTTATTGCCCCGGTTAATTTATATCAATTCCTCTGTTTCTCAGTCCTTGAGAGGGGCAGTGTGTGGAACATTGCCCCCCATGTCTAGTACACTATCTAGGAATTGACCACTGCTCGCTAAGAGGAAGAACAAGAATAATATTAACAATATTAATAATGTCTTTGTCGTCGACTGGAGGTCGGTCCAGGTTTCTTATGATGCCCTTGTCCCCTTGGTTTGGTCGAATTTGTCCGGCATGATTTCCTTTAAAACTTTTCTGTATTCTTTCATCCCAACCCCTCCTATCTGCTTAAAGGTCGCGAGTCTCTCTGCCTCGTTACTGCAAAACAGACTCTACCAAAATGGCGTTTGAGCAGGTCGAGTTAAAGGGCAATGTTCACGTTCAATCTGGCCGATCCAATGGAGACAATGGCTTGCCAGCTGGGAGTAAAGAGCTCCGACAACGGAACCAGCTCGAGGTTCGTATTGGTCGCCTGGCCGATTATGACATTGGCTAACTATTTAACTATAGAGATACCTGAATTTCTTCTCGACTTTGGCCTTTTCCGCCACCCTGATGGCTTCATGGGAGACGGTGGGAGGAAGTATGGCGGCCGGATTGCTCAATGGCGGGCCATCAGCAATCGTTTACGGAATGGTGTTTAGCACAATTGGCAGTGTAGCGGTTGCAGCATCACTGGCCGAACTTGCCTCTGTGTAAGACCGCTTCCATCTTCTATTGTCGAATGTCACGCTGATCGGATTGAATCGATATCCAGGAACCCGACAGCAGGTGCTCAATACCATTGGACCTATAATCTGAGCCCGAAGAGTCACAGACTTTTTCTCAGTTTCTTTCAGGGTATGTCTTTTGTTTGTATTAAGGATACGGATCAAGCTGACAACTTTCAGGATGGGTCACGGTATGATGACTCTGGTTGTCCTCATCACACAATATGTTGCTAACTGAGCAGGTCTTCTCCTGGTGTTCCCTGGTCTGTCTGGCGCCCTTCATGATTGGCAACCAGATACTGGGACTGGTTTCATTCAACCGCGAAAGCTATCACATCGAGAGATACCAGGGCACGCTGTTGACGTGGGCAGTCTTGATCATCCCAATCATCATCAACATTTATGCCCGGCGGGTCCTGGCAGTCATCGAGGTAGCAGCTGGTATCATGCACATCGTCTTCCTGCCCGTGACCATTGCAGTCCTTGTCGCGCTTGCACCTCGCAATCCCGATGAATTTGTTTGGAATACCTTTGTCAGCGGAATCAGTGGCTGGTCCAGTCCAGGCGTAGCTTGGGCTGTTGGTCTTCTGGGCGTGGTGACGCCCCTGGGTGGTGAGTAGCACCGAGATAATGTTCAAGAAGCATAAATCTCTGACAATCTTAGGCGTGGACGGTGTCATCCACATGGCCGAGGAGGTAAAGATGGCCCCAAAGACCGTACCAAGGTCCATGATCTGGGGAACCCTCACCAACGGCATCATGGCGTTCGGATACGCCATCGCCGTCCTCTACTGCATGGGAGATTACATGGAGGCCCTGACCTCCCCGACGGGATACCCAATCATCACGATCGTCTACCAGGCCACCAGGTCCAAGACCGCCGTCAATATCCTCATGGCCATGGGTCTTCTCCCCGGCTGGATTGCGCTGTTCAACGGCCTGGCATCCGTCACTCGCCTGACATGGGCTTTCGCCCGTGACAACGGGCTCCCATTCTCCGACTTTTTCGTGCACATCGACCGGAAGCACAAGATCCCCATCCGAGCTTTGTTCCTCGTCGCCACCGTCGTCGTCCTCCTGTCGTTCATCCAGATCGGATCCACCGCCGCGTTCAATGCAATCCTCTCCATCAGTACTCTCGGCCTGTACTTCTCGTACATCATCCCCCTGATCCTATTGGTGATCAAGCGCTTCCGCGAGCCCCAGGACATCCCCCGCGGTGTCTTCCACATGGGCCGCTGGGGTCTCCCCGTCAACCTCTTCGCGATTGCATTCGCAATCTATGTCTCCATCTTCCTACCCTTCCCAGCTCAGGTGCCTGTTACTCGCGAGAATATGAACTATGCGGGGCCCGTCCTTGGGGCGGTCATGATCTTCGCTTGTGTGGACTGGGTGGTGCGCGGACGGAAGAAGTGGGTGGGTCCGACGATTGTCACTCACGAGGACCGACGTTAGTTCTATGAAACCTGGCATAGCCTTGGATGAGATATATACAATGGTAATGCATATTACTTCCTTGCTATCTTCAGAAGTTCATTCCTGCTTAAATTTGCATGCGTATACACAGTGTGCTACATCAGGAAACTACAGAGCAAACACACCCAAAGCCACTGCAGCAGCCCCGAAAAGCCCACCAGCACTACCAGTCACCCGCGGCATTCCCCCGGTACTCGCATCCTCCGACGCAGTAGACTTTCCAGAGGCAGAAGCAGTCGCAGCCGTCGTAGCGGTAGCACTAGCAGTCGCCGGCGTCGCACCCGCACCCGCACCAGAACCAGCCGTAATAGTCACCGCCATCAGAGGCAAATCATTGGAAAAGGTCGAGGAACTAACACCAGGGAAATTCGCCCCCGCGCCGCTGGCCGTCTCGGTACACACGCCTGTGGTCGTTCCGCCAACAGAGCAGCTGACGGTCCAATGACTATGCGCATCAACCATCAGCTCGCAGATCAGGTCAAGGTTGTGAGTTTGTGACTTACAAGTCCTCCACCGGCTCATCCATCTTCAACACGGTGGTCGTGGGACCGGCGACAAGCGTCAGGCCGGGGCCCATGCCGCAGTCGGAGCTATCTGTGCCTGGGGGACAATTGATGCTGTATGTTGTTGCGGTGGCGTCCTAATAGGTCAGGTCAGATTGTTTTTGAGGTCGGGAATTGACATGACTCGTGAGAGCTTACACTACCGACGATGGAAGCGACAAGAGGCTGTGGGTCTGCGCCGTAGATCAACATGGAGGTGACGGTGTTCTGGGCTGACACCAGGCCGGCGGCGGCCAGGCTGAGGAGAAGCTGATATGCGAGCATTATGTCGATACGGTAAAGACAGACTTGATCAATGAGGTTCAAAAGAAAGTATGATGTTTGATCTGATTCAGGGGCATCAGATGGAAATGGAAAAACCTTAAGTTCTTGACTACAGAGATCTGCATAAAGCTAAATTAGTCATCATATTGCATATAACTAGATAACTATGCACTGCACTAAACAGTTGATTGAGTTGTATAGATATAAAGAGCAGAGTACGAAAATAAGAGACACCTTTACTCAATCCTCATCATCAATTGATTCTCCCCCCGCCATTTCCTCACACAATTACTCCGCTCTACAATCTCCCCATCAAAAGCCCACCACCACCGCTCGAAAACCACCTGTCCAACCTCCCACGCCTCTGGGGCAAATGGATCCCCGCCCCGGACTTTGATTCCCTCTCCACTGACATCTTCCATATCATAGACAAACCGAAGAAGACCAATGGGATCCTGCGCAGACTTTGGCCGCATCTCCGGCGGGAGATGGAACACCTGGATGAGTTTATCCCGGGTACTCGGCCAGGGAAGGAGATCCAGAATGGGATGATGAGGGATGAGTCGCTGAGAGGTAGTCGGTTGAAGATGACGGGGAAGTTCGATGACATCGTCGGTTCCGTCGGGACCAGATGCTGTTGAGGATGGCGATGAGGAGCCAGACAATAAAGATGGTGGCGAGGAGATCGTCGTCTGGCTCTCGGGTCCTTGGTAAAACGGGCTCATGGCCGTGAGGTCCCACAGTATGCCAGCAATATTCAACCGCTGGGCTACCTTCATTGCGGCATTGAGAAGCGTGAGAGAGGGGATCTCCAGCAGGTGGTCATCTGGGAAGGAGAATGTCGCGGATTGGTATGTTTGAAGCCGGTCCGAAAGACTGCAATCACCTCCAGGGCTGTTGGTGCTCTGAGTGGACTGAAATGAGGGCAGCATATCCGGTAGGAAAGCTGCTGGTGAGAAACAGGAGAATGGATCCTCTACGGCAGACAACGGCATTGTGGGAACTTCCTGAGAAGGAAGTAAAGGCCATAGTGGGGATTGCGGAAATGAGAGAAACTGGCTTGAAGAAAGTCTGTCTGGCATAAGATCCATGCTTTGATCAATGAGTTCGGGCATAATTTGGGAGGGGCCAACCCATGGACCTTCACTGTCAAATGAGATATCCTCTACTGCGTGTGAGACACCAACGTCAGCCGGGTCCGAGATCGTTCTTGTTTCAGCAGCTGCTTTCAAAGCCAACGGAGCGTCCCTGACTTGGGGCTGCCCGTCCTCAGAGCCAGTGCGACTCTCCGCTCGAGCCTGCAGAGCCTGCCATTGCTGTCTCTTCCTCTCACCTGCAGGAGTCAGCAGCAGCTCAGCGATAGGTTCTCACTACATACGGTATCTTCTTTGAGCTAGCACGCCCAGGACTCGTTTTCGCTCCGCCGGATCCTCGGTGATGTCCGGTACTGCGGGAATATCTCGCTTACGCTTGTTTGGCATTTTATTGGCCAATCAAGAGAGTTGTTTCTCAGAGCAGAGCAGATTGAGTTGTGACAGAGATGTGAGCAAAGAAGTCTGCGAGAAGAAGCGAAACAAGGACACGAAGAATGAGCGGGGGAGTCATAACGTTATGGTTATGGACACGCACTTTGCTGTGTGCTCCGGTTGATGATGGCTGGTAGAATGCGTGGAAATAGTTAGAAACACGAGACTCATCTAGCGCTCTGACCGTGATTGGACGATGCAATAGGAATTTACAGACACCTCGTATCCGTCTGCTTGTCCAAATTAAGCAGGCCAAGCTGCATGTTATGTTTGAGAGCAACGTTATGTTGACCGTTATGAGGTTTTAGTATCGAGGAATGGCTATATAAGGTCAATGAATTCGGGATGGAGGGGTACCAGAACAACATCATCAATCTAATCCGGGAAACTCAGAAATTAATCAATATCAATACACTGAGTCCTTAAAGACCACAATTATCAATGTCTCAGAACAATTACTCCATTCATTCAATTGCCGCGGCGTACGCCGTCGGTCTGTTCCCTCACGGCTATTACTATGTCAAGATGATGGCCAATGCCAAGGAACACGCTACAAACATTGTGTATGCTTAAGCAACTCTATCAAACACCAGACAGCTAATAGTATGGTACAGACCGCGAGAGAATCTGTCCAATCTCAAAGGCCGCCTTCCAGCCCAGATCTGGCAGCAACTCGCCAAAGCCCGAGGAGCACATCTGAATGCGATGGAAGGATTGCCTCTTTTTGCTGCTGCAATGGTAAGGCGCGCATGTGTCAAGAAATATTATCAAACTAATACATATCACACAGCTCGCTGGAAACCTGGCCAAACTTCCCACGAGCGATTTGAACACACTTTCGTTGGAGTATATCGGCGCTCGGCTCTTGTATACGGCTCTGTATATGGGAGCCAAGTCTGAGGCTGTCAGCTATTTGCGTACGGGTGTGTGGGCATGGAGCGTATCAATCCCGATTTGGGGATTGATTCAAGCTGGAAGGGTTCTGAACAAGGCCGAGTGATGTTGATCGAATGTTGTCTAATGCAACATTAGTTGCGACATTAGTTGCCTCCGCGTCTCAAGAAAGTAGATAATATGTTGGTTGTCAATGACATGTTTGAGAAGGAAGCAGTCTTCGAGATTGAGAAATCACTTCACAATGCTAGCGGCCCAGATGTACTTGTTCACAAGCAGCAGTCATTGATCTTGTCACAAGGGTAATCGGTCCCAGCTCCGGTCGATTTTCCGCTGCCTTTATAGCAAAATCGTTGACCCATGTCACTAAGGCGAGGCCTTCTTCATTATTTCCCGGTTCCTGGCACTCGATTATGTCCATACATAAAACGAAGAAAAATGTGAATTGGTGTAGTAACAGAATACTGCAGCATATGGTGTGTAAGCAGAGACACTCAGATATCCGAAGACCGTAGGTGAATTACCTGATACCCCAGAATGACCGCACCGTCGAACCCATGAGAGATTGAAACACCTTCAGAGACTTTCTGGCGAGGTCTACCGTGTGCCGTGGCAAGTGGTAGCTGTCCCGATTGCAACTCTTGGCCTGTGAGAGGACAATAATGATCCTGTAGCTTGTGAACAGAATGTCTGCACAGAACCAGGTGTCGATAAGATTTTTGGTGTTACTCATGAGCTCCTCCTGTACTGCGTAAGTTGAAAAGGACTATATCCACAATACGGAGCAGACATGGTGACTTACAACGTTCCAGTCAGCCAAGATTGCTTCCACTTCGGTGATGAGATCATCCAGCCAACTATCGTATGTAGCTGCATTCTGATCGGACTCAGCCTTCACCCAGCCCAAGTATTTCAGGACAACTAATGTCAGACGCATCGATGCCAGGAAGTGTATTTGAATGAAGTGCGTCGACGCATCATCGACGCCAGTGATCGAGGGGTCAGGAAGATTAACGGCCCATGACCCTTCAGGGAGCAGCGCTGGTTTACCAAATGAAAGACGAAAAAGGCAGTCGGTCCGAAGAAGGTGCCAAAATTCGAATCGCATTCGATTTCGCTCTACCTCATTTCTGTGTTGGGAGGACTCCTGCGGTGGACCGATGTGTCCGTCAGGCCCTTTAGGGTCCCCATCAAGGGAGAAATATCCAAGAGCCCTAGCAATGCTGCAGGCGTGACCGAAGATCTTCCACGAGAGTTCACTATTGCAGCCTTCCAGCGCCATCGATATCTGTTAAGAATCGTCAGCAAGTGAAGCTCACAAAAAGGTTTTGAGCTTATAATCACCATCAGAAAAGCGGCAAACAGGTCCTCTGGGGTATTCTTTATCTGATCCAACCAGCTGTCCACCAATCCTATGCTTGTCCGATAAATCGATCGTACGATGCCACCCCTTTGCACAGTGTTATCTGGATCCATCAAAATCCCTTGAAGCAGCACACTGTAATAAATGAGTGTTGACGTAGCATCCAAGCTGACGTGACGTATCTCCAGTAAGTCCGGGAAGCTTAAGAGAAAGCTCTTCTCCAAAGGAATCCGAAACCCCTCAAATTGATACGACTCATAGTACACTGCAGGATCGATTAGAGAACGGAACGTCAATTAATGGTAGATGGTAACGAACGATGTACCCATTTCTTCGCTTGTTCCTTTGGAATATGTGGGGGAACCGACACGTCTTTTTCTTGTTTGTCCTCTAGGCGTGAGACCTCCGACACTGCAGCCGCTATCGCGTTAATGCAAGCTTCGTTTTTGAAAACCTGGGATTGAACATGCTGTAGTAGACAGAAGACGTTTGACGTAAGCAGCAACTTGTCTTTGTCATCCTTGATTCCATTCAACATGCTATGCACAACGTCTCGTGCGCTGGGGATAAGCGACTGGTCTTCGTCCATCAGGTCGGGGCCTAGTGACGACCTTGGGTTATCCATGTCCGAGTCGCCCGAGGACACAGACATTGAACGAGACACGTCTATGGTGTCTGCATCTTGTCCAATCTTGCAATGATCTTCCAAGCGTTCTAGACGCCTGAGTATTTCCCGAAGGATCTGTTTGTCATGGAGGCCACTGATACATGTAAGCTATGTAGAGTAAAGGCCTTGGATATATGGAGTATGGACCAACCGTCTATTTTTGGATCGTGCTTTTCGCGGCAAATATGTACATTGTGCACCGACAGCTTCGCATCTGTCGCATCGAGGCTCAACTCTATTGCATCGGATCTAACTGCAGGTCAATATGAGTTCTGGACGGGAAACATTGAGATCGACACCTTCTTGGCCTGACAACGGGTGCACTAAACCTCTCTTAGCTCCAGTAAACGTAGTCAGAATTACAGATTACATACAGACATGCGCTTGGGTGGGTTTTCTGAAGGCATCGCTGTTCCAGACCATCAGGAGGTTGAAGGAGGTAAGAAAGAAAGCGGGGAATTTGCAGAGTCCGAAAGCCCGGCGGCACATGATCTTAGTGCCTCAGGTGCCCGGATTTCCAGAAATCCCCGAATGTCCGGCCCCCGTACCTCTCTGGAGCGTCCTTTTAAGCTCATTATTATTATTATTATTACTATCCCCACTTCGATGCTACCACTTTGTCATATAGGGAATGAGTTATGCTTATCCTGAAGTTCACCAGGGTAATAGAGGGCAATTTTTCTTCACCCCCCCGGCCCCTCCACATATAACCCCGATGCTGCCTGGAACGCCAAGTCTTTCCCTTTTTGGGTAACTCGTATTCAACTCCTGTTCCATTTTTTGACGACGTATCTATTATTTAATGACATTCTCATCCCCTATCATCTATATTTTTCCGATGGCTTCTCGTCCGCCAACTATTCCCACCGTACTTCAAAATGGGTAGCTCCGAAGATGGCCCTGCAGCAAGTGCGACCGAGAAACAAGCAGTGCTGGAAGGACAAGAAAAGAGCGAAGGCAAAAATGATGGAAAGCCCACGCAGACTGCCTCGCTGGGTAACTATTTCGTACGAAGTGTCTCCCCAGATTGCTTGCGATGCCACTGACAAGACTGCAGAGAGCCCTTTCCTACGCAACCGGGAAAGATCGCCTTGTATTAGCCGTGGCTTTGATATCAGCTATTGCGTCCGGTGTGGTATGTTACTACAGAGCTGTATCGGAAAACACATAACCTTATAACTCATATCTTCGACCAGCCTTTACCCCTGATGAACATTGTGTTTGGGAATCTTGTCGGTGAATTCAATGGATACTTCATGCCCGGCACAAGCGTCACCGAAGCGCAATTCAAAGCGTCCGTCAACAAACTGAGGTATAAAGGTCAAAAGAGTCTTGTTGTTCATGTGCTGACTTCAGACAGTCTGTACATTGTGTACCTGTTCATAGCGAAATTCTGCCTGACCTACTTCTCCATGGTAGGTGGGAACTCCAAAGAGAACGATGGATATATACTCACCATTGCAGTTCTGCTTTCGCGTCACCGGTCTCCGAGTATCAGCTGTTATTCGACTGGAATACGTCCAGGCCCTCTTCTCCCAGCCGATCAGTAAAGTGGACCAAGTTTCGGTGGGCACAGTCACGAATACCATCACGACGCTGTCCAATACAATCCAGCAGAGCATATCGGACAAGCTCGCCATTCTTTTTCAATCCGTCGCTCTGTTACTCGCAGCGTTCATCATCGCGTTCAAGTATTCATGGGCCTTGACTCTCGTCACAAGTTCTGCGCTGCTTTTCGTGGTTGTCGGCTGCAGTGTGACTCTACCGATCATGACGAAAATTCAGCAGAGGATCGACAAGGCAGATGAGAAGCATTCCTCAATTGCGGCCGAAGTATTTGGGTCTATTCGGACCGTGGTTTCCCTCGGTGCCCAGGAAAGTCTTTCCAAAAGATATGCCACCTGGGTGGAAGAAGCACGGAAACGTGGAAATGGGCTGTCTTTCATCTTAGGCATCCACTTTGCTTTGGTGTTCTTTGCTCTGTACGCTAGCTTTTCCCTCGCCTTCTGGTTTGGTTTAAAGCTATACAGGGAGGGCCACATCAAGGAGATCAACACAGTCATCACGTAGGTATATCCCCTCGCTTCGATTACCCGGCTTGGCCAACTTCTAATATACCGACAGAGTGTTCTTCTCTGTCATGATCGTGGTAAGTGTATTAGGGAATATCGCATCGCCCCTGATTATCGTGTCCAAAGCCGCCAGCGCTGCGGGCTCATTCTTCGAGTTGATCGATTCCGAAAAGGTGGATGCCGGGGGCCTTCGCGAACCCGATGCCTCAGCCCATGTCGATATAATTTTTCGAGATGTGCGCTTCACGTACCCTACACGACCAGACGTGCCTGTTCTCAAAGGACTAGACATTCGGTTTCAAAATGGGAAAACAACCGCATTAGTCGGTCCCTCTGGCTCGGGGAAAAGCACAATCGTTGCCCTGATAGAACGATGGTATCAGTTGGCGATGAGTCCAGAAGACCAGAACCAAGGGAGTATCTACGCTGGGCCGCATGATATCAACAGTCTGGACCTGAAATGGTGGAGATCGCAGATTGGACTCGTTCAGCAGGAGCCTTTCCTTTTCAATGATACCATCTTCAACAATGTTGCATTTGGCCTTATCGGAACACAGTGGGAAAAGGAGCCTGACAGTGTGAAGAGGGAACTGATCGAGAAGGCCTGTAGAGAGGCCTTTGCTGAGGAGTTCATTCAGCGTTTACCAGAAGTATGTTGGTCTTTGGAATAACTAGGCATGTCTGACTGTGACAGGGCTATGCAACCATTGTGGGGCAGAGCGGTATCAAATTGAGTGGCGGTCAGCGACAGCGCCTTGCTATCGCTCGGAGCATCGTGAAAGAACCAAAGATCTTGATATTGGACGAGGCGACGAGTGCCATCGACGTTCGCGGCGAGAAGATCGTACAGGCAGCCCTTGATAGGGTTTCCAGAAACCGCACAACCATCATGATTGCGCATCGGCTCTCCACAATTCGACGAGCAGATCATATTGTTGTTATGAAAGGAGGCGTGAATGTCGAGGAGGGAACACACGAGGAGCTCCTCCAGCGAGAGGGTGGAGTATACCGCGACCTTGTCAACGCTCAAAGGCTTGAACTGTTGGCAGAAGACGACAGCCACGCAGGCAACGCGATGCTCGAGTTACACGAAGAGGCCCAGTCTCCCACCATGTCTGTTCAAGAGAAGCTGCAAGATGAAGAAAACATCCAGGACAAAAGTCGAGGGTTTATTAGGACTATCGGGCTGCTACTGTATGAACAACGTGCGCGGTGGCCGTTGTACTTGGCGGTCCTCATCAGCACAGCTGGGGCTGGAAGTAAGTTAATCCTACAATTTATGGGTTTTGAGCTAAACATTTTTCGAAAATAGCGGCTTTTCCACTTCAGAGCTGGTTATTCGCAAAGCTCATCGAAGTGTTTCGGTTTACGGGCCAAAAGCTGGTTGATGCCGCCAATTTTTGGGCCTTGATGTTCTTTCTCCTCGCGCTCGCCGTTGGGGTTCTCTACTCTACGGTGGGATTCACTGCCAATTCTCTCTCAGTGGTAGGTACATATGTCCCATTTATGCTGCTCACGCTAATTCAAAATAGAGGATATCTGAAGCATGCCGAAAGGAGTATTTCCAGAACATCCTTGCGAAGCCTATACCATTTCATGATTTGAGCGAAAACGCTTCTGGCTCCATTGTTTCCCGCCTCGCAACCGATCCAAAGCAGGTTCAAGAGCTTATCGGTCTAAATGGTGCATTGCCTCTCATTTCAACATTTAGCATGATAGGTTGCATTGCAATTGCCTTTTCCTTTGGATGGAAGCTGAGCCTGGTGACGGTGTTTGCCGCCTTGCCATGCACATTCTTGGCTGCCTTTATGCGCATCAGATATGAACTGCAGTTCGAGGCAATGAATGCCGCGGTTTACGCAGGAAGTTCGCAGTTTGCAGCGGAAGCCATTGATGCATTTCGGACAGTTTCATCCTTGACGATGGAGGACGCCATCCTCGATCGATACACCCAACTCTTGCGGGAACAACAAAAGAAGGCTTTCCGCAAGGCGAGATACGCAACTCTGATATTCGCTTTCTCAGATAGCGTGGAGTTGTGCGCAATGGCACTCACTTTCTGGTTCGTATTACTCCCTGAGAGCTACAATAGAAAGTTACTGATGGTTACAGGTATGGTGGGCAGCTTCTCGCCTCCAGGGAATACCAACCGACCTCATTCTTCGTTATATTTATGGCGATCATCCAGGGCGGACAATCGGCCGGCCAGTTCTTCAGTTTCGCATCCAACTTTGCTCAAGCCGCTGCATCCGCGAACAGGATATTGAACTCGCGCCCGCCACCAGGGGGGCTCGGCGCCGCGAGCATCGAAAAGCAACAAGTCGTGCGTAGCGGGGACCGGACGGGGGCTAGTGTCGAGTTCCGTGACGTTTCTTTTAGATACCCTTCACAGGATGTCCCTCTTTTCACTGGACTTAATGTTAGTATTCAGAGCGGACAGTTTGTCGCCTTCGTCGGACCGTCCGGCTGCGGGAAAACCACTGTGATCTCACTCCTCGAGAGATTCTATAGTCCGTCGCAGGGCACGATCATTTTCAACGGCGAAGACATCCGTACCCTTGAAATGACATCCTATCGCAGGGAACTATCGCTGGTCGCTCAGGAGCCACGCCTCTTCGAAGGCAGTATTCGCGAGAACATCACCCTCGGCCTCGACCAGTCGGAGTTCACCGAGGAGGAATTTATCCAAGCATGCAAAGACGCAGAGATCCATGATTTCATTACATCGCTTCCAGAAGGCTACGCCACGGAGCTCGGCATCAAAGCACAGACATCGCTCAGCGGTGGCCAGCGTCAAAGACTCTGTATTGCGCGTGCATTGCTCCGGAAGCCGTCACTCCTGCTTCTGGACGAGGCAACTTCGAGCCTGGACTCGCAGTCAGAAAAGGTGGTGCAGGGCGCTATGGAACGTCTGGCCCAAAAGAGGAGTCTGACCATCGTCGCGGTTGCTCATAGACTGGCTACTATCCAGAAAGCAGATACTATCTACGTTTTTGGGACAGCCCATGCCGGCCAAGCGTCTCGGATCGTGGAACAGGGGACGCACCAGGAACTGCTCCGGGCTAAGGGGACGTATTGGCAGATGGTAAGTAGCCTTCGATTTTTGACATAAGCCGTTACTAACTTTTGTATGCGTAGTGTCAGGAGCATGCACTTGACAGGTGATCCCAATTCACACGCGCCTGGATACCTTAGCAGTATTTGAGGGATGACCACCTCACTTGGCCCTATCCCTGGGGGCTTCTTATTGTAACATAGATTACCACTCAATTCCTAATATCAGATCGCCGACTGTGATTTATACTCCCCTCAAACATCTAATCCTCCCTCTATACTACCTTCTGCCAATGCTGCCACTCGTATTGAGCCAACCTAGTGACTGGTCATCAAACTGATCACTCAACCTCATCCTCCCATGACCAATTGTTCCACACTACGCTCGCCAAAACTGGCTAGAAGATACTTTTCCTAGTTTATACTCCTCATGAGAAGATCAAAAGTTCCCAAAAAGGGAATTGGTAGTGTCGCTAATTGGCCGATGTAATTATATACGACGACCACCCCACATGTCGCCTTTGCGCATAAAGACCACTGCAGGGCCCTACCCACCATATTTTTGCCTGGCCTTGGTTTTAGCTTCCAAGGCTGTTCCATAAGCCTCTGAAATAAGCAACAAAAGATCCAATCCCGTCTGGACGAATTACTAGTCTCTCGATTGACTACGGACTAGCGATACTACACCACTAAAATGTCACCTCATCACCGCTGACAGTCAATATTAGGTTTTGCCACCGTTGGAGTTTTAGACTGTCTATCTGCTTTTGCCTTTCGTCTCCTCGATCTTGTCAATCTATTCCTGGATAACGGCGCTGGTGCCAATCTCACCATCTCCCCAAGAGAAGGACCGGCCCTGATTAAGGCAGTCAACGAAATGTACGATTGACTAGTTAAGCCTCTAATATAGGAAACTAACTATATCTCTTATACTACGGCCCTTGCGCTTATAGTTAAGTAGCCGATCCTATAACTACTAGTACCCTGCTTACATATGGCATCTACTATAACTTTAAAGAATCAGATCGACCTCTTCCGCCTCATCCCTTCTTTGGGGACTACGACTCTACCATTTCGAGAGAACTAGGAGCGGCGGACTATACACCTGCCCTCGTCTGGGGTGCTACCCTTGCCACCACCTTCCAGGAAGTGGACGGTTTCTCCAAGAGTCAATCTGGCCTCGTCTACGTGGCGTTGAGATAACCGGGCTCCAATGTGCAGCTTCACCCTTGACTACTTCCTACAGCGGGGGCGGCCGTTAACCAAGCTATACTTAAAACCATTCTTTAGAGGCATCAAAATAGAGACATATTTGATTTGCTCAGCTTGTCAATGTCTGAGGCGGCACATGCGAGAAGACTTTCCTATTATGGTCGCTGTAGCAGAAGACCTCTTCCGTAATTAAATTGCAGTCCATCCAGATACGTCTCATCCTTTCTCTATTCCATTCGACAGGATGCTAAATAATGACGTTGAGCATAGACTGTATCGCAAGTCCGGCGCGGTGATTACCAAGCCATCTGGCCTTACGATCTAGACCAAGAATTCTGTGACCCCGCCGTGCGCCCTGGAGGCAATCAGCTCGGGCAACTTTCACCTTATTGTTGATAGAGCTCTGAGGCATAAACTGAGAGCGAGTCAATTATCCTATTCGGGACCGCCGTGCGCCCCGGCTGACACCACCCGCCACCCGCCCGAATACATCACTGCTGCCATGATACTGGCCAGCATCTTGCCCTGTCTGTTGTAGCATGTGCGGGCATATGACTATAGACAAATTCCTCTTAGCGAGAAAGCCAAAACCTATAAATTCAGTGATCCGTCCTCTGCCATTGTCCCAAAAACAACCTAGAGAGTCCAACACAAGCCACAAAATCGAGAATCCAGTCTTCTTACTTCTCAATCAATCAATCAACTGTTCTCTTGCTATTTATATCATGAAGCTTCTAGCTACTTTCCTTCTACTTGCTGCAGCTGTCACTGCCTGCAAGGACCCTGCTTACCGGTGCAAGAATCCCCAGGGAACTAAATCATCCGACTACTCCAAAACTGTGGAGATCTGCTCGGAAGTCGCTGATGGAGCCAGCATGTGCTATTGTTATGGCGCAGCTGAGGATTATTGCTACCTTGAAGACGCAGAAAAGGTAAAGAAGTTCATAGACTACTGCAAGAGAGACGACCCATGGTACGCCGCGGCCTGTTAGACCACAGACAGAGGTAAGTATTGGAGCGCTACTAGCTTATTGACATGCTGGCTAATTGCGCTAAACAGTTGCCAAACCCATGTACTGTTGCTGCATTTATGCAAATGCCATCGGATGCTCTATGGACTTGGTCTAATACCGTTACTACTTGTGTTTCGCTCCACTGAGGTCTTCCCATTTTAGTGCTTGTTTCTCCCTGTTTGAAGTTGGCAGTCTCTTCTCTGTAATACAATTATAGAGCTGTCACCATGGCTGAGATATCAGGCGAGTTCGTCCCAGAGCTTTTCTTTTGTAGGAGCAACCCCTGCCCGGGACTCATGCGAGGACCGAGCAGTAGGTTACTATGTTTAGTTAATTATTGCGGTAATATATTGACTTAATGGACTTTCTGGAGAATCCTGTTCGTTCCAGTACTACTCGTATTTATCCCTGGTCTGGGTGGAGATAGCCTGCAAGAGGGATCTCCAGCTGCTCAAGCAGGGTTCTGTCTGTTGACATCGAACCTCTCATGAAGGTCCAATTCCCAGTCCGTCATGTACGAGGACCTTACTTGACATCTTGTCGGGGTTACTGCGCACCAGTCGAAGCCACCATCTGCTGAGAGAACGACTCGTTCCGGCCATCGATCTCCACCTTACAGTGTGTTGAGGTCCATTGTCCAACGACCTGCTTCTCCAGGGAGCATGATGGCTGAATTAACAAGCATCTCTGGGATCTGGAGTCCATTACGCGGTGTCATATTATACTTACTGACCTGCTAGTTGAAAATCAATAGCCTTGGAATCGATACTCTAGCCAACACCTCAAGTCATGACGAAATAAAACAAGGTTACATTGTCGAAGAGAACAGAATCCGAACCTTCAAGCAGGTGGCATCATCCTTGCGGAGGCAGCAATCGATTAGGGAGTCCTAAAGCCTCCTTTGTTCTCTTTGACTCTCCAACACCCAGAATTTCTTCCAAGGCTAGCTCAGATCATCAGACTATACGCTCTGTTGAAAAATATAAGACCCTAGACTGATGAATCATGTCCGGACACCTTTTTAGCCTAGTGGAATTATATTTCGATACGCTCCCGAGGTAGGTCCAATCCATATATGTAGTTTGAGACACAATTTTGTATATGTCACCGGCGGAGACCTCGCTTTCTCTGAATCATCGGGTCATGAAAGAGCAGCTATGTATGTTTGAAACTGGAGCGACGAGGCACGGATAATACTTGATTCATTCAGTTCTACGGAGAACCCCAGTCCCTTACCGCTCATAAGCGCTGGGGCGGTTCCCGCATATCCACTGATTATGATGGGCTGGGACGGCGAATAAAAACACCTGACCTGACCCCCATCCACCATATATTTACCCAGTTATACCGTCCTGGCCTCGCGTCTGGAGGAGGATGGCCAATGATAGGCTTGGTAGCATTTAGTGGCTTCTACCAGTTCACCCTGAGTATCAAGGGACCAGTCAGGCCACGCACATTGTCCATCAGGAGAGCTCAGCTAGAAGACAGAATATTTTTGAGCCTGAGGCCTGTTGCAAATGACGGTAGATGAAAATTTGATTCTGTCATGGCAGAAAGGGACAAACAAACTAACATAGCCTCAGAGACCGAGAAAGCAGGATCATGGAAGCATCCTCTCATTCAGCAGGCTGAGGGATAAAAGCCGCCGCACCATATGTTTTAGCATAACAGGTGACCGCATATTGGGAGATTGCATTACATCTCGAGATCCTCTTCACTATCCTCGCCCTGGGGGTCCGGAGTTTCTTGATCATAACTGAGTAGAGAACTTATTGCCTGTGGTAGGTGTTGGTTTAAGGCTACACCAGCCGCTTTCTTATTTTTCGCTGGATTCTTGATTGGAGACCTGTTATCGTCAGTATAACCTCCATTAATAAAGAATTATAATTCCTTAGGTAAGTTCTTTTGTATTAACAGCTGGAAATAGAGGTATCTCCTTAGCTCTCAGGTGATACATATGTACTCTATGCCAGTCAGCTAATCCATAAATGTGTTGGCTTTGTATGGGGCCTAATAGCCATTGTTGGTAGCGTAGGTTGTGATCTTCCGATCGCCTTCTTCTCTAGTCACAGTGATGCCGAGACGGGCACCTGGATCACTATCTCGAGCCTGTGTGGCCCAGCGATTGGGGTGTCTTTCACCGGGCGGCTTGAGCTCCGCCCGAACTCGCAGATTGTGTTTTGCATCCAGCTGATCAGGCGGAACTTTAATAGCTGCAATAACATACATGGGCAACTCAGCAGTAACCGTATCCCCTGGTCTTTTGCAGCCCTTATAAAAGCGGCCGCTGTTGAGTAGTTCCATCCTTGTTTTGTATCTTGGAATGAGTACGGCATCTTCAGGAGAACGCTTTTGAGAGAGACTCTGAAATAGAACACTGTAGGAGATATCCCTAGCCTTTTCTAAAGTCTCCTCGTCCATTTCAAGGACGGCATCTGGGTCTTTAGTGAGATTCGTCTCTACTTGCAGCACTTGCTTGACCTTGGCTTCTTTCGCAGCTTTGATGGTGGTGTCTCCTTGTGGATCATCAGACAGGACTTTGTTGATAGCATTTACTGCTTCTTCCAATTGCTCCTCAGTCACCTTGAGGTAACCATTGGGGTCATCAGTTACAATCTCGTCGGGAGTGACATCAGTGTCTTCGTCGAGGTCCATCTCGGCTTGCAACGCTTGCTTAACTGTGGCTCCTTTGGCAGCTTTGATGGAAACTTCTTCCTGTGGGCCATCAGAAACGAATTTGTCGAGAGGATTTACCTGTTCGAATAGTGCGTCGTCAGTCGTCTTAATCACATTGAGAAGGGTATTTGGCTTATCCTCAGCATAGGATTGTTGGACTGACCAACATAAGCGCGCCAGTATTGTTCGTTTCGGTTGTCTAGGATAAAATCTAGATAGCCACTGTTGGTACGCCACGGGCCCGCTCCATCACTGAGCTGCTCCTCACGAACGGTTTCGAGTCTAATCAGGTCAGATCCTTCGTAAGATCAACCTATGCTATAATAGTGGGGGTACATACTCTTTAACGGTTATCTTCTTCCCTTCCAGTTTCCTGATTTCTGGACAGATACCATTGAAGAGTACTTCGATAAGATCCTCTTTTCCCACAGAATTGATGATACTTCGGTACGGGACGTGCCTCATATTCTCATCGGCTTGCCTCAACAGATGGTCCATGACGATACTGAGTGCTAGTTTGAGACCTGAGAATTTGATTTCCGGTGTGACGAGGTAGGCGTTCTGAAAATTCTTAGCATCATACTAAAGATGAATTATGGTAGCCTTACCGATTGGTCTTCCTGTCCCACTGGGGCTCGTGAATCGGACGTCGGCAGTCTATACTTAGTTGAAAAATCCGCTGGCTGTGACGGGGTTTTCTGCGGCGTAGAAGTTCGAATGCCTGTCTTTGAGCTCTGAGGCTCACGAGGTTGAGGATTTGCTGAAAATATGGACCTTGCACCTCGATGTCTGTGGGGTGTAGGGTTTTCAACTATTTCCTGATACTGATACTTTCTCTCGGTGCATTCGGATTTATGGCCTTTCTGATGGCAGATTTGACAGACAGGACAGGTAGGGCACTTATCTATGATGTGTCCCTCCTTACAACAGTACGCGCAAGGACGGTATGGACATCTCAAAGTAATATGCGGTCCCATAGCACCACATCCTTCGCAGGCAGGGGGATCTGGGTTGAACATTTTGATGACTTAGATTGCATTAAGTCGTTCAGTTAAGATGACACTATTGTTGTACATGTAGGAGGGAAAAGGAGGATGAAGGAACGCAAGAACTCTTATGTAGCAGGTCCTAGAGAAGGTTCAGGCTTTAGGGCAGACTACACTGACTAATAGAATCTGTAGGAGGATCCTGGTAGTCCTATAGGATACTTGCAGCCATACAGTATCTAATTATCATTGGTCAATTCTAAGAGCTGGCTATGTCTAGATCTTCTGTGAGGAGCAAACATAGTCCAACATGCCCAATGGCAGATGTTTTACTTATCAAGATGTCTAAGCATGAGCCTTGTCTCCCTAGACACTGGAAGCTGTTGTTGTTATTCTCCCTCTCAGTCTATTTCTCTCCGTGTGTATGCCATGTCAATAGTGCTAAAAGCCATACACAAGACGACCTTATGATATCACTCTGCGACTAGATGCCACACGCAGTCTTAATTTATTAGAAGAATCACAAACCATGTTTCCTTGAGGTTGCAGATGCCCGGAATTCCACATGCATCTACCACATCACTATGTCTCTTAACACCTGTAGCTTCCCGAAACATCCAAGTATGTAGCCCACATACTAAGACCTACCGAGAGATTACATACTTGTTGCTGATGCAGATCATTTGTTTGTATGTTGTTTTTCCTTTTTTCTTCTCTCTCAATCTTTCAGTCCCTACCACCACTAATCAGCTCGTGCCTGCAGCGAAAGCCAGAGCCTCTCATTGAATGGGGAAATGGTCATGAATCATGTATATAGTTTGAGTGAGTAACAAGCATTTATCAGCTACTTCTTTGACATAGCTAGTTGATTGTTAGTCTGAATTGAAATGTGCCACTGTGATATCTATTGCATACACGGCTAGTACAACAGACTATAGCTGCAATCCAGATGCGGACTTCTGGTATTTTTATAATGACTAGTACCTAGCCCATCCTTAAGTTTTGTCAAAGAAAACCACGGAGAGTTTTATGTTGGAATGTAAGAGTTATGCTTCTACTCTTGTCAGCATTGTTGGTTGTCAGTTAGTTGGCAAGATTAATCAAGCCAAATAGTCTTGTTGCTTTCTCTTCAGTAGATATCAACACTAAATGCTAAAAGTATTTAAGGGTCTACAACATATCACATGAGATTCTCACATTATAATGATGGTGATACAGCATGTATGCTGCTTCTTTGTTGAGAGATGGATTGACAGGAGTTGAATTTAGCTCTGGATTTGAGCACGCAAGCATTGGACAAGGCAAAGCTACAAAACAATGCCACCCCCATAGAGGAACATTCCCTGCTCTGATTGCGACAATCACAGGTCGACAATGTCGGACAACCATTGTTGAGAGTGAACAAATTTCAACACCTTCAGGTTAAGGCGACCATTCAAATCTCCTCTCCCTATTCTACGATTCTTTAGTCCGGCGACACGATTCAACATGGAGGTCACTATATTGGCAGAGCGGGCATTACTCGGCCGCCTTGCAGCAATTGCGAATTATTGAGCTTAATTTGTCAGGTAATAGCAAATCTGAATATTATATATGAGGGGCAAAATATTGAGTTACTCCGAGGGCGTACTAAACACGCGTACTAGTATCCTTAAGGTAATTTAGGGCAGTGAGGTATCTACTTATCCTTTGAGGAAGGCCCTCAAAAGGGGCAAAAATACTGAAGGGCAGGATTCAACGAATTTACATTCCACAAGAGGCCATTTAAATGGAGTAAAAGTGAAAAGGAAGGGAAGGAATTCGATCCAAACGACAACGGCGCGACTCTCAGGAGATCATAACGAGGACGACAGATGATTTCCGATTCAAAACATTTGTATTGCCAAATACGAAGGAGTCCTCCCAACAAAAGGAAAAAGGAAAAAAGAAAAGAAGATATGAGAACCCGACAAGGCGGGGATTTGAACCCCGGCTCACGAATGAATTTGATATTCGGGGATGATGACCAGACCGGCATCGGCCTTTACAACACCCAATTCGAATCAAACGCCTTAACCACTCGGCCACCTTGCCTGTTAGTGAAACATCAAAACCTAATGTCTTTTGTCCTGATTGAGAACAGATTCGCCTCCACTACGTAGTAGAAGGATGGAATGTAGCCCAAACTCGCGCCAGTCCTTCGTAGATTATGGCCATGTCTCATCATCTAAGGATCAAATACCTGCGGGTTAGAGTCCAGAAAGAAATACATTTGATCACACGCTGAGTCAAGGCCACTAACAAGCTGTCAGTCTTATCCTCCATGTTGTATAAATTCGGGTCAAATCCAACCCTTCTACCGGAGGGAAATTTTTTAAAAAAAAAAATTTTTCCGGGCTCCTTTTCTACATATCACAGTAGCTTGAAAACAAATCAACAGCTGGCAAGGTGGCCGAGTGGTTAAGGCGTCAGTTTCGAATTGGGCAAGCTCAATTAGCTGATTCCCTAGGGATCGCCGGTTCGAATCCGGTCCTTGTCGGTTTTTTTTGGATGGCCCCTCGAACCCAATCTACCATTAGTGGTAATTGCTTCGCGGATCGTGCGCCAAGTGGCCGCTCCTCGGCAATCTTTCTGGTAATTCAACGTTAAATTCAGACTCTTATCTACAACAGGCAAGGGCCGAGTGGTTAAGGCGTCAGTTTTGAATTTGAACAAACTCTATAGCTGATTCCCGAGGGATCGTCGTCGAATCCGGCCTTTGTCGATGTTTTTGTTAGTTTTTGACAATCGTCCTTAATCTAATCTGAAAATTATACTCTCACTCTGCAACAGGCAAGGTGGCCGAGTGGTTGGAATGTGGTAGACGAGACGATTCTAAGGCCAACAAAATTGTTAATCGCCTTGACAGATGCAGGTACCATGTGGCATAACACTGGATGCTGAAGTGCTTTTTCTCTTGTGCAACTAATACAAGCATAACTAGATAAATGCAACATTGGATTTTATTTATACTCCATTGATTTTCACTTGGTTAGGAATATGTGGACTAGCATGTCGGGTGTGAGAATATATATACACAATTCCCCGAATAAAAACGCAAGCAAAGGATTCCCACATACTGGGACACATGAATCATTAAGGTCGTCAAGGTCAAGGACATATATAATTGATAGTCTCAATGTCCATATACGTAATGGATTTGATGTATTCTTAAGTCAATCACTCATTGCCTCCTTCACACTCATGTTGGGAGATGTCATTGAAGCGAGTTCTAGGATAGAGTTACCTTCCAGCAGAGAAGCAAAATGTACTCATTCAAAGCAGAGGATGTCGCCTAAGTCTCGACCAGTCTTGTTTCGCTTCACAGCGCTCCTCAGTGCTCGGTCCCCGGACGCAATTAATCCATAATGAATCTTAGGATTATCAGAGCCACGTGCAGGTCGATCCACAATTTGAGCCCTTTCACATCTCCTACATGTGGCCTGACCAGGTACATGAGGATAATCCGGTCGGAAGAGAACGTCCGAACCTGCTGACGGCCGTCGGTAATCTGCGAGGCATGGCCATTTTTGCACATTTTCTGACAGAAAGGTGTTCACTTTGTCGATTTCCTCAGGTGGTCGGATCGCATCACCTCCACTGCACTCCTCAAGATGGGAGGGGGTGGCCAGAGGAATCCTGCAAGGGTGAACCCATCATCTACATCATTTCCTAGGTCATATTGAACTACCCTACTAAATGGACCCTCGGGCATACTCACAACAATATCACCGACGCGGATGTCGTGTTTTGGGCTTGGCACACCACCTCCAATGCCCACCAGAAGTCGCCATTTGATTGATGGGAACGTGCGTTGCATATTGTTAGCGACGATTGCCGCGGCTCCTTTCCCTTGGGTAACTGGAAGACAGGCAATCACGACATTGTGACCACTAGTTCGCCGAGGACATATATGCGTGTGTCGCCTTGCTTGGTGGGCAAACGAGGATGTTCGTCGTCAAGCATGTAGCGGACAGCGCTCATCTTAATACCCCTGGCGCACACCACACCGACAGTGTAATTATGGTAGGTCCATGGATTCGCACAGTACTCGTTTGTAGACGGGATCGGAGATCCATTGTACCCACGGCGCTTCTTTTGAGTTCCATCTGTTACTGAAAAAACGCCTTCTCTGTTGTATCGGCGTCCCTCAGTTGTCCTTTCCATAGCAATTTTCTCCTGGCGCCTTTTCAGTAAGGATCTTCTTCGCTATACCAACGTGGTAAACACAGGCTACAGGGCGATCGCCTCTGAGATAGGACTAAAAACGGGGTCCTCGGAGTAGCACCGCTTCGTCAGGAGGTTGTCAAGCAGCATGGCCTCATCCTGAGGCATAGCAGTAGGGAGGAGGGGTTCCCTCCATCGTTTCGCATGTTTCAGTCTTGTGCGATTTGCCAGCGCGTAAATCACGTGCTTAGCTCGTAGGTATAGAAAAGGTGAGGCTGAATCCGCATGGGCTTATGACCATGTCGCTTCCTCCAGTTATACTGGTTTGGCATGCTATTTCTTGCCCATTGTGACTAGTTAAATTAGTGCATATGTATCACCATAATCAAAAGTTTTTACCGGGGTGCCATCAATAGGAGATCCAGGAAGTTGGCAAGGAGGTATGCACAATCAGTGCTTATGTATCAAAAAGACAGAAACTAGTTTGCCTGGCACTAAAGCTGTATAACAGTCCCATAGATAGGCCTGATACTTTTTTTTCTAGCTCAAATACAGTCTTTGTCAAAGATTGTGGGGTATTGAATGCATGGATAATAACTTAATAAGACTTGCTGGTTAAGTAGTGTGCTTCCCCTGTACCCTGACATAAAACACACTGTCTAATTTTAAGAAGAAATAAACTTCCTCATGCTTTAGTATCTAACTATTTTTTAGCTTCTCTTGTAAAGGGTGGATCACAGCTGTCACAAGGACATAAATATTACTATGACTAGTGTTAGGAATTCTGCTGTAATTGAAGCAATCTGTCTCTAGATAATGTATTATAATATATGCAAAGGTGTTGCATAGTCTTATAAGTTAGATAGAATCCTCACCTATGTGCTATGGTGCTTAATTAAAATCTTAAAGCAATGACTTATATCACCTCTAAATAGCTAAGCCGCTATAGTTTCTGGTGCAAAAGCCATGCATAACTGTGGCCTTTCTGTTATCACCTAGACTTACTCTGTAGTCCACAATGTATAATACAATCTTCAGGAAACCTCGTGCCATTATCTGGCAGCATGAATTCCCAGATCCAGGCTGTTATTGTCCGTGCTCCAGCACCAGACTCTGGACAAAACTGTATGAGATGTGGCAAACCAAGCACTCTACGGAATCCAAGATCGAGGGCCTTGCTGAATGCAGAAGATCTGTCGTGTAATATCGCCCACTGAAGGCTAACCCTTGTTCATGGTCAAATAAGTGACTATCTAGATGATCTATATACCCCAGTATTCATAATCCAAATTGTAATAGAGTAGATAAGTATACAAATTGATCTCACAGACGGTAACAGTGATCCGTTGGATATAGGAAAGGCATAATGAGAGGGAAGTCCACGCTGTATCATCCGAGATGGGTAACTGAGCAGGGATTGGAGTTCCAACCGGCGTCTAGGAATACGATTAGAATAATATAATCTATGATATTTCTAACAAGCAGAAAACCATTTGAACAGAATAGTATCATTGTCATATCTCGTCGTGTTGTATCCATCCCTGGTACTTTGTCCATACTTGCTTTTGTATCTCTCCCAATGCAGAACGCGCTGCGCCAATAGCAGCCAGCCCAGAATCATGCACTGTCCCTCCGATGATATCAATTTGATCTCCAAGAGCTTGCTGAACTGCTGTCTTGACCAGGTGACCATCGTGGCCGGCAGTCAAAATAACCAGCTTATCGATCCTTTGTGGGATTCCATCGTCCTTGTGCGTCTCATCCAGGTGGTATTCTATTGCCGTCAGTGAGACCCTATATAGCTATCGGGAGAAGAAGATACTAGCCTCTCAATGCAGTCAAATGAGCCACGATGTTGTCTGCCAGGCTCTCCACGTAATTTTTCTCAACAACACGAATATCCTTCCACGTAAGCACGGCCTTGACCTCCTCAAACTCCTGATACCCCCAACCGCTTAAATCAAGCGGCCATTCATCCTGATATTTGTAATTTTCGCTGGTCTGGTTCTCTGCGTGGTTCCGCTTTATCAAACGAGCCTGCTTCACCCGCTCCCAAAGATCGCTCTCTCGCGCTCCGAGGGAAATCTGAAACCTCAGCGCTTCAGAGCCCTTAACCAACCGCCTGGTCAAATACCGGTCAATCGACTCAGTGCCCCACTGATCCATAGGGAGGTATCCCTCTCTCATACCGGCGCGTTTGTCAGTATTATACGTTCGTGAATCCAGGTAGAATTCCCCCAGGTCCAGAACTAGGTATCGGATGTCGGGATTGTCAATCTGGGTCTCCTGGCTTTGATTGAACGTGGCGAGGACTGTCCGGTCCTGCGGTCCGCGCGGGAGGCTGATTTCGGCTTCCCAGCATGCTGTCCACACGAGGCCGGCTAGAGTGCTGTTAAAAAACTGGGGGATAGCGACTGTTGCGGATCCAATGTCGATATCGTGGTTATTCTGTGCTTGGGCTTTGAGCTCAGTGAGGACGGAAACAAACTCAGCCTTGATGTCGCCTAACGTTGGCGTTGTTGACGACGAAGGGTAGTAGTTGACTCCGAGAAATGATATCATAGCATGAAATGTGGTCTTTATGACTCCCGACGCTGCTTGAAAAACCTCTGACCCGAAAATGCTTTGTTGAACAGATAGTGGCACCAGATCATGAACCCTAGAAACAGCCAGCTTCACTCCCGCCGCCACGGCTTCAGCAAGGCGTGAGATCAGCCCAGCTTTCTCGCCATACATGGCCGCTACATTGTTCTGTACGTAGGCTTCCTGACGAAGGTGACGCATGTAGATACCATACGTGTCATTCTGTCTGGGAATAATTTTGGCAATAATCGAGACATTATCAGATGCGTGCGCATATGCGGCCGTTCTACCATCAGTAAGATACTGGCGATATGGGTAGTGGGGCAGGGAGTACTGACATGACTTCGGGGCCGAAATCGATTCCAATCGCTTGGGCCTGTCCGCTGGCTATTACTGGGAGGATAAGACTGTAAGTAAGCGCTAGGAGGGCGGCCAACCTCCTTTGGAGGAACTGCATGGATACGTTGCCGATGTTCCTGTTCTTCGATTGTGATATTGTGGAGGGTGTTCTTGGTTGATATAATAGTTGTTTGAAAGTGCCAAGAGCTGCCAAGTTGATAAACCCCAAAGTGGTCTGAAACATGGCCAATAGACCAAGCAATTGGTCCTGAGCTAAGCAGTAAAGGGGTAGCGCGCTCTATTAAAAGCATCTGAGATTGATCATGAATCAGAAAATCAAAATCCACTTTGGAATTCCTGTCAACAGAGTATAACTACGCCTAATTAATGCAAACCAGGTCACGAGTAGGAATAAGTTTCAGAACAGAAGTACATTTCTCAACATTAAAACATTTATACTATGAACTCCTGCTACTGCACATAACATTCCATCCACAGTGACCATGGCCAGTTCAAACCTGGAAGAAAGGAACAGCCCTCCTGCACCCCCTCCGCCCCCTCCACCATCGGATCCTCACTCAAAGATATCTCCCTACGTTCTGAAGCTCAGGAGCGCGCCTCCAAATTATTTCTACGAGCCCCCAATAAAGCCAGAACACACCGACCCCTTTGCTGCACCCACAGGTCCCTACTTCTTTTACGGCACATTAACAGATCCGTTAATGATCTCGGAGATTCTCGAGCTGCCTGAGGAACCAAAACTCCGGCCTGCACATATTATTGGGTACGAATGTAAAATGTGGGGGCAATATCCAGCTTTGCTCGATAGTCCAGATTCGGTGGTTGAAGGAGCAGCGTATCATATCTGTACTACGCTGGATGCTGAGAGACTTGCTGCGTATGAGACGGGAAACTATCGTGCTGAGGATTGTCTTATCAGATATACAGATGGCAAGGAGCCGTCTGAGGATCTGGGGTACACATTCAAGTATGTTGGTGACCCGCGCGAACTCAGCGAGGGCGAGTTTGACCTGAAGGTCTGGTTGAGACGGATGGGGAGACATGCTGCGGCGGATAAGTTGGAGGCTGCTAAATGCGAGAAATAGAGGATGAACCTTATCCTTTGTCCTCTCGGGTTTAATGATTCTATGTTGGTATACCTCTTTGTCAAAATACAGTATGGGTGAGGTTTCTGCCTGCTAGAGGTGCAGCCAAATTGTGCGATGGGAATCTAGCTTAAGACTGGCTACATATAAGAAGAGATAGAGGCTATATCGTAGATAAAAAGAACTCGTATCTCCCATACTCATCCGCCATAAGATAGGTCTTGCTTCAAATGGTGCCTGGCTCTAATCCAGTTGTTATCGCACTCCCTTCGCTATCGAGGACCTGATCCGGCATTAGCTGCATCGTCCCGATGTCCAGAGGAAGGGCCATACTAGCATCTGTAGCACCATTTGGTGATATAGTTGCTTCGCACATCCATGGATGAGCGAGGCTTTCCTCGGCCGTCGCACGTTTGTCCACATCCACGGTCAGCATTGCATCAATGAGATCCAAAGCGGGATCTCCGACGGAATCCCAGTAAGGCGATGGATAATGATATTGACCCATCTTGATCTGTTGGGAGAGAGTATATGGGTTCTCTTCAGTGTACAAGTCGTCAGAAAATGGAGGAAACCCGCACAAACAGATGTACAAGACAACGCCGGAGGACCACAAGTCCACTCCAAAACCGTATGAACGGCTGCGAGACGTCTGGAGAACCTCCGGCGGCACATCTAGATGGGTCAGCAAATGCGAATAAGTGACACGAAGTAGGTAGCCTACAGCTTGGAGTTCCACACAAAGTCGATGTCAACTCTTCGAATCCTGAGTCTGTATGGAGCTTTTTTGCCAGCCCAAAATCGCTTAGCTGGATCGTAAGGTTCCTGTCCATAACAAGGATATTCTCGGGCTTGACGTCTCGGTGGACCCATCCACGGTCGTGCTACTATGTATCAGACTCTGAGTTCTTAACGTGTTATGAAGGACTCACGAGGAATTTGATAGCGGATAACAACTGAGTAAAGATGACTCGTGTTTCGGCCTCGGTAAACTTCTCCTTCGCGACAATAAGGTCAAAGAGGTCCCCTTCCTTCCCGAGGTCCATGACGAGGCAGATCCTATTCTTCTCGAAGTCTGCAAATAGATCAGCCATCCTCATGAGGTTCGGATGAGAATGCTTCTGGAGTTCGCGAAGCAACTGAATCTCATAATGTAAGCTCTCAAAATCCGAAGATGAGGGAGGCCGATGACTATGGAACATCTTGACCGCAAATAATACGCCAGTCACTCTGTTGGAGCAGAGGTATACAGTGGCAAAATGTCCTTTCCCGATTTGCTCCATCATATTGTATCGCTGATAAAAGCCAGTCTGGATATCATATTGCTCCATGAGTTCTGCGAATGAGATCTCATCTCTTTCCTGACTTTCTGTATGGAGATTCGATGGTCGTTGCCACGGTATTTCAGGACTCTCAGGTAGTCCGCTCATAATCCTCGACGATTGCCTCTGTAAAGGCCTCCCAGCAATGGCCTCATAGTCAACCGTTAGACGTCGCACTAGGCGCTGTAATCCTCTCCGGGAGGCAATAATGGAGGCACGACGCCCGGCCATTCCACGAGGCAGGAGAGCACCGTAATCCGCAAGAAATGTCGCGATAGCTTCCTGTCCGCTTCGTAGAGCCATACTCAAGGCAGAATCCCCCCATTCTGTCTCCACCATCAACTCTGCACCCGCTTCAACCAGCATGCGAACCGCATCAAGATGCCCGCTTGATACAGCAGACATAAGCGGAGTCAAATTATTCGATGCTTTGTTGTTCACGCATGCGCCGCCATCTAATAGCACACGGATTACGCTTGAGTGACCATTTCGAGCCGCTCTTTGCAGAGCACTTTCACCCATGTAGTCCTGAGCGTTGACTGCAGCTCCTAGCTCCAGGAGAACCCGTACATTCTCCGCGTGGCCAAACGTCGCAGCCCGGATAAGGGCAGTCTCTCCGTCGGTCCCTTTGCCTTCGATTTTGTGGCCATTTGCAATCATGTGTCGAAGAATCACCGGGAGATCAAAAGCCGCGGCGAGGACGAGAGCCGGGGACTTACGGGGAAATTCCTGACTCCAGTTGGGATAGCGACCAGTTGGAACACTCCACGCTTGATGGATCGTTTCAGACACCGTTGGATTAGAGAAAAGTCGGTCGAGGCTCGGCAGTACCTCGTCTGCCTCAAGGAGATTCATATCCGACCCCCAATGTTTGGCAGCATATTCCAAAAAGGGATATTCCGTCAGACGCTGCAGCATCGCCGCATCACTTTCACAAAAGCCAGATAAGAAGTTCGGAAGACCCAAATAGGCCAAGCTCACTTTGGTGAGACTCAGCCTAGCGGCCATCAGTCTTTGACTATGTGACCGTTCGAAGTATTGATGGACTGTGTAATGAATGGCATGGATGGCTTGCGACTCGTGATCGACGGCGATGAGACCGCTACACGCCCCAGTCAAGATGTCCGCATCTGGGAGATCGTCGTCTCCGAGTGCCATACCGCCCGTTAGCTCTTGCGTGGCGTACATATGCTGGAGCTGCATGACTGTCAGGGTTTCCCGGGCACAAATTATCCATAGCAGTACTGTCTCCGCTAGTTCGGCAGTATCAGCTGGCTGGTCATATATTCTTTGCAGGGCTTCCGAGTATGTGTCGTCCAAAGTTACAGGGAGAGTACGTAGGGCGGATCGCACTGCTTTTCGATTAATCTTGGTCGAGAGAGAGTCGAGGTGCAGCTTGGCAAGGAGGAACCTGTAATAGTGGATTAGCCTCGACCATATCAGAATAACGCTGTTGCTTACATTCCCTGGCAATCACCAGTGATGGAATCAATTATCTCCGTTCTCAAGTCCGGGTCAGCACGGACATGCTTAGAGAGCCTGGGTTGTTGGCTTATCTCGGAGTCCAGGAACATCCTGATGTCCTCATCCCGAGCAAATATCTCTACCATCTTAGTCGAAACGAAAAATGCCTCGAAAGTAGTGGAGAAGCGTGAACTACACAGAATCCTGACATTTGAGCCAATCGAGCGTACCGTTGACAGAAACCGGAGGGCATCTTCCTCGGATTCGGTACATTCGTCCAGAGCATCAATGACAACAAACAAAGACTCATATGTTGAAGTCAGTTTCCCCAGTAGATCAGTTAACTCTTTCAAAGTGGGACGTGTGCCGTATTTCTTGTGCGAGTTATAGAGAGACAACACTTCAGGTGGTACCGTCTCGCTTGTGGGATGTTGAAGGACCTGCTGGACCAGACCTGAGAGCAAAGCAGCAGAAGTCTGCTCTTTTCGGCTGTTATAGTTACAGTAGATATACGTGTAGAGACTGTTCTTCGAGGACTGGTCATGCTCAAGGATATCGATAACCATAGACCTGGTATATGCATTAGCTATCATTCAATTTCTCGGATGTATAAGGGGAACGGTTGCTTGCATTAGTCTCGTTTTGCCAGCGCCAGCTACGAACAAGCGTTAGCTACCCCATCGTCGACTGGAAAGATATGTGTACTCACGTAGGCCTGGGCACCAGAGCATGCTAATCTTCCCGTCCAGCCAGGCACGAAGAGCCTCGTGTTTGGTGAACCATCGACCAGTTCCTGGCTGCACACTTTCCAGTATCGCAATATGCTGCTCGCGAAACGAGAGGGTGCTGAACCAGAGAATGATCCTCTGGGTCTCATCTTCGTGATCTTTCAAGTGAGTCTCATCAACCTTCTGCCCCATATCTACTATTCTCTCGTGGGATGCTTGTGCAAGCTCATAGGATGCCTGCGTAAGCTGCCTACACCCACGCGGTTAGCATACATCAAACCATTAAGTGGTTGGGCAAGAGCCGTACGCGAGGTCATTCTGCATGACCAGAATGAAATGGCTCTTTAGGCGCTCCAAGCAAGAAAGCTTCTCCGCGGTATCCTTCTTGGTAAATGGCCATGTCATAGGTAACGATCGTTGCCGCAGCTTACTCTGCGGGCTGAGCTGCTTGATGATGTCCTCCAGGATGCGCTGGAACTGAACAAGAGGGCTATCCGGGCCATAAAGAGCCTTGATATACAGCGGCCTGCCAGGTCCCGACGTCGTCGCTGCGTCTTCCGCATCCTCGATACGGTCTCTGAGCATCTCGAGCAGGCAGGTGGTGCTTCTCAGCTCATCCCGGAGGTTGACTCGATCCGTGTCTCCATTTTTGATGCCTCTCAGGTAGTTAGTCGCCGTGGCTGCCAATTCAAGCACCGTTATGACGCTCGCGGTAATACTCAGAGGGTCGCTCATTTTGCGTGGGAAATGTCCCTTGGAGGGGCTGAATCGATGAGGGGTCCAGCGCAATCCCACAACCTCCCTATTCCGTGAGCACGGCAACTCTGCGGCGGACGTGCCTGGATGAATGTAGGATGAAAGGGTGATTAAGAGGAATAAACTTCATAGTTGTGGGAAGACTTGGGTTAGATGAAGAACATGAGGTAGATGAGCAGCAGGCTGCAGTCCTTAGATATCAGCCCGTGGAGGCTTAGCGCTGCAGTCAGCCTTGCCATACATTTTCATTGGCTTCATTCTCTTAGGACCCTTGGTATTTGTACAAAAGGAGCCCATTGGAGTTCGACCATGATTACAGTACTCACGCCCTCTGCGGCCGTATTAGGGAACACTAAATAACCTGGATATGGAATTCTATGGTACCAAGATCGATACAGCAGGAATATCGAATACTATAGTATCGATGCTGAATCCCATGTAGGGGCTCTAGGGAGGTACCTGGTACAGTTATAATCTATCATAGGGGGTTACCCCACAAGTGGTACGGCACTCCAATAAAATATATGTCTGAGCATGGTGGTATCTAATATCCTTGTAAATATGCCATTTGATATTTGTGCAGATAGTGGCATTAGCACTCTATCAATATCTATAAAAGAGGTAAACTGTTTCTTTCATATAACAGTTCACCATAAGAGAGGAAAGATTTCGATACTCTATCCAGCCTGTTTGTATTCCACGGATTCAGGCGTAAAAGAGGTAGCTTATGGAGTAGTTTAAAGCATCTTAACAGCAATCGTAATGACACAGACCTTGCAAAAGCCTGTAGAATACTATGATATCCTCAACAGCAGCTGAAGGGGCTATGTAACAGATGAACTTACGCTAGTAGTGTACAGAATGTAATTTAAGACTAGTATATTCTCTATATTTTGTTAGTGATAGTGCAGTGATAGCAAGCAGTGATCTGCATTTTTTGCCTTCCCTGACGATAGACAACGGGGACGTCCACATATACCTTCGTAAACCCTTCGAGAAGGCTACAAGTATGATGAGGATATGATAATTAATGTGAGGTCATACCCTGTATAGCTTCAACACTTCCAAGAATAGCAATCATAGCACACAGACGAATATCAATAAATAGGAATAATGGAGCACGTATTCAGAGTAAAGACCATACTGCTGCATGGATGAGACCTCTTCCTTTCGTTATTGTCTGAGTTTGTGTAATAGGAGGTAATGATTGTTGTAAGGAAGGTTGTCACAAGCAACCAAATCACCATAATATTTCAAGCTCACGACTCCACAACTCCACCGCCCGTGCAGCGGCCAGATCCCTGTCCCTTCGGATGATCGTGCACGACTGGCAACAGCATAGGATCAGCCGGCAGGAGCGAGTCTTGGTTATTGGGTACCGGTCTCCCAAAACCGGGGGCTGTCCCGGTCTCTGCAGAACGCATCGTGCATGCTTGATATTTGGTAATGATGCAGGTTTTAAGCAGTAACGAACGGGACCTGGTTAATGTTGTGCAGCCAAGCAGGATGTGGCATCGCTGATATGTTGCGCTCTTCAAAGCCTGGGTCAACCTTTCCTCAGAGATGGCAACATCATACCAGAGAAAGTGCGACCAGGCTTATCTCTACGACAGACCTTATGGGACTTTCAGGATAGAACAGTCACTGTTGAACCCAAATAGATGCTAGGAATCACACCTTCAACGAGTTGCTTCGCATTTTCAAGCACATTTCTTATTCAATTGACAAAAGCTAACCTCCATTGTTTACGACCAAAACGCCCGTTCGTGTTAGCTACGATAACGCCTGCGATCGGAATTTCCGGCGCAATTACCACGACCAGCTTCCGCAGTGGATCAATGAGAATTCCACATATACTACTACTGCCGGAGAAGAAATAGATTTTGACCGAGCTCTGGTGCTGTATGTGATTGAGGCGGTATATCCATCGGTCCTTTTGCTAACCAGGTTGGACTCAGGAATGGCTTGCATCCTACTATCGGCACCTACTATCCCAACCCAACTCCGCATGTGACTGTTCGGCTTTCGAACCCATCCTTGCGCGAACGGCAGATGTGGTATGTTCTCCCACTGGCGGCCCAACGGGGAGTCAGTCGTCCTCCCACGACCAGATAACGCGTTATTAAATCCACGAAGAAGGGAGAGACGGAAGGAGAAGAAACGGAGAAGAAAGTCTAGGAACAATAAGAACAACCATAAGAGTGGCAGAAAAGACCACGATCATCCGGGGAAAGGAGGCGGTGCTGGGGGTACTATTGGTATCACCACAAGCGGAGGAGACGTACAAGTTAGAGTCCTGGAAATTCGAGGAAGGCATCTTATAGTTACACCTCCCGAAGGCTTCCAGGAATTGGAAGGAAACGTCATGATGGAAAGATCCAGACTAAAGCACTGCGCGGTTGTTGTTGTTTTTTTTTCCCCGTTTTGTTGGCGGTTTAGTCTCTTAAGCACAAACCATCCCTCATTTAAAGTCCAAAATGAGCACTCTGTTCCGGAGTCTCCAGACATATGATCTTTCAGTGTTCCAAGATGCTGTAAGCCTAATAGCTATATTGTTCTTCCAGTGACCAACGGGTTTCGGTCCTCTGGGAGCCGCGCGCCGGACACAGACCGGAGCCGTTAGATTCATCATTCGCCGTACAAGCGCGCCTTATTCTTGCCACAAGTTGGCAGGCACATTGCCGCACGTCATTTGTATTACCAGTTAACACCTGGGCTCAATCAATCATTTTGCATTCTTTGGTATTTCCGCATTTCATCGTCCCCCAGAGTTCGTCATGGAAGATTTGTCTGTTTACCATCCCGGTAATCTTCTATACACCCAGGAAAAGTTGGTTGGGGAGGCTTTTCCACTGTTTGGCTTGCAAACGACAGAGAGTGCGTTGCTCAATCAAACCATCTTCTGTATGTCTTCATTAACCATATAAAAGGAATGACCAGTGGGTTTCGCTGAAAATTTTGAGGGCGGATAGCTCCCTGGTATCTCCAGAGCTTCGCAACTTACGACACTTAGAAAAGCACTCCGAACGCAGCTTGTCCTCGAAATATATTGTTCAGTTATTCGACTCTTTTACTCATCAGGGACCCAACGGACTCCATCAGTGTCTTGTATTTGAGTTGCTTGGTCCTTCCGTCGATAAGGTTCTCAACGACTACTACGACTCTGGAGATACGCTTGAGACAGAAGATATCCTTCGCATGACGGAACAGCTTTTAGAAGCCATTCAGTTTATTCATGATGCTGGCATGGGACACGGGGGTGAGCCACACCCGTATATATACTCCTCTACCTGACTCGTTCTTGTCTTCACGGGATAGTTTTAATGTGGTGGTAGATATAAGCGGCAGGAACATTGCCTTCAGTTGTAGCAACCTGTCGAATGCAGCCGAAGAGGATCTCTTTGAAGACCTTGGGTTACCGGAGACGGAAGAATTGGTTCGCCTTGATGGCAAGCCACTGGACAAAGGCTTACCGAAGCATATGGTGAAAGCGGCCGAATGGGACGAGTGGGTTGATGAAGATGAGGAAGATCTTCGGATTCTTGACCTTGGAGAGGGGTTCCTTCAAGGACACGAGCCCAAAACCCTCTCTCAACCACACCAATTGCAGGCACCAGAGACGATTTTCGGGAACTCCTTTGACCACCGAGTCGACTTATGGCGTGCAGGCTGCGTGGTAAGTGGCCTTATGCGGTCGCAGGAAGATTGAATGTTAATGTTTCAACGCAGATTTATTCGTTCATATTCAGAACATCGCCATTCTGGTACCTTGACGACGATGCTGCCTTGGTTGAACAGTTGGTCGGGTTTGTGGAGAAGTTACCAGAGGTCTGGCAGCCAGTGTGGGACCGCATGCAGTTCAACTCGAAGCATCAGATGGAACCGACGGAAGGTGAGTGAACACCATCCATGTGGGCGCGATACAACCAGATTTGCTGAGTTTACTCCAAGATCGTCAGCTATCGGAGCTAGAGAGAAGGTTTAATAAGAGGGTGCGTGATCCAAAACTTGCTCGTCTTGTTCCAGTTATTCGGGGCTTGATGAGATTTCTGCCATCGAGTCGTATGGAGGCATCCGAAGCACTCGATTTGTTGAGGTCAGGAGTGCGGACAGAATCGAAATCCGACTCGAGTGATACTGTACCCTAGGATTCACTTTTACCTGGCTCGCGATTGTACGATTTTACATATCGAGGACGCCACCACCGATTGCTTGTGCTCGGCTGTGTTTGCTCTGGATATTGTGTTGTGGGCTGCAGCTGAGCTCTGTCAAATAGGCCAACCACCTTCATCCTTATGCATGGATACGAGCCGTGCAGAAGTAATTTAGTCATAAGAATACATCTATCAGCTCTTCATGCATGCTTTAAAGTGGCTGGGCTAAATAAGGGCATTACATTGCTTGGCGCCCGCCACAACAATGGTAGATACATGCTCATCCACCTTTTTCTGGGCTTCCAGAAGGTGTACAAGCGCCTGATGGGACGCTCGGGCAGCATTGGGAATACAGCCGGCTCATCACACAATACTAATAGTAATGTAGAATGGTTGCGGGCCATTGAGAGCCCAGCTATCCGGCCTGAATGGGCACGTTGGAAAATATAATAGCCCTCTCTGACTCCTGGATGTTCCTGTTGTCTTGACCAAGTCTACTTTGCTGTGCAGTTCACAACTGCTTAAATATTCCTTGTCCTAGAGAGTATTATCCTTACAAAAATCAAATCCTCCATCACGATGAAGGTGTTGACCATTACAGCTGCCATTCTTTCTTCTGTTGTCCTGGCAGGCCCAGGTGTCATAGCAGAAACATTGAAGTATAATCGCGACTATGACTACGCTCAAAATACTGCACTTACCTTATTTTCCTGCTCAGACGGTGCCAATGGTCTTATGACAAGATACGGGGTAAACAACCTCCAACAACTGCGGAACAAGTTACAAGCAAATACATATGTCGGCGCGTCGCCTGCTGTGACAAAGTGGAATGATCCAAACTGCGGGAGATGCTTTAGAGCAACGAACCCCAGCAATAATAAGGCATTGAACTTTGTGGTTATCGAAGGAAACTCTGGTGTTGTGACTGGTGAAGAGGGATTTCGTCTTCTGTCCCCCTCTGGAACCACTTCGGAGGGTACACTTACTGTGAACATCGCAGAGCTGTCATCTCAGAGTTGCTGGAAATGAGTTAGGAAACAGATGTTCTCACTGTTGTCCTTCCATTATTGTTACTGGAGGATTGGGGCAAGCCATGTTATGTTTGTCCATGTTCTGACTCCGGAGGCATAAAGGTGGTATACATAACAATCTCATTACCGACCTATTCAAACCATCCACCACTTCATCTGCTGGAGTTAATCATTGATGTATATTTCTCTTACAAGCAAGCACACTCTTAGTACTCCTTCGCAAGGTGTACCATAACTTTGGAATTATTGGGTCTCACCCCTGAAAAGACCTCACTTTAAGTGTTCGCAGTGTCTTATTGGCCAGATGCCAGGATTATATCATGTGATATCAGATTGACCCCTCTCCTGACTCAGATTGCAAGAAGGATCATCTTCCTCATCAGTACCTTAATGTGGCCTGCAAGAGCATTATTCTTACGGAATGTCTTCTCCAGGGCCTAACAGTTCGCTCTCCCTCTCCACTCGTCTGCTCTGCTACCTGGGTCCTCCGTCCGCCCTTCTGCTCATAGGCACCACATCTCCAAAAGCTGCCCTTCTCTCTCCTCTAAGCCTAATTCCGACAGCCGTGTTCTGCAAGAAATGGAAGAAACGCAGCAATGCCTCTCCCACTCGCCACGCCGGGATAGAGCCACTCATCTGGACTTTCACCTTGAGCGGCACCCTCGGCTTAGCCGCCGCAGCGGTTGTCCAAATGGGCATTTGCCAAGCCGTCGGCGCTGTCCTCTTCTCCTCTGAGGATCTACGCACAGAATTCTGGACTGAATTTGGTCGTACCACTGTTGCCGGGTTAACACAGGAGCAACTACTCCGCCGTGCCGAACTAGCTTCCTCGTGGCAGAACTGGGTTTTCAACGGCGCTTTGACGTACGTTGCCGCTGGACTGGTCGAGGAACTCCTGAAATACATCCCGGTCATGTATGCGCGACGGAGAGACGCCAAGAAGAAACAACGCCGCGATAGAGCGTACATTGACTACGTTCTTGCCAGTGCATTAGGCTTTAGTGTCGTTGAGAACATCGGGTTCATTTATTCAGCATGCGTGGGAGGCCAGGAGAGCTGGCCGAAATTATTGCTGACGTTCATGGAGAGAGTGGTGGTGGGTCAACTGGGGCATCTTTCTGTGGCTTGTCTGACGGCGCTGCGGGCTACGCGGAGGGATTATCATGGGGACTCCTTGGGGCTGTGGGGAGTGATTGGTCCTGCGGCATTATTTCATGGGACGTATAACTTTGCGCTCATGAGTGTCAGTGCTATGGAGGGAAATGTGGGTTGGATTCATCCAAACGGACTGCGGAATACGGTGTTGGCGCTCGGGTTGGTTTCGGGGATGATTGGGCTGGCTGTTCGGAAGGTGAAACAGGAGTGGAGAAAGGTGCAGAAGTATGAGCAGGACCGTTTGAAAGATGACGAGAGTCGGAAATAGTATGCCTTTCTCGTCCTGGGCCGACTTCTCTGTGCATAGGTTAGTATATGATATGTATATTAGTGACATCTCCCCTCATGATGATTATCCAAACAGCAAGAAGGATCATGCATAATTCTGCTTCAATGGTCTGATTATCCTTTAGCAGCATCTCCTGTTACTATATCGGACGCTGAAGCTACTGATCATATTAGGAGTAATTCATGTTATGGTGTAAGTTAGGATGGACTTTTATACAAAAGGAACACATTAAACTTTACAAGATTACACATCCTACACCATTCGCAGCCATAGACAGGGACCACCAAATAACTGGATATTGAACCCTTATATACTAGTGATATCATATACTTATACAGTATGGAATTGGATCCTACTATCTTGCTTAGATGTATAACCTCGTGGGGGGTTACCCTCCTGGCGTCTTTCTACCCTTAGATCAATATTTAAATTCCAATTAGACAGAATACCAGCCGGCAACAACGAAAAGAGTCATCGGTTCTTTCATACGAATGTAGTCTGTACAAATGTTCTTATGAATGAATATGTTTCGTCGGCTCGGCCCGCATTCAGGAACTCCAAGTCAAGGGGCCGATGACCTGGCGTAGGAGTTATTCGCCTGTACTCCGTAGTCCAGAATATTTCAACGAGATAATGTTTCAAATTCCCAGGCCACTTAGTTCTGTACAGAGGAGATGTTCACTGTAAGATTGAAATAGTGAAATAGTTGGTCTTTTCGTGGACCAATAGAAATGTATTCTTACCCAGCCTTGTATCCATTATCGGCGCTTGCCCCTCACAACGAGCTGACGATGCTTACCTTTTTGTCCATCACCTGCAATTCAGAATCCCCCTCATAGTCGGTGATGACCTGCGAAGAATCCTCCCCTGGGTCGTCTACTATCTTTTGCTCCTTGCAGTCTTCAACTTGACAACACCTTCACCGTGTCACTGCTATGGCGATTTCGTCATTGGCTCGTGGAGATCTCTATTCCCTTTGACTACATAGGCATTTCCCTTTTGTAGAAGACATAATTCCCGTCAAATCGAAGCCATGCCCAGCGTAAAGGATCGCTGGAAAAACTGGAGGGCTAGGAAAACAAGGAGCCCGAACGATAGCTCCAGCGTTGTCGCCTCCCCCACTCCCCCGCCGACAGGTAAGTTGCGAGTTCGAAGCCGGTACTATGCCATCTCTACAACTGGCCTATCTGCTAAACGGTGGAATATATCAGATAGCGCAAAAGTCCCGTCCAGCGACGTGGTGGAGTCGCCTCCTCCGTCGCATCCATCTGGGAAAAAGGCCGAAGTGACAATCGCGACCTCCGGGAATCGTCAGCCGACAACAAGGTCACCTTCCAAAGCGACGTTGGATGTCTTATCCGATACTGGTGACCATGCGCATGTTCCTCGCTCTGCTTCGCTGGTTGTCAATCCTGCTCAGGCCCATCCCGGACCTGAAGAGCAATTGACGAAACAGAGCGCAGTGCTTTCCATATCCCAGAGAATCTGGAATGCTGCCTACGATAGCCTTGAGGAGGATAGGGCTACTACTGACCTTGTTAAGTCTTACTTGAAGACTCTCACCGCAGTTCTCAAGGCCGAGAAAGGCTCTAGTGTCTCTGCCCCCGAAGACGATGAGCTTGCTGCCCAATTGCAAAGTCCAACCACTCGTCAGGAATATCTGAAGAAATTAGTCAGCGATGGTCAGAAAAAGATTGAAACGTCGTCAAACATCAAAATGGCAGTGGGTGATGTCGCCCAGTTCATTCTTTCTGCCAAAGGGATGATCGACCTCGCAATCCAGAACATACCGCAGGCTGCTCTCCCGTGGGCTGGTGTTTGTATCGGGTTACAAGTAAGCAGTCATCGCTCGCCATCCTTCGGACCAACTAATGTTTGCCCAGATCCTCCTGAATCCGGCGCAGGCTACCAAGTCTAACCTGGCGGGCATCGCTCATGTTACCTCCAGAATGGACTGGTATTGCGCCCTAACCGAACACCTCTTGAACAAGAACAATATTATGATCGGAACGGAGTCCTTTCCAGAGATCTTAGAACTGCTGGAGAAGGCAGTTGTGCTGCTATACAAGGAGCTCCTCCTCTATCAGATGAAGAGCGTCTGTTTCTATTACCGGCATCGTGGCGTTGGATTCCTGCGCGGACTAGCGAACTTGGATGACTGGGATGGTGATTTGGCATGTGTTAAGGACGCCGAAATCGTCGTGCGGGAGTACTCGGAGCAATATTACCGAGAGTATCACAAGAGCTCTCTGCGCCAGCTCGTCGACTCCGGTAGTGAAATGGAGAAATACCTTGGTGACATTCATCAGAACTTGCGAGACTTTATCGCCTTGCAAAAGACAACGCGAAGGAACGATGAAGACAAGGAATGCCTCCAGGATCTCTTTGCAGTGGATCCGCAGTACGATCTGAGGGACATTGAAGAGAAGAAGGATAAATTGCTCGACAATGCGTATGACTGGGTCTTTAGCACCGATGAGTACGCCGCGTTTACCGATTGGCTCGATGAGGGGCTCAACAGTGCATCCTGCCGTGTGCTATGGATAGACGGATCTGCCGGCACCGGAAAGACGATGCTCTTCATGGGCATCATTCGCAAGCTCTCCAGTCAACCCTCCGCTCTTTCACCGAGTGTCTCGTACTTCTTCTGTCAAGGTACAGATCAGACCCGGAACAGCGCAACGACCATCTTGCGATCTCTGGTTTGGCAGCTACTGGTGCAGCAACCATCTCTCATCTCGCACCTTCGAGACCAGCGTAGAAATGCTGGTGCCCCTCTTTTGAGAGGCGAGCGCGCATTTTATGTGCTATCCGACGCACTTCGCAGCATGCTACAAGACCCTTGCCTATCCCCAATATATTTCGCTATTGATGCCCTTGATGAGTGTGATCGGAAAACCCCGGGCCTGGACCAGCTTCTTCAGCTGATTGATTCTTCACTTGCTCTCTCCAGTAAGGTGAAGTGGCTGGTCTCTAGCCGTCCGGAGGTTCTTGTTCACGCAGGCGGCAAGCAGCTCAAGGATATCCATGCTTCAACAGTTTCGGTCACGTTGGACCCTAGGCGTCTGGAAGGACCAGTCAACGCATATATTGACCATAAGCTTGACAGCATGAAAGGAAAAGACGGTTATGATACGGATACCTTGGCACAACTTTCGCACGAGATCCGCCAGCGAGCTATGTCCACCTTCCTCTGGGTGGCATTGGCGTTCAAAGAACTGGACGGAGTGGATGGGTGGGACGCCGTCGAGACCATCCAAAGAATTCCCTCCGGCTTGTCGAATGTGTACGAACTAATTATGGCGCAAATCGAGAAGGGCAGTCCGGAAAACCAAAAGCGGTGCAAGAACATATTGGTCGCTGTTATTCTCGCATATCGTACTCTCTCGCTCCCTGAGCTCGCCGTGCTTGCTGGACTGCAACCAAAGATCAACCCTCGGACAATTGTCGAGAAATGCGGCTCATTCCTGACAATATCTGGCCAAACCGTCTCCCTGATCCACCAGTCCGCCAAGGACTATCTCGAGGCAAACTACACCACAAAACTGGGTAGTGATGTCGGCCAAGGCAATGCGGACATCAGCGCGCGCTCAATCACTGCGATGGGTTCGATACTGAGATACAACATCTATGATTTGCCGTACCCAGGTTTTGAGACCAGTGATGTAACGCAGCCTGACCCGGACCCGTTGGCTCCAATACGGTACTCCTGTGTTTTTTGGGTGGGGCATCTATGCAAAGCAAAAAGCCAGGGCTTTGGGAACGACCTGACCGAGGGAGGGGCAGTCCTTAGATTCTTCAAAGAGCATTTCCTCCACTGGCTGGAGGCATTGAGTCTTGTCGGTGGGATCTCGGAGAGCATCAGGCTCCTGAAGGAATTACAGACTGCTGTTGACGTAAGTCACTATTCGATTTTATGCGAACGTATGCTTACAGAAGTCATAGTCCGCCAACGACACTGAACTATCTGCGTTCCTTCGCGACATGCATCGATTTATCCGTTTCTTCCGTCAAGTGATTGACGTAGCGCCGCTCCAGGCGTATTACTCAGGTCTTGTTTTTGCCCCACAAAGGAGCCTGGTTCGGCAGACGTTCGAGAAATTTTTACACACCCGGATATCTCATATTCCCATCCCGCAGCTGGATTGGAGTCCTCGCCTATATACGCTTGACCTCTATGAAACTACACCCGAATCGGTAGCCTTCTCGGAAGCCGGTGATCGACTTGCATCAGGCTTGAAGAATGGCCTTGTAAAAATATGGGACACAGCCACAGGTGGTCTCATGCAGATACTTCAGGGTCATGATGACATGGTTAATTCAGTAGCCTTCTCAAGAGACGGAAATCTACTAGCATCAGGCTCAAGGGATCACACCATCAAGATCTGGGATACAGTCACCGGGGACTGCGTGCAAATACTCGGGGGGCATAATGGTCCGATCTCCTCCGTATCTTTCTCAGCGACTAGTGAGCAACTTGCATCCGGATCATCGGATGAGACCATCAAAATCTGGGATGTTGTCGCCGGCAAATGCGTGCAAACTGTTGAAGTGAATTATGCTGTCCATTCAGTCGCCTTCTCAAACGCCGATGCTCGACTAGCAGCAGGCTTGGATGGGGGCAGTGCCATAATCTGGGACACCGCCACGGACACACAGATGCACAAACTTGGTAACTATCGTGCATTTGTCGAATCAGTAGCATTCTCAGCGGATGATGAGCGACTTGCTTCCGGGGAATCGCATGGCACTATTAAAATCTGGGATACGGCCACAGGTGCTTGCTTGCACACACTTCATGGCCATGAGGATGCAGTTTTCTATGTAGGCTTCTTAAGAGGCACAGATCGACTAGCATCAGGCTCATTTGATGGAACTGTTAAGATTTGGGACCCGGCCATAGGCAAATGCATGCGGACGCTTGTGGGCCATAGTACTGGGAAGATCTCATCATTGTCCTTCTCAGCAACCGGTGATCAGCTCGCATCGGCCGGGTTTGCTGATATTGAGATTTGGGACATGGCCATAGTCAATAACACGACACCAGTCCAGAGCCGTCAGGAACGGGTCAAGTCGGTCACCTTCTCAGCAAGTGGTCATCGACTAGTATCTCTGTCATGGGAAGGCACTATGTGGATTTGGGACACAGTCACGGGCAAATGCATATGCACGCTCGAGAGGCCAGTGGACGGTCCGTCGGTTGCATCAGTAGCGTTCTCAATGGCTGGTGATCGAGTAGCTTCAGGTTTATTCAACGGTGATATCAAGATCTGGGACACAGTCACAGGAAGATGCATGCAGACGTTCAAGCACCAAGGCTATAATTTCTCTTGGGTTCAATCAGTAGCCTTCTCAGCGACTGGTGAGCAACTGGCATCATGCTCAATGGGTGGCGACATCAAGATCTGGAACACAGGCACAGGGAAATGCATGCAAACACTTGATCATTTCCAGGTTACCTTAGTAGCCTTCTCACCTACTGGTGAGCGACTGGCAGCAGGCTTAAGGGGGGGCGTCATCAAAATGTGGAGGACGGTCTCGAGATATTGCATGTGGAGAATTCGGGGCCATAGTCGTCGACTCACGTCGCTGGCCTTTTCAGGAAGTGGCAATCAACTTGCATCAGCATCAGAAGATTTCACTATGAAGGTTTGGAACACGGCCACGGGGGATTGCATACAGATGTTCAACGTCGGCACTTCCATATGCCAGCTACTTTTTGATCCTACGTCTACGTGTCTTGTCACTGAAATTGGGCGTATTAAGGTTGATTTATCATCCTTTGTCCCTGCGATGACGTCGGAGGCTGGAGATATGGCCGAAGATCAAACCTATCTTGATCAAGAGAGCAGAGAGGTTCAGGAAGGTTTAAATGGCGAGGTCAACGATGATGAGTGGCAAGAACAGACACACAGAGAGTTTGAACCAGAGTCAGTTGCAGAGAGGGGATCAGGTGAGGTAGGCATTCTGGCTAGCAACAATGGTCTGTCAGAAGAAGAGTTATTCGAAGAGCGAGAACCAGCCGACTACGTATCAGTGGACGAGCAATCCGCCGCCGATGAATTAGCTGACGAGAAGTCAGCTGACAAGGAAACAGACGAGGAGGAATTAAGCGAGGAGGAATCGGACGAGGAGGACCTAGCGCCTGTTTCAGCTGCCTACTACTCAGAGACAAAGGTTTACGGCTACGGTCTCCCGGACCGTCCCTGGACTACGCGCGACGGCCAGGATTTCATTTGGCTACCCCCGGAATTCCGCCCCGAGTGCTCTGCCGTACAGGGCGACACGGTTGCCATCGGTTGTCGATCGGGTCAGGTCCTCATCTTCGGCTTCGCACCAGATGGATATTCCGCTGACACTTAATGGTCCCACTGGTGTTTTGTGGACCGTGGCGATACCGTCGCAGTCAATGAGAGCGTGTACATATATGTAGCGTCTTCAGCGCCTTCGTCCTGTTCTTACCGCACTTATACAGGGCAGTGGCTTCTCCTTAGGGGCAACTGACTAACGGCCGTGATAGAGGCGATATATCTGCGAAACAGAGCTGCCAGCTGGCTTACATGCCTTGGCAGCTCTTGGAACAATGGCCAGATAAGGCTATCAGTGCTGTATTCTAGTACACAAAGACACTATTGCCCTTATCAGAAGAATAGAGTAAACCCAGTCAAACAGGAAGATTCCCGCAGATATGTTCTGACATCGGTCGTCCCAGTAGGGCTAAACTGCGGACGCGGATCAAAATCTCCCATCCTATGATTACGCTTTGAGCTGTGGCATGCTCCAGTGGCTAGCTGAGATGGTATTTGAGACAGTTGACAGAGCATAGTGACCCGAATTCAGTCCGCGTACGCTCAGTCCCAGCCGGTGAGACCCGCTGAACTAATGAGTAGCCGTTTGCCAGTTCAGCTGGGTCCTCTCTCTCAAGTAACCTTAGCCATAATGCAAGCATAATAACTTATTCTCAGCACGCCACTTCAGTGACTTCAGCTCAGTTATTCTCAGCCACTACTAAAGTTTAGGCGCCGTGCTGCAGGATTCCCGTCCGGGACACGCCACGGCAAGGGTCGTACTATCGCAACCGGCGGTTCCGTCTTGGGGGCATATGACATGCTGACATCAAACTACGTCGCTCTCTGAAGCTGAATCCGATAGTAACCTCCTTGAAGAGCATATCCTGTCGCTTCGTACTATGGTTCACCCCCGCAGCTGCAGGGTTCTACGGTTACCCCTCATTTCCTCCCGATCTTCCATCTCAAGCAATATTCACCTATAGTTGCCTTAGACTCTCTTTTGACTCAACGAGACCAGCACTGTCACCAGAACATATTATTTTTTTCCAATCCCCATCCTACATGATATGGACCAACTCTACGGCATCCATTTCGCTGATGGATTCGATGAGAAAGACGGGCTTCCTCGGCTGCGAAAGCTTTTGGACTCGAAGTGGAACATTTCCTCAGATGGCAAAGGAATCGAAAAGAAATTCCATTTCAAAAACCATACAAACGTTTTAGATTTTGTCCACTACATTGGTGTAAAGTGCAAAAGAAAAAATCATCATCCTGAGGCCATCATGGTAAGTAAGATTTTGATATAGATTAGCGGACATCTCTAACCAAACGCGCAGACACAGAATTCCTTGACCTATATGTGGACCACCCACAGGCCGCAAGGCCTATCCCAGAAGGATTTGGAAATGGCTGAATTCTGTGATGAAGTGGCAAGGGAACATATTCAAGTGGTTGATGAACGTGAAGCGCCAGGATGCGGCCCTGCAAGTAAACCTTGACGCAAACACACTCTGATGCGTCAACACTACTAGTTTTCGAGCATATCAGCTCTGAGTAATCTATTTCCTGCGTGGGATGGCACATGGCTCGGTCATATCCGAGCCACTTGTCAATAGTTCATCGTGAGATTAACGTAGGTGTGAGCACTAGTGCATGGCGCCCAAAGCGCTGAAGTACGACATTGACTGGGTTGGCTGTGGCGTTCTGATAGCAAACAAAATTCTACGTCAATAATAGCCGAGAAGGCATCTGCATTGGCCTTAATATCATGGTTCTGTTATATAAAGTGTAAATTTCCTACGAGCATTAAAGTTGGTCTTCTCCATCTGACTCGACAAGACACTCTTCCTCTATTGGAGTATATACTTCGCAGTCAGAGCACTCCCTACACTATTCAAGTCCAGAAATAGTGGTACCAGAACATCCTGTACGTATGCTATCGCAAAGGTCTTCAAGAGTATGCTGACCCTTACAGTGCTACAATGTCCTACACCATCCGTCTCTGTATTGACAATGGCACCTCCGACATCCTCACAATTGTCGAAAAGACCTGCTGGTACTATGCCAACGGATGCACCTGGACCGTGAAGGATGACGAGCATGTGCTCTTCATGGGAGGCAGCGGTACCTCTGGAATGCTTCGATTCAAAACCTCCTCCGGCGACTTCTTCACCGTCGTCCTGGGCATGCACAATTACAACCCATGGTCTGGGTTGCTAGTGAACCTACGAGAAGATGATACAGCACTGAAACTGCATCCGGAATACTACAACGGAGGCAAGTTTTCTCACTCGGCGCCTGATGCTGCATATACTCCTCCGACAGCCCATGGTAAAAATGTCTGGATCAGCGTGGAGAGGAAGGATGAAAACGAAGTGTTTGCTGTTTTGCATTACCATCCACACTATGAGGTAATAAACGAGCGGGTTTACTAGTTTGCTGTGTGTAAATGGCAGGCATGTTATGTACTGGTTAGTGGGTTATAGGTCCAGACAGGAAGTCTTTTACTTCTACACTCTATCCTCATGTGTACCAAGGTTGCATTAAGACGAATAAGACAAACGAATAATTTTTACCAACAGTTTCAGTTTGAAAGAATGCTAGCACAGCTGAAGATTTTGACCAGATTTATGTTATTGCGAGCCCTAGCATTGCCCCTGATGGGCTGAAATGGACACAGAGTGATGTGGATTATTTGCGATATGTCATGAACTGAAGCAGTACTCTCTCCAGGGTTTCCCAGTACTACTAGGGCACTCACAATGGCTTGTCCGAAATTTTCGTCGCTTACCCTGACATTCGCCATGGGTATAGAATTGCCATTGACCTCTGGGCTTGTCATTGACAAGCAATATCGAATCTCTTTGCGGCCTCGAGGGAGCTTGCATGTTATTGCATCAATGTATCAAATGTCTGAGAAAAAGTAGGTCCATTGTCTCTTCATTCTACATGTTGAGACACTTCTTTACAATCAAGGCAACTTCATCTGGTTGTTCAATGACTGAAGACGATACCTCGTTCAGCCATGGCAAGAAGTGTGTCGAGATTGTATGACCTTAACCAGAGGTCTTGGGTGGGCTCTGCGTGGCTTTGCCTGCGATATGTTTTTCTCGGTCGGCTAGCAGAGGTCGACTTTCGAAATTGTGTATAATGATGCTCAAAGATGGAGAATGAAACACTCTCGGAACTCACTCGAATAGCTTCTTTCATACCGGGCCCCGAGCCGTGCGAGGCTCCCAAGGCGGAATGCGGTCATTCATACATCTCCTTTGTGTTTTTCTGTTAGGATGACTTTGAGTACGTGCCGGTAATAGGGTAGGCTAATGGGATGCTTTCTTTGTTGCTGAAACAGCACTACACCTCGACCAGTCTCCAAGACAAATGGAGATCACATTAAAGATCGGATGGATCTGTCGCACTTGTGTCTTTGATATGCTCATGGGTTTCACGTCGAGAAAGACATCCCGTCGACTCTCTCTCGATATCATCCGACGGATCCGACTTGGAAGCCTGATGTTCCCGTGGCTGTCACTCCTACTTGTCTCACTTTCCTTTGACACATCTTTAGTGACAGGATGGGGGTAATTGCTACCATGGACGGACCCCGACTAGCACTATATAAACCAGTTGCACTCCAACCGAGATCGATACAGCTCGACTGATAATCCATACGTGCCGACACGATGGCTGACTTCGAATTCAGAGCAGACCTCGCAGCCAACAAGGAGTTGGTCTGCTCCATTTCCCGCCTGCTGAATGCGCATGGGATCCCCAATCTCCTCTGGGGCGAGCTCGTCTTCAATCTCTACGGAGTGCCTCTCCAAGTTTCAGTAAGTGCTTGTCCCAACCATAGCTTACCTTATCTAACCAACCTACAGGACTTCAGTTTCGTCATCCCTGACGACCTGATCGACAAAGCGCGCAGTGTCCTCGAGACAGCCAAATTCCCGCCCTGCCAGACATGTCCCGCCATCCAGCCAAACCGCCCCGCTCCACCCCCTATGCCCACTTCAACATCAAGCAGAAAGGAGACCCAAGAAAGTGGTTCCGAGTCGAACTCCACCGAAAGTCCGATCTGCTTTGGACCGCCCCCAACATCCCAGCTTGCGCTCCCGACGCAGAAGATCCGCATTACATGCTTGCCAACGACGCCAGGATACCAGCGTAGCCGCCGCGAGAGCTTCTCGGCCGGATGCACCCCACCGATTACCCTGTGAAGATCCCGACACCGAACCAGTACGCCGAGGCGCTGGCCATGCTGCACTACCGCGATGGGGTGCTGGGGCCGACCATCCGGGGAGACTACTGGTTGGATCTGCAGAGTGAGCTTGTCCAGACGGGGCTTGTGAAGCTTGATGAGCTCCCTGGGCGCATTAAGCGGCACTATGAGCTGGTGCGTGAGGCGGATATGAAGGAGGTGCACAGGTACAGCGAGGAGGTCGCGGGGCAGATGAGGGAGAAATATGAGGTTCCTGTCCGTATGCTGCCGCTTGATACGGATGCGTTTGAGCCGGTGGCAGCGGTGGAGGAGTTTCTTTGAGATATGGTTGGATATGTTGCATTGTGATTCTTTAGATGTATCGGTTGATTTGTTGCCCAGCCATTCGCTACGATATGAAAGGATTGATCAAGAGAAAGTCTGGAAGTGAAACCATTCGAAACGTAATTGGAGAGTAGCAACTTATTGGAGTTCTTTAAAGAGCATACAATCGTCCAGTTGATTTGAATGGATTCATGCATGGTATGCACAAAGGGATGTATTAAAATTAATCATATGAATAGTCGTAAGAAGCGTAGAGGAATAGACGAAGGGGCAACAGGCAGGAATCCTGGGCCAGACAGCCTGAGACAAACGTACCAGGCGTCAAGCCCTAATCCGACAGCCCATCAAATCATCCATTGTACCAGCCCCAATCCGAAGACAGTACCAACGAGCCCCTTCACTATATCCCCGTTCGAAGACGCCAGCTGACCAGCCGCATTGGGGGTAGCTGCGCTCGCAGCACTCGAAGTCGTCGAAGACGCTGTGCTGGAGCTTTCTGGAGTCGAAGTTGTGGTGGCAATCGCAGTTGCAGTTGTGCTCATCTCATCCGTCGGCTGGATTGTCATCTCATCCGTTGGCTGAATCGTCATCGAGCCGTTATCGCTGGCGCTTGTCGAGGCCGTCTCACTGGCCGGGAACGTCGTCGCAACTCGGCTGACAGATTTCCCAGTCGTGGCGGTCGCCGTCGGTGCGGTTGAATGAGCTACGACCTGGAAGCCGAGCAGATCCTGGGAAGATGCCTTGGAGAAGACCTCGGTCGCCATGCCACTTGGCTTACCATCGCACTTGTTGTTCGTGAAGAGGAGCATGTTGATACCCTTTTCGCCCTGGGAGTCGATCTTGAATATGTTGCCCTTGGGGTTATCGATCACGATGCAGTCGCTGGGGCCAGTGCCGGATTGGCTGTGCTTTTGGTTGTCGGCGTCGGTCCATGTTACTTCCCATGCGCATGTGGAGGGGAGGACAGAGAGTGTGGAGATTGCCAGAGGGAGGAGAGTTGACCACTTCATTTTGCTGTGGTAGAGTGGATCGCAAGAGGATGTGGTTTGGATGGAGAATTGACTGTCACAAACGGAAGCGAAGATCAATCGATCAACTGGGCGTCCCCTTTTCTTATGATTGATTAAACCCCACGAGCCTTGCAGTCTCTGGTGCCACCGTTTCTAGGGGCTGGACGCGCAGATCCTCGTATTCGATGCGCGAAGAACCAGTCACGATGGGAGCACGGAAGCCACCGTCCTTGGCAGACAGCGATCATGTTTGACGATACGAGCCAAGGCTGCATCATGGACAATCCCCATATCCCTGGCGAATGACAGCAAAGATTTGATGTTGGTCGACCCCAAGGCTGACTTGGCGTTGCTCGCTTGCCGCCAGAAGAGGAACATATCAACCGGACTCCGAAGGTTCCAGCAATATTCGGCTAAATGGGGTCAGCCCATGGCAGCATTCAGCAACACTCATAGCCATTATGGGGCTGCTAATACACATGTGCATTGTCTCACACATAAATCAACTTCATCCTTGATACAACGCAGGAACAGCTGATACAGTGATTTCGATGGAATGAGAGTAGCAAATCGCCTTGAGTGCCAGTACATATTTTATGCCTATTGTCAAACGTCATACACTTTGTTCTTCCAATCCAATCAACTGCTCGTCAACGGTGGGTTTGACCATAGAGCCAAGTATTGATTCGATTTCAAGCATCATCTGTACTTTATCTATGGAACTGCTAGCAGGAGATACAGCTGCTACTGTGGCTGTTTATGGCTCGCGCTAACTGAAAATGTATTATCTTAGCATCATATATCTACTCCCACTGCCACTGCCCATGCCTAGAGATCCAAATGGAGCTCAACTTAAGCGCAGATATCAGCTGCGTCGGCCGGATGAATCATATCTTGATTAATCCAGGTCATGTAGTCCCAGTAATCCGCCTGCGTTCCCTGACCGTTGACAGTAGCGTTTCCCGAGAATTTAGCAGTCCAGTAAGCACTGCCTTGCGCATGCTTCGCAAAGGCGTATAATCCTGTATTCAAGGCCCTCTCCCGTCCAGTAAAAGTATTGTTGTATTCGGCCTGAATCGACCATTCCCCAACAAAAACAGGGAATTTGCCATCCCCAGCTCCACTAGCGGCATCGGCACAGATATAAGAAGTAATGTTCTGGCCCGTTGCACCGCGCCCAGCAAAGTAGTAATTATGCTGGTCAAACACCAAAGTTGTGCTGCTTGGGAAGTTGGGCGACCAGTATGTCTCAGGTCGAAAGCTTCCCTGGAACATGACTGGGATCTTGGGATTCACAGCAGCCACTTTGCTCAAGACTGCTTTTATGTATCGCAGGACCCAAGCAGAGCCGTTTTCAGACAAGGCTGCAGGCGTGCCAAAGAACCTCATGTCTCGATTATCAACCGGCTCATTGATGGGTGCAATGGTGTAGGATTCTGGGTGACCCGAGCTCTGCACGTAAGCGAGAACGGCATCGATTGCTGCAAGCGAATAATCGAGAGCGGTTTGATTGTTGAACCATCCATAGTGTCCGGATGCCTCGCCAAAAGGCATTCCATTCACTCCACCCGGTAGTGAGTGCACATCAATGATCACATGCATGCCATGTCTGGTAATAGCGTATGTCGCAATGTTCCTCAGGAAAGAAACCTGGTTACCGGAGTATAGCTGCGAGCCGGGCACTTTGACCCACGCCGCATAGGTGGTGGGGATACGCAAGGTGTTCACGCCAGCACCAGCGAGCTTATCAATGGCTGCAGGTGTAATATAGCTTGCGTATCGTCTCTCCAGGATAGGGCCGCATTGTGCACCCTGGTTTGCACAGAGGCCCCATTCATCCTCGGCGCCTTTCGAGTACTTTGCCCACCAGGCCGTATCAATCGTAGACTCCTGGCAAAGCCAACCTCCAAGGTTGACTCCGTTTGCTTTGTAAATTCTCCAGTCGAGATATTGTGCGGAAACTGCCAGACACAGCTGGGTGAGGAAGAGTGCACCGGGGAGTTTAATCATCTTGCTTCAAAAGTGATACCAGATAGAAGACAAAAGGACTTGTTGGAATGGTTGGCCCAGTAAAAGGGTGTGAAACATCTCCGTTTAAATAGATTCCATGTCTACTCATCACACCGACGATGTACATAGATCTTGCTTCTCTACCATCTCCATATAATGAATTGTACTTTCTCTGTATAGAACCCAGGCTTGGCACCAGCGTCCATATGCTCGCTTATCCCTCTTGCCAAGTTGCAGCACGAGTCCACATCCCGAGAAAGGCTCTGGCAATAGAACGGGATTGCTTCAAAACCGTGAAACATGGACCTCCTCGGGGCTCAATATCCCGAGCAAGAGATTCAATACTCCGTACGTATCCCTCACTCACCTTGCCGTCAGGTTTCTCGTCTGTGTGCATTTCCAGGACACTAACTCCAACCTCCACATTCTACCCCGGATGTGGACCGCAAAGTGGCGCTTCTGCAATGCAGGGTCTACACTTCATGCCATGTGAAGACATAGAGGCCAGCCCACGGTCAAATTAATACCGATGATATGATACTCTCTTCTGGTTACACGCTGTCAAGGATCATAATCTCGGTTTTTACCACCTAGGTCCCTATAAATTCTCGTTATGCTCCCGGTATGAGTATTGGCGCAGTCGGAACACCATCATTCTTGCAGCAATGGGTCGTCTCAAGACAGCGGGTGTAGCGGCGTTTCTCGCCTTGGGTGGGTTCCTCTTTGGCTATGACAGCGGCATCATCTCGTCAACCATCGCACAGCCGCATTTCATCCAGTACATGGGCACACCTTCCTCTGCGGAACGTGGCGGGATTGTTTCCTCCTTCACTGGAGGTGCCATCCTCGGTGCACTCTCCATCTCGTTCCTGGCCGATCGATTCGGTCGGAGGCTGACCGTTTTTATCGGGTCTGTTATTTCTGTCATTGGAAGCGCTCTGCAAGGTGGTGCAGTAAACACTGCCATGCTCATCGCGGGCAGACTCATTGCCGGCTTCTCCGTGGGCCTGCTGTCCGCTATTGTCCCTTTGTTTTCGTCAGAGATAGCCATCTCCCAGGACCGTGGCAAGCTCTCAGGTCTTCTGCAGTTCATGCTGTCATGGGGGTTTTTCGTCGCGCAGTGGCTGGGATATGGATGCTTCCAGGTCGACAGCAATTTCCAATGGCGCTTCCCGCTTTCTTTCCAGACCGTCCCAGGCCTCATTATGGCAATAGGTATCTGGTTCCTGCCCGAGTCACCCCGCTGGCTGGTGGAAAAGGAACGGTTTGAAGAAGCCAAAGCGGTGCTGGACACACTGCATGGAAATGGTTCGAATGAAGATTTCCTTCAGGCAGAGTACCGCGAGATTGTCGACACTATAACGGCCGAGAAGCAGATTGCTGTCCGAAGCTGGAGAGAAATGTTCTCCCGCCCCTCCTGGCGTCGGAGATTGACGTTGGGCATGGGCATACAAGCCTTTGGCCAGTTATCCGGCATTAATGTTATGTGAGCGTTGAGTCACTTGTGCGTATTCGCAAGTGCTAACTTTGTCCAGCAATTACTATGGTCCCCAAATCTATGAGATTCTCGGCATTGACACAGGCACTTCCCTCCAAATCATCGGCATATCGGGCAGTCTATCCATTGTCTACTGTGTCATCGGGCTGTGGCTGCTTGATCGAATTGGTCGCATCAAACCCCTCGTCATCACGGCTGGGGGCATGGCAGCGGCCCTTCTAGTTAACTCGGTGCTCTCCAAATACTATGTCCTGACCGACAATCCCTCGCCTAATGAGAACGCTCTCCGAGCGATGGTCGCCATGAACTTTGTCTTCAGTCTCTTCTTCACCATGATCGGTGTCATCTCGTGGGTGTACCCCGCCGAGGTAAGTTGGAATAGCCCTGTCACCTCCAGAATCATGCAACAAGCTGACACCCCGCAAAATTAAGATTTTCCCCGCGGAGATACGCGCACGCGGTAACTCACTTTCGACTGT